CTAGGCCTCCTGGAGTGACTGCCTCGTACAACAACCACTCACAGTTACGACGTTGATGGAAAAAAATAATTTTTTGACTAATCCTCAAATTGACGATCTTTGTAAAGCAAAGAAGCTGAAGTGAGATGGTAAACAAATTCACTGTTTCACTTAGCGGCCAGTCCTCTTAAAGTCCAATTTGCCAGTCCCAGCTTTGATTACTAAATGAGGACAATCTGTGACGGACAGTTTACCTCACTTAAACATATTCAAAAGAAAACCCTTAGCTAGGAATTAATGGTGCAAATTGAAAACTGTCATCCATCTTTCAAGGACTCTGGAACCTTAATGTCCCAAAGATGTTTTTTTCCAAGAGACAAGTGGACTTTCTTGTTTTTGTTTTTGAAGACATTTCACTACCCATCCAAGAAGCTTCTTCAGCTCTGACTGCATGGGTAGGGAATTTTAAGGGTTTATATTCCTTGCAGACAGCTGGTCAGAGCGAAACAACGTCAGCGAAAAAAACCAAAAAGTCCAGTTGCCTCCTGAAATGGCACCTTTGGGACAACCATGACCTGGAGGACTGAGAATCTCCATAGACTTCTGGCACCTTAATGTTTAGCTCCATGAAGGTCAATGCCACCATTATGAAGAAGTCAGGTGACCTTCTACCGCTGCACCATAGGGAGTATTTTAACTTCCTGTACCTATGTACGGTTTGCCAATTGCACAGTGGCAGATAGGACAGAGGTCCAGAGGGTCAACGTCATTGCCCAGAGGATCATTGGTTGCCCTCTGCCCTCTTTGGAAAAGCTTTATAGCTCCCACTGCCTTAAGAAAGTTCAACACATTCTTAGATATCCATCTCATCCTGGGCACCCTTTTTTTTTGTTTGAACTATTACCACCTGGCAGACGGTACAGGACAATAAAAACAAGGACAAATAGGCAGAAAAACAGCTTCTATCCCAGAGCAGTAACTATATTGGATTTTACTGTATAGTGTAACACTAAAGCAGTATCGGGGGTTTTCAATTTAATTGCATAGAATGTGAAGGATGTGTGTCATTGTTTTGTTTTTATAGTTTTCTTATGTATTTATTTATTTTATTTATTTATTTTACTCGATTTATATCCCGCCCTTCTCCTAGTGGACTCAGGGCGGTGCACAGCCAGAACTAAAACACATACCAATACAAAATTTAAAATTATTAAAAGAATTATATAACTGTGGCCCAAAATTTAAAACATTGAAAACTAGTATTTTTTAGTATTTTAGTATTTATTAAATTTTTATACCGCCCCCTCTCCCGAAGGACTCGGGGCGGTGAACAGCCAGAATTAAAAACACACAATACAAATATTAAAATACATTAAAACAAAATTAAACTATCTTTGGCTTCTCCAATTTAAAACCCCTTCCCCATAAAATTTACCCAATTAAAAATTTAACCCAGCCCGGCTTGCTGAAATAAAAAAGTCTTCATTTCAAACCCATTTGACAATTTAAAAAGCTAAAAAAGGCTAAAAAAAAAAAGGAGGGGGTTCACGCCAGCCCTGCTTGATGGAAAAGAAAAGTATGTATGATGTACACGGAAGATGGCATTTAATTTAGTTGTACGAGGCGCAATGACAATAAAGTAAACTAAACTTCAAGAACAGCCCCTTCGACGTCTCCTTTTTGTGAGTCAAACGCCGTAAGCCAACTCTTAACAAGCGAGGAGGGCTTCCTATCCAAGCAGTCTAGATAAAATTGCAGCAGGACGAACGTTTTTTCCACCAGTAGTCAGAAAGGTAACCAAGATGAAGAAAGCAGGTCCTTCTCAGGTTCAGGCACGCTCCCTTAAAAATTAATTTACATTCATGACTTTGCTTATGTTTCGGGATGACTTTTAGCGCAACACGAGGCCTGCCTGCCTGAGCCTGTCTCTTAGAGACCCTCAAGGCAAATATGCTGATGAAAGTAGAGTTTAAAGGCTTGCTCTTGGATCTCTTTTGGGTGATCTCCAGCCAAGCCCCTTTAGAGGGGAGCTTTAAACCCTTGGTCTCTCCTAATTTTAAGGAGAGCATCTTAGCCACTCTGTCTGCTGGGATTATTCATTCAGTGGTACAATTCTTCTGCTTTTGAGACTCCCACATCCCTGCTGTCAAATCAGGACTGTAGTTTTATTCTCAGTGAGATTTCTAACCCAGAATGGGGGGGAGGGGTTGGGGTGTGTGTGTTTGTGCCTGTACAGGTAGTTCTCGACTTACGACCACAATTGAGATTCTCCATATTCCTGTTGCTAAGCGAAACGTTCGTTAAGTGAATTTTGCCCCATTTTACAACCACAGTTGTTAAGTGAATCCCTGCAGTTATTAAATTAGTAGCACGGTCGTTAATTGAATTTTCAAGACGAGATTGGACTGCCATTTGTCAGAAATGGGGTAGGGCCGTGATGGCGAATTCCCGTGATGGGAATTCTGGGAGTTGAAGTCCGCCAGGCTTAAACTTGCCAAGATTGGAGTCCCCTGGCCTGAAGTGTAGGGTTTTTTTTTTATTCCTATCATAAAATGTGGAACTGATTTTTGAAGAAAAAAATACATAAATGATGGACGACTGCATTGGCATTCAGGATAGGTAGTCCTCGACTTACAACAGTTCACAGCGACTGTTCGAAGTTACAACGCCAATGAAAAAATGGACGCACGACCATTTTTCACACCATTTTTCACCACATCTCTGTGGTTACGTTCGTATTCTTGATGACTGACTCATATTTATGACGGATATAGTGCCCCGGGATCGTGTGATTCCCTTTTGCAAAGTCGGTGGGGAAGCCAGATTCACTTAACGACCATCTGACTAATTTTAACCATTGCTGTGATTCGCTTAACAAATGTGGCAAGAAAGGTTGTAAAATGAGGCAAAACGCAACAAATTTCTCCCTCGGCAACCTAAATCCTGGGCTCAGTTGCGGTCGTAAGGCGAGGACTACCTGTAAGTTATTTCTTCAGGCTATTTTTTTTTTTTAGGGGAGTCTATGTATCACAAGGCTGAACTACACTGGGCATTTTGTTGAATTTTCAAAGCACTCTTTTTCAGCAAAATATAATTTTGATTCTTCCTAGGTGGAAACAAGAGTATTACTGGAATATTTATTTATTTATTGCCTATCATATCTGGCTTATATTTAAAAACTGGAATTTAACCTCAGAAATTAATCTTACAGCTTGATTTTGAGTCATTTCATCCTTCTCGGTCTCCTTTCTCTTCTGTATAATTTCTTTTAGAGATTTTTATTGATTGTATCAAAGATTGTATCCCAAAGAGTGGGATAGAAATTCTGTAGCAAAATTTGGATACCTTTTTATACTTATCGTATTCATCTCATAGTGCTCCTATTACGCTTAAAAAGAGCTTTTGTTCTAATCAAAACAAATTATAATATTTCATTAACAGCTTGGCAAATAAGCTTTAGGCGGTAATTTAAAAATAATTGCCAATGCACGCCATCAGTGGATCCCTCCAAGACATCATAATTAAGAATCTTTTTAGTCTGTGCCTGTGTCATATTTGGAAGACTTCTAACTTCTGTTAGTTGAGAAAAAGATGTAATAATCTTGGACAAAATCCCATCTTCATTTAACCTTTGGTTTAAGGTGTGTCCAGTCAGATGCTGCAGAGAAAGTTCACAGAGAAAATCTGTCTTTTCCCAACCTCCAAACAGCTGGAGACATCCTGCTGTTGAATGTGAAGATCCTGTTGCTGTTACCCCACATGCTCTAATTTTGATAATTTGAAACCCGTTCACGTGTAATAATTTGTTTCTAGTGCAAGATATTCTATGGTGGATTGAAAGCACATAACCCATTTTATGCCCAGGATAACAAACAAACAATAAAAAGATATACACACACAGTCTTGTCTGCTAGCAATAATCTAGTTGACGGGCTGCAAGAAGGAAACAAAGAAGGAATCCTACTGCTAATTATTGTGTTAAATGAGATATGTGCGTAGGAAGAGGAATTGTCAGAAACCAAAAGCCGTAAATTGAGGTTCACTGATCCTTAAAACCTGATCGCTTATTATTTATGCTCTTTTCCTCGCAAACGATTCCTTAAACATGCCAGCAAGCAGGGATTTATTATCAAAATAAATTACGAGAAATGTTAAATTCCTTTCCCCTGAAGTTTTCAGGTTTTGCTATGCTGTATAGCAGCGGTCACCAACTGTGGTCCGTGGACCACCGGTGGTCCATGAGAAAATTTTGGTGGTCCGCAGAAAAATTATTTGCATTTTTTATATTGCACTAAATCAGGGGTCCTCAAACTACGGTCCCTGGGATGGATATGTGCAATGAACGTTTGTATTGCTGCAGAGAGTCTCCCCCTTCGGGGTCTTTTTATGTGGGTCGTAGTGGGGCAGAAATTCCAACTTGGCTGCTTCAGCCTCCTGGTGTGGGGCTTTGGGCGAAGGCTGGAGGGAAGCGCCGCTGGTGGCGATGAGCCGGAGGGCCTCATTCCAATGGGACAGCCTCATGGCCTGGAACTGGCTGACCATCTCAGCCCGCTGAGCCTCGAGGCGCCGGTACCTGGCCTTGCTCTCCCGCAGGTCCTCCCTCTGCTTGGAAAGCCTATGCTCCTAGTCCTCAGTGAGGTGCTTCTGCTGAGCCTCCTTCTTGGTCAGATCCAATTTGAACTGAGCTGTTTTGCCTACTCTTTCTCATGGTGGCTGCTTAGCTCCAACAACTGCTTCCTGTTGGGACCCTAAGGAGCCAGGCGGGCAGGAGAGGAGTGGGTGGAAGGGATGAGTAGAGGCTGGCGAGATGTCCCTTGACGTGAGTGACATTGAGTTGGCCACGCCCACACAGTCACATGACCACCTAGCCACGCCCACCCAGCCGGTCATTAGGCAGATCATATTAGTGGTCTGTGGAATTTAAAATTATGAATGTAGTGGTCCCTGAGGTCCAAAAGTTTGGGGACCCCTGCTGTATAGTGTACTAAACCGCATTAATGTAAGCCCTATTTATTTTCCAGGAGAAGAGGCAGCCTTTGAAATTTCCTACTCCTTGGTGGTTCTTTCTGCCGGCGGCCTCTTAGTTTTGATACTGCTGCTTGTAAACTGTATCTCCTGCTGTAAAGACCAAGAGATTAACTTCAAGGTGAGTGGTGTCAATAAATCCTTTTCTTCATTGTACGGGTAGTCCTTAACCACAAATTGATTGAGCCCCAAATTTCTGTTCCTAATTAAAGTGAGTTTTTGCCTCGTTTTACGACCTTTCTTGACACAGATGTTAAGTGAACCATGGCGGTTGTTAAGTTAGTTACATGGTTGTTGAGTGAATCTGGCTTCCCCATTGACTTTGCTTGTCAGAAGGTCGCAAAAAGGGATCACGTGACCCTGGGGGGGGGGGGACATTGCAACCGTCGTAAATGTGAGTTGAGTTCCCAAGTATTTGGATCAGGGGACCATGGGAATGCTGCAGTGGTCGTAAGTGTGGAAAAATGATTGTAAGTCACTTTTTTCTGTGCCGTTGTAACTTTGAACGGTCACTAAATGAACCAACGTTAAGTCAAGGGCTGCCTGCATTTGATTGCACTGGCAGCATAGCAAAGATACCGACAAAGATAAATATACTCGGGAATATTAAATGTCACCTTATTCAAATGAAGCCTGAGATTGTTTTTCTTAAAAGTGGTTTCGCCAAGTCATTTTAAATCATTTAGAATTGTTGTGCGTTTGGAACAAGTTTGAATTTTTGCCACGTTTAAGCAGGGAAGCTAAGAAAGAGCTAATGTATTCCAAAATAATTTTGAGCAAGTCTCACCTTGCTTGGCTTTTCAAGGTCAGCAAGATGCCATCATTTTGTGAGGTTGCTTCACACTTGTTTATACAACAGGCAACTCCAGAACGTACAAGATACGAATGGATTTGGATTCTGGGCATGCAAAGAACGAGATAGGAAACCACATTCCTTCGAACACCTGAATGAACATTGAGCTCAAAAAGATCCTCAGTCAGTCATATTTTTTTCCTTGGGTGTCAATCTCTTCCTCGTGTTAACTTTACCTCCTTTCCAGCTATCCTAGGATAGCAAAATGACACCAATGTGTGTGGGCTGAAGTAGAAAGAAGCTGTCCCACGAATCACACGACACACACAAAATTAAATAGAAATCCACGTGGATTTTATAAGAAACAAATTGAGCAGAATCCAGCAAAAATTGAAACATCAGGACTGGGGGTGGAGAGTGAAACTAGTTCTGTGCTTCGAAATTGTAATCATAACATGGCTTGTAATACATGTCTCTTGAGATAAAAATCGTCGTCTTGCAATCTTCTTACCAGCAAAATCAACGGGGAAACCCAGATTCGCTTAACAACTGTGTTAAAATTAGGGGAACGTGGTGTTTCTATTGTTCAACTGTTTCCCACGAGACTTAGCGTCATCCAGAGGGACTAAAAATGGCTCAGGTCCATTTTCATGAATCAATTAATAAATAAAGAATGGCTGGCATCTCACAACTTTGCCTGTGTTTCGTTTTGGGTGATGCAGAACCTGGTATTGTGCTGTGTAGAAGAATAACAAGCCAGAGTCATAAAACCAGGATTTGCCTTCAGTGTGGTGGATCAAAGGTTATGCAGGGCAGTTTCTGTTCAAAGGCGATTTTCATTCTCTGTTTGTCCCTGTATTGCAGAATCCGACGCTCCTTATTTCCTTCGGTCTAAAAGGTGGTGTAGCTAAATTAAGATTAGCTCTGCAGCCATGGCTGACAAAAATTATGGTTTCTCGAAGAAATATGTGCCCGGTGTGTTTTGCCATTAATCCCGGTTTATCAAAACTAGGGTTGCAAGTTCAGTGTACATTCATGTAGGGAAAAAAAAAAGCGAAGCAAAATCTTTTTGGCAGCCATACCCATGTGCAGCTTAAGCCATGAATATATTTTTAGTGATAACGTATGGTTGGTATGAAGTTATTTTTGTGCTACGGTGAGGCGTACTTTGAGGCTGTGTTTTAGCGGCGCGTTGCTATCCTTGTATCTTAAAATGTGTAAGAACCTTTGAAAATTATATGGCGGTTAAAATCATCCTTTTTGGCAAAGGAAAAATGTTTTATCTTATCTCTGAACTACTAGGGGATACAGTTATTTTGGTCCAGTTCCTATTATGCTTATGCTGTAAGCTGTCCAGAGTCATTTGACACGGGACGGTCAACAAATAAATGTCATAATAAATTAAAAAAAAATAAACAAATGTATTGGAATTATAAATTCTGCAATCTGTGGAAGTATAGGTGCTAACATGAGGGGTCCTTGGTGCTCTCTGAGCTTGCTTGTCTTCTTACAGTTTTAGAAGAAAGACAGAGAGAAACTCCACTCCCTTTTAGCACTGATGATGTTACCTAGCTGGGTAATGAAACGTCTGCGAAACACATCAATCACGCATTGAATGAAACACCCTACATCCAGGTTCTCAGCCTTAGCAATCTTAAAATATGTGAACTTCAAGGCTGGCTGGGAAATTCTGGGAGCTGAAGTCTCCATGTCTTAAAATTGCTGAAGTTGAGAAACACTGCCCTAAGCAAACCCAAAGTTGACTAATCTTTTTCTTAACAAAAGACTAATGGGTATTCTTCTATAAAACACGGCATTATGGCATTAGCCTTTGGCTTAGGAGCGTTTGATGCCTGTGCTCTATATAGTGATGCAACCGAGATTTATAAACTGGGTTTGGCTTTTCATAGGCAAATCAGGTTCTTTGTATACAGGGCATGTCTATGTTAGTCTGCTAATCTCTTTGTCTTTGCCTTGGTAGGAATTTGAAGACAATTTTGATGATGAACTAGACTTCACCCCGCCCGCAGAAGACACCCCAACAATTCAGTCTCCAGCGGAAGTGTTTACCCTTACGGTACCTAGTATTTCTCTCCCAGCTCCATCCCAATTCCAACTTCCAACAGGTATGAATATCTTCCCTATCCGGCAATTACCCTTCCTTCCCTGTCCCCTCTAGTATTCCCTCATGGCACCCGTTGGTTCTCCAATATTTCTTCTTGCTATTCTAGGCACAGATTCAAACTTGGGTATGATCAAGAGAGGTAGACCTGCTTACTTTTTGAGGTTTTGGATCCTAGCCAGGCTGTTGTGCCCCAGCACAGGGTCATATTATAATCACTGGCACGGATACAACGTGAAGGATGACTTGGTCAAACAGTTAGCTAAACACTCTGGCTGTCTAATACTTAAATATTGCGGATGCAGCTTTGAAGAAATCTCATTTAACTTGGAAAGGAGGGTCCTTAAAATCCGGCTGAGTTCAGTATGGTTTACCCTCCAGTACACCCCGTTGGGTGATAGAGACAGAAGTGAAAATAGCTTTTCTCTAACCATGAACGGGATCAGCTTTGGCGGATAGGAAATTTGCCTCTATTTTGTTTGGGATTTTATACCTTGAAAGTCATACTGAGGAGGAAAAGGACAGAAAGCCTCGGCTACTGAAATCACTTGATCTCTTGATCTTCCGGGTGCAATTCAAGGTGCTGGTTGGCACGTTTAAAGCCCTCCATGGCTTGGGACCAGGTTATCTGAGAGACTGTCTCTTGCCAGTAACATCTACCCGACCCACCAGAGTGGGGAGGCAGGGAATGCTGCGGGTCCGATCCCCTAGGGAGATACACCTGGTGGGACCCATAAGAAGGGCCTTCTCTGTGGTGGCTCCCTCTCTCTGGAACATCATTCCCCCAGAAGTTAAAATGCCCCCCCCCACTCTGACACTCTTCCGGAAGGCGCTGAAGACCTGGTTCTGCCAGCAGGCCTGGGGAACCCAGAGCGGGATGGAGCCCATTAAATGGCTCGTGTGATCGGCTCTCGCTGGGGCAGGAGGTGGAGGGATGGGCGGTGATTTTATTACATTAATTTATTTGATTTTTTTAAATTAGTTTTACTGTTTTTAAACGTAGTTTTTATATTCTGTAAGCCGCCTTGAGTCGCCATGGGCGAATAGACGGCAATATAAAATAAATAAATAAATCTCTCCAGGAAATGTTCATGAAGCTGGACGCCATGTTCATAACTACACAAATGGCCATATATAAAATGGCGGGGAGGTCTTTCTAACATAAAAAAAAAGAAGCTTACGACCATTGTCCTTGCATTTGCAGAACATGCAAGGATAGCTAACGGGGGGGGTGTAGGACCCCCAGCTATTGTCTCAGTATATTGAATGAAACAGGATTTTGTGTTACGCTGTAATATAGAATATTTGTTTGAACATAGTGTATTATATAACTACAGTTATGTTATGTTAACTGCTTACTTAGAATTTAGAGTTTAATGTGCTGCATAATGTGCAGAATAGAACAGAACAGAACAGAACAGAACAGAACAGAACATAGAACAAAACATATGAGTCTTCGGAGAGGGGCGGCATATAAATTGAATTAATTAAATTAAATTAAATTAAATATAGAGTTGGAAGGGACCTTGGAGGTCTTCTAGTCCAACCCCACTGCTTAGGCAGGAAACCCTACACCACTTCAGACAAATGGCTATCCAACCTCTTCTTAAAAACTTCCAGTGTTGGAGCATTCACAACTTCTGGAGGCAAGTTGTTCCACTGATGAATTGTTCTCACTGTCAGGAAATTTCTTCTTAGTTCTAGTTTGCTTCTCTCCTTGATTGGTTTCCATCCATTGCTTCTTGCCTTCAGGCGCTTTAGAGAATAGCTTGACTCCCTGTTTTCCTACTCAGTGGAATCAGAATTGTTTGATTCATAACGTCATTGATTGTGCTACTTACTGTACACGGAAGGAAAACAAATATTGGGTTGTATCCAGTGGTCTCGTTTCACTGCCAGATGCTGTTACCTCAACAGAACAATTTCTAATCTCACTACATATCTCGGAGCAGATGTTGGAAGCGAGACACAGAGAATGCCAGGAAGTCTGTTCACACAACATTCAACTTCAAATTACTTATGATAAGATAGGATAGCGTAGGACGGGTAGGATAGGACAGGACAGGACAAGTATGATTTTGTCCTGCTGTATTGTAACGTAAGAGTTATATTGGATTTCTCTGAAAAATTGTTTATCTAGCCAAACAAAATTTTAATGCTTCTTTTAACATGTTTTCTTTCTATCTATCACAGAAGACCTGAAATCTCAGGTTGCTCGGCAGAATCTAAATTATATCCAAGAAATAGGAAATGGCTGGTTTGGAAAGGTAAGAAATCGGTGCCCTGAATATTACAATTCTTCTGTTCATTTACCTGTCACTTAAAATATTTTTAGTGGTAAAAAGTGAACCCACAACAACAAATCTCTTGAAACGGTTGTGAAGTGTAAGCTGGCCATCTTCACCGTCAGAAGCTTTAGGGCAGAGATGTCCAACCTTGGCAACCTTTAAAACCTGTGGACGTCAACTCCCAGAATTCCCCAGCCAGCCAGCCAGCCAGCCACGCCTGCCAGGATTGTTCTTCTCTTCGAAGTGGAACTGAGATTTGATTCTTTTGCTTTTCAGGTTCTGCTGGGGGAAGTTTACACCGGCACCAGCGTAACCAGAGTCATCGTGAAGGAGTTAAAAGCCAGTGCCAATCCCAAGGAGCAGGAGCGGTTTTTGAGACATGGGGAGCCATATTTGTGAGTAGCCTCTTAGGCCTTTGCTAAGGATACATTTGGAGCAAGTAAGGAGTGCTACTGCACCCATTCCCAAAATCTCAAACCAGGTTTAATTGTAGGAAGGTGAGCCAAGAGTTCTGGTTAGTCAACATTTGGGAATAGGAGGACGTATAGAGATTTGCTAACGGCGTTCACATCTGCAAAATGTTTCATTGTGTTGAGTTTTAAAATGTTTTCCCAATATATCAGCGGACTGAGAATAATTCTCCTTTCCCCCCTCAAGTTTTCAATGTCTCAGGTCACAAATGCAAATTTATTCATTTTTTATTTATTTATTTATTTTATATACCGCCCTACTCCTGAAGGACTCAGGGCGGTGAACAGCCAAACAGTAAAAATACATAGATACAAAATGGTGGGAGGGTATTGGTGATAGTAGGCAGTCCCGTAAATAACCAGGTCCTAAGCCATGTTGAAATTGTTCGTGATCTTTATATTTCTTTTCTGGACTTTTCTTTACAGTATCCTTCAGCATCCCAATATTCTCCACTGTACTGGCCAATACGTGGAAGCCATTCCTTATCTGTTGGTATTTGAATTTTGTGACCTGGTGAGTAAATGAAATCTCAGTTCGAGATCCATTCGGGTTCCCTTAGAAATTCTGTGAATCTGAGGAAGGTCCTTTTTTTTTGTTTTTCTTCCCCTGGAGCAGCGAGCTGGGGAAGGAAGCGCCATTGGGGGGGGGTAGTCTTAGGTGAGAAGAATGCCAGGTGACCTGTTGCTCTTGTCCATAGTTTCATCCGAACCCTGGCTTGCAATTCAGGTAGCTAGAATAAACAAGACAAGTCGACAATAGAAACGATTAACTGGTCTGATAAACTAGAATAAAGGTCAGATAGAGATCTGCTAAGGTGGAGGTTCTTTTGCAAGGCAGGTTGATCTTCTAACATCTTTTTAATGTTTCAATACATTTGCATGCAAACAGAATATATTACAATCATTATTCAGCCACATGACAGCAATTGCATTTCCTAGCAAAGCTGCCATTTCAGATTCATCTCCCTCTCTCCCTCCCTCCCCCTCTCTCTCTTACACACATAACCCTCTCTGAAATACATACATCTAGATTGGTCTGCCCTCTTTATACTAATTCTGTAATAATTTCTTGCATCTCAAGAGATATTCAGTGCTAATTATTTTTCATTTAATTTCCTGGCCTCTGAGGGAGGGCATTATCTTCTTCTCTCCCCCCCCCTTTTCTGGTGGAAAATGCATACTGCTTGGAGATATATATATATATATATATATATTGCATCTGTGTGTTTTCACGGTTCTGATAATTCAGCTCGTTTGCAAGAAGCTTTGGCATATTAAACTTAAAAAGAAAGCACTTCCTTAATGTTCAGGTTAAATAGCAGCAGAAACCGCAATGATTCCGGACTTTGATTCCATGCATGTAATTCACACAAGGACTTTGCTTCTCGGGACAGAATGTGATGCAATAAACTTTGCATATGAAGGGGCCGGAGTCCCATAAGCATACCTGCTCTTTTAATTATGGCCATTGGAAGAAACTCCTGTGGCACTGTCTTCTTTTAATCAAATTCAAGCTTGCCTTGGAAGCAGAAGAGCATAAATATACAGCAGCTGCGAAAACACTTGCCTCGTTGCACGTATGTGAGATGAGTGTGGCTTTTTGTAAGTGAGAAAACGAGTGGGAGGTGCTGCGAGTGTTAATTTGCATTTGTGCCCCTCAGCCCTGCGAACACATACATTTATAGCTACAACTAGACGCGTGAACATTCGTAAAATGAGGTGGTAAAAAGCTTCTTTTTTGACTTAAGCAGATGAGTCCTGGTTACTTGGCTCTACATTCCCACGTGGCAGTTGGTGCTGGCATTCCAGAAAGGGGTTGAAGCAGGATTTCGGAATGGCAAACTCAGTCTGCTTTTGTCAGCATTGGTGGGACTGTTCTCATTTATCTAGGTCTAATTAATTTAGCTAGATATCTGGTGGCGAAGATGTTATCCATTCGGTCGTGCCTGACTCTTAGAGATTCTGTTGGACAGGTCTCTCCACATCTTCCAATCTTGCACTGCTTCTTGAAATTGTCCTATGCTCTGGCTGGTGTCAGCTTTGATAATCTCCAACCATCGTGTTTCTTTGACAGCCTGGTTTCCTTTTACCGCTAACTCCATTCCCAAACGTAACTGTTTTCCCCAGGGAATTCTTCCATCTGATGTGGCCAAAATAAGTGAGACGCAGGTTCGTGATTTTGCTTTCTAGAGACATGACTGGTGTTATGAGCCGTGGTGGCGCAGTGGTTAGAATGCAGTATTGCAGGCTAATTCTGCTGACTGCCGACTGCCAGCAGTTTTGCAGTTCGATCCTGACCGGCTCAAGGTTGACTCAGCCTTCCATCCTTCTGAGGTTGGTAAAATAAGGATCCAGATTGTTGGGTGCAGTAGGCTGACTCTGTAAATTGCTTAGAGAGGGCTGTAAAGCCCTGTGAAGCAGTATGTAAGTCTTAAATGCTATTGCTATTGCCATGCACTCCAATCACCTTGTTAGTCACCTCTTGTTTACCTATTCCTAAATTAGAGCGTCTGGTCTTTTCTAAATGAGCAATTGCTCTCTACTCTCTTTTTGTCCAGGATGATTGTGTAGTAAGCTTACACGGTCCCACTTCATCTATAATTAACTAAGGGTGTTTTGTTTCCTGTCTGTCATCCAGGTTACCCCCGGGTTAAAAATAGGGTAGTAACTGGCTTAATAGCAGTAATAAATTAGCTGATGATATGTGGCCAGTCGGCACACCAAATTCCTTGTTGATAGAATGACGAATGGTGAGCAGAGATCTGTATTATAAAGTGGTTGTGCTGTTTCTATTGCCAGGTTAGCTTGCTTGGCAAGCCCGTCTGGCTTGTGGAGGAAGTCTCTGATTTTAGTAACCTGGCAGGAAGGTGGATTCACATGCTAGTAAGGTTATGCTTAAAATCCTACAAGCTAGGCTCCAGCAGTATGTGGATCGAGAACTACTAGAAGTACAGGCAGGATTTCGAAGAGGCAGAGGAACTAGAGATCAAATTGCCAACATACGCTGGATCATGGAGAAAGCTAGGGAGTTCCAGAAAAACATCTACTTCTGCTTCATTGATTGTGCTAAAGCCTTTGATTGTGTGGATCACAACAAATTGTGGCAAGTTCTTAAAGAAATGGAGTACCAGACCTCTTGAGGTGTCTCTTGAGAAACCTATACACAGGTACCAGAAATGGAGGTAGTGACAGATTTTATTTTCCTGATCACCGCAGATGGGGACTGCAGCCAAGAAATTAAAAGAGGCTTGCTCCTGGGGAGGAAAGCTATGGCAAATCTAGATAGCATAGTAAAAAGCAGAGACATCACCCTGCCAACAAAAGTGCGTCTAGTCAAGGCGATGGTTTTCCCAGTTGCAATGGGTGAAAGTTGGACCATAAGGAAGGCTAAGCGTCAAAGAACTGAGGCCTTTGAATTATGGTGCTGGAGAAGACTCCTGCGAGTCCCTTGGACTGCAAGGCGATCTAACCGGTCAGTCCTAGAGGAGATCAACCCTGACTGCTCTTTAGAAGGCCAGATCCTGAAGAGGAAACTCAGATACTTTGGCCACCTAATGAGAAGAAAGGACTCACTGGAGAAGGGCCTAATGCTGGGAATGATGGAGGGCAAAAGAAGAAGGGGATGGCAGAGAAGGAGGTGGCTGGATGGAGTCACTGAAGCAATTGGTGTGAACTTAAATGGACTCCAGAGGATGGTAGAGGACAGGAAGTCCTGGAGGAATGTTGTCCATGGGGTCGCGATGGGTTGGACACAACAGGAAGGTGGAAAATTAGCTTTTTGGTCCCTGCTGGTGTCTTCTGTCCCTTCTGGTTTCTTGTCTTGAACTTACGGAAGATGAATTTTTCAAGGGTGAACTCTTGCCTCTTTACTTCTAGAGACGGGAAGTTTATACTGTAGCTAGAATAGGGAATCTTTGTTCCGTCTTTTTGCTCCATCACCTCTTCTCCTAATGTGAAGAAAGGCCTAAATCAGTCTTTAACCTTTGGTTCTAATCCATTTTCTTTCATCATCTCAAACGATAGTTGCAGTCCTTTTCCTTACCTGCCCAAATATCTCCTTGTTCCCTCACTGATTATCTGGAATGATTTTGGCCATTTGACTTCATCAGTTTCTTCTTCTCCAAGCTGTATGATTTAGACCAGTACCAGTTCACAGCCCATTAGGAACGGGGCCATGCAAGCAAGTGAAGCTTCATCTTCGTATGCGTGAGTTCTAGGTTGCGTGCAAAACTTCACCCAATCCTCCGGTCCATGGAAATTTCCCCCCCCCACCCCCACAGAACAGGCCCCTGGTGCCCAAAAGGTTAGAAGCTGCTGATTTAGATCAGTGTTTCTCTCACCTTCTCATCTTGAAGAGGTGTGGACTTCAACTCCCAGAATTCCCCAGTCAGCTCTGAGGAATTCTGGAAGTTGAAGTCCACACCTCTTCAAGATGCCAAGGTTGAGAAACACTGGTTCAGACCCTTCAGTGATGCTCAGTGTCACCCTAAGACACCGGCCACATGTTACTACTACTATTTCTATTACTACTGATGAGAAGGGGGAAAAAACTTTTAAAAACATCGAAGAAATATAAAGACGTTCAAATAAAAGATCAAGCAAATGCGGAAAAAGAATCAATTGTAACAGCGCCGGCGTTGGCCGGAGCAATTCTTGCCATCCCAAAGATCTGAAAAGCACCGTCGTATAACTTCGCGTAGTCTCTAAATGAAATACGTCAAGGACTACCTGTAATGCCTTCCTGAGATGCCCCGTTGAGACCTTGACACTGAAGATGTCATGGGTGGACTTGTCAAAGATTAGAAAGATGTCACTTCAAGCACTCCGCAGCTAATGAACAAGGATTGCTCTGGAGCTGTTCCCGAGGGAGGCCTTACATCCTCTGGGACGCCGGTATCCGAAGCAAATATATCCCTGCCCTGTCTGCCTGCCTCTCTGTTTGCTAATGAGAAAGAAAGCCTGTAATTAAATTGGAAAACAGAGATGTCTCTGCCTGCTGTGCCTTGAGCGGTAATGTTTTAAGGCTATGCCTTTCACCCGGAATTCACCTTTAGCAAATCAGGCCAGCTGGCTCTCTCGACATACAAGGGCGAGGAAGGCACATTACAGGGCCTTGCAAAGCTTCCAATTCAGCCTCCAAAATGTTGCTTTGGAAAGTGGCAGGAACGCACTCGTCTGTAGCCTCTTAAAGCCGTTGTCCTAAAAGTGTTATTTCCAAAAGGGCAAGTGGACTTCCTTCGTTTTTTTTCTTGAGGACGTTTCACTTCTCGTCCAAGGAGCTTCTCCAGCTCTGACTGAACGGGGGAACTGAAGGGTGAGAAGCGAAGCGTCTTGAAGGGAAAAATAAAGCAAATCCCATTTCCCTTTTGGAAAAGCATCTCCGGGACAACTATGACCTTGGATGACTTGACCATCTCCTTTGACTTTAGAGCTATTGAGTCTTTTTCCTGGAATTGTATGTGCTCGCTTGGAGGGGGTTGCAGAGAAACGCTTCGTTCATGCTCCGAAGCCCCTTTTTGCAAGCCACATCCAAAGTGCGGTACCTCCTTGTGTGATTCTTAGTTTCTCCAGCTTGTAGAAAAAAACCTGCTGTGCATTTTGATTTTGAGGCATTTAGAGTCATCTTAAGAAAAGTAACTGGTTTAAAAAAATGAATAAATGGACTTTAGAGTTCGCAACATGGTGATCCTTAATTTGCAAATCCATAGCAAGTCTTCCCCACCCTCCCCACCCTTTCTGGAAAAAGTGCCGAGGTGGCGCAGTGGTTAGAGTGCTGTATACTGCAGCTACTTCAGCTGATTGCTAGTTCAGCAGATCAGCGGATCAAATCTCACCAGGCTCAAGGTTTACTCAGCCTTCCATCCTTCCGAGGTGGGTAAAATGAGGACTCAGATTGTTGGGGGGCAATATGCTATGTAGTATACCGTCTTTGGTGTAAGACGCCCAGAGTCCTCGGAGAGTGGGCAGCATAGAAATATGACTAATAAAAAATAAAATAAATAAAATTGTCTTTTTTTTAATCTAGTGTTGCACTGCCCCCTAGTCAGTTCCGTTCAGTGTTTCTTTCATTTTTTTTCTAGCCAGCCTTAACTAATGTCTTTTTGACTCCTAGGAAATATTTTTCTCCTTTTTCTGGACCTTGCAACATTTTAAGCCTTCGGACAATTAAAATATTAATTTGAGGTGCTTTTGTGAGTGGAACATGTTGCTGTGTGTCTGTATTAAAGCTTATTTCTCTGGAGAAGATTCTGATTTCATCATGGGTATAACAAGTCTCTGGATATAATATTCCCATTTTAAAAAGATTCCAGAAGACCTGAACTATTATTGTGGAACTGACAAACATCACAGCGCCCCAGCCTTTCTTTGCCCAGTGATCCAACTTATAATTTCCCCTCTCTCTTAACTCCTAACCCCTTTCCCTTTTTTCTTCGAAAGAAGAGTGGTAGACAGATTGTTTCATCACATGGTTCATATCGTAACTCTGGAGTTTAACTGCTGGATGGCTTTAAACCAGCATGTTTCTATGTGTCTCTTGTATGCTACCTTAAGGGACTTGAAACTTAATGACAGTGCTCTCTTAAGCACCAGTTTATTTATAACTACTGCTAGTGATGTTGTTGATGGGCAGGTACTAAAACTATGTGTTTAGTTGCTGTTTTCTTAAATACCTGTTAACTGCCCGTTGGCAGGAGAGGCTGTTTATAACCATTCTCAAATTGGTTTTTTCAGGGTGACCTAAAAACCTATCTCTGCAACGAGCAGGATAACATTAAAGGAGACTCTCAAATAATGCTGCTACAGAGGATGGCCTGCGAGATTGTGGCAGGACTTGTCACGATGCACAAACACAATTTTGTGCACGGGTGAGTCTTGAATGCCGGGGTGGTTCTTTTTAAAAAATTTTTTAAAGTTTTTTATTTTTATTTCTCATAAACACATTTACACGTACAGTCATTTATCCATCATTTTTCATTCACCTTATCTTTTAACTTTCATTTTTACTTTTTACTTTTTCGGGGCTGCTCTTTTACCATTTACCTTTATTTATTTATTTATTTATTATTCGAATTTCTATACCGCCCTTCTCCTTTCGGACTCAGGGTGAAGGTTTACTCCAACCTTTCTTCTTTTCCTCCCCTTTTCTTCCTTCCTCTTTCTCCTCCTACTTTCTTCTTTTTTCCTCTCCTTCTCTTTCCTTCTTCCCCTTCCTTTCCCCCACTCCTCTCTTCTTCCCCCCTTCTAACCTTCTCTTCTACTCCTCTTTCCCCTCCCTTTTCTTCATCTCCTTTTCCTTTTCCCTTTCTTCTTTCTCCTCTCCTCTCTTCTTCCTTCCTCTCTCTCTACTCCTTCCCCTCTCTCTTGTTGTTTCCCTTTTCAGTTCAATCTAAAGTGGTATTCGAGCAGCCCCGATTTTCTAATTATCTTTATTCTCATTTCAATTTTTTATTCAATTAATATTTATTTTTATTTCATCATTTGTGTACATTTTTATAATATCTCACTTTTTTCCCCTTTTACCCCCCCCCTCCCCTTTCTCCTTTTACTTGGCATCATCTGGGTATCTATTTTTTTAATTGTTTTCTCCCATCTGTTCTCTATCTCTTTTATCTCTATACCCTTATTCATATTTCCTTTCCAACCAATTGGAAAGCAGATAAAATCCCGTTGGAAGGAGAAATTATAAAGAAAATTTTAGAATGTGCAGAAATGAATAGATTAACACTAACAATAAAAGATAAAGAGGAGTCGATGTATTTCAAGACATGGGAAAAATTTTATGATTGGGGTGATTCTTTTTATATATAGACTCAGTGAAGTCTAGTGTCATGGATAGCTGGGGAATTCTGGGAGTTGAAGTCCAGACTTCTTAAGAGTTGCCAAGATTGGGAAACATTGCTCCAGATGGTGCTGTTTGCTAAGGTTGACCTGAGATCTCTGACTCAAAGTATACTTGCCAAGAAACAGAAAGTCTCTTTGCAACACACAATGCTGATCCTTCAGGTTTAAAATAGGGAGGCAAATATAACTGTTGAATGATTGTTGCTATGGCACTTTAGAACCAAGCTGAATTTAAAGCTGAAATTTAGCCTCGTGTTCTCAGAGATAGGCCTGGTAACTTAGTTACGTTCTTGAACTTTCATTTTTTTCTCATTGCAATATTCTGTTGCTGTTGTTTTTTTTACAGAGATTTAGCTTTAAGGAATTGCTTCCTCACATCTGACCTAAATGTAAAAATTGGAGATTATGGAATAGGATTCAGTAGGTACAAGGTAAGTCCACACATTTAGAAGCGCTCATATTAAAAACCTGATTTTGACAGTATCCATTTTTTATCTAAAATCCTGTTACTCAGTTGTTGGGGGATATTTCATGTAGTAGCCACTACATTGGTATGTGTACCGATAACTGACTTGCCAATAGTTATTAGAAATTGCCATGCTGCCTTAAAGTACCCCCATTCTTTATTTCCTAACTGGTTTTGCCGACATTGGTGTATCTTTTGGGTCCGTGTTGACTCAGGGCAACATTAGGGAGGGTGTGCAAATATTTCCATTCCCCCCCTCCCCCATTCTAATCCTGTCTGGATGCAGCTTAATGAGGCTGGCACAGAAAGATTTCCCGTATCTCTTAACCTCTGAAGACCATATTCCAGAAAATGCTACAAGAATACAGTATGCCCAATAACATTTTTCTGACTGATAGAGGAGAGTGGGTGTAGCTCAGGGTTGAACTGTAGGGTCCTTGGTGCTGTCTGAGCTTGGCTGTTTCCTTGCAGACGTTTCATGACCAAAGTAGGGAACATCATCAGTGCTAGAAGAGAAACAGAGAGCAAACCCCCCTCCTTTTTAGTACTGATGATGTTATCTAGTTGGGTCATGAAACATCTGCAAGAAAACGACCAAGTTCAGGGAGCACTTAAGGAACCCACATTTTCCTTCTGATTTTTTAAAACTGTTTATAATATTCTTATGCTGCTTTTTCACTTCTGCAAAAAGCCAGGAAGGGAGGGATTTCTAATTCCTAGGACACTTTTCAATAGTGGGAAAGACTCTTGTTTAATAGATCCGAGATAGATCTATTAGAACTAAATTAGATTTAGATGGGTTCATCTAAATAAATAGGAAAGGCGGCTAATTGCGTTTGATACAGCCATCCTTTAAGATGTGTGTGTGTGTGTTTTTTTAATGTCTAGGAGGATTACATCGAAACGGATGAAAATAAATTCGTACCCCTCCGGTGGACAGCTCCAGAACTGGTGACCAGCTTTCAGGACCGGCTGCTAACAGCAGAACAGACGAAGTACAGCAACGTCTGGTAGGAAAAAGCCAAAGTTACAGGGAGGGGGAGGGAGGACCGGGGAAGAACTGTGGCTTCATAGATCACAAAATCGATCGGATGATTCTATAACTTGATGTTTATGATCCCAGTAGCTCTAACACTTATCACACTTATTTGACGATAAAAAAATCACCCAAATTCTAGATACTGTAAAATCTACCATTGTAAACAAAATCCCCCTCATAAGGGCATCGTTTTCATCCAGTCCTACAAATTATCATATTTTTCGGAGTATAAGACGCTCCGGACTATAAGACGCACCTACCTTTTTTGGGGAGAAAAACAAGAAAAAAAAAATCTACCTCTGCCTCCCAGCAATTTGCCTCCTTTCAGCAAACAGCGGAGGCCGAAAATGGGGCGCACGGAGGCAGCAATAGGCAATGGCAATCCCTGCAGCCTGAAACAGCTGATAGTCGGGAGGCCGATCCAACCGACAATCAGCTGCTTGTGCTAATCGAGCTGTGCTGAAGCTGAAACTTGCTGTTTGCTGCATGGAGGTAAATTGCTGGGAGGCAGAGGCCAAAGGGTGGGGGCTGGCAGGTGGGCGGGGCTACATTCGGTGTATAAGGCGCACCCAAATTTTCACCCTCTTTTGGGGGGGGGAGTGTGTTTTATAAAAATACGGTAAGTCTCCCCCCAACCCCAGCTGTATTTTAAAATTTAAGACCCTCTACACTACTGTTTTTTTTTGATACAGAGAGGCACAACATGAGTAGGTTCCTAATATTTGTTCCAACCTGCTCTCAAGTAGTAAATCTTCTGAAAATCTGAACAGGCAAAAGCAAAAAAGCCGGCCTTCCATTAGTGAATGGACATCTTACTGAAGCCTTCTCTTTTTCCAGGGCCCTGGGAGTGACGCTGTGGGAACTTTTCAGTGGCGCCACCAAGCCTTATTCTGAGCTCTCCGATGAGGAGGTTTTGACGCAAGTCATCAAAGAAAAACAGACCAAGCTGTCGCAACCACCACTCGAGCAGCCGTATTCTGATCGATGGTAAAAAAAACACCACGTTTTTGACTTTCAGTCAAGCTCTGTTATACAATAAGAGTTTCAAAGTAGTTGAGAAAGCTTCAAGCATGTTCTTAGCCTACAAATGAAGGATGGGGGAAAGAAGGGAAGGGAAGGAAAAGGAAAGGAAAGGAAAATGGGGGAGGAAAGGAAAAGGAAAGGAAAATGGAGGGAGGAAAGGAAAGGAAAATGGGGGAGGAAAGGGAAATGTAAAGAAAGGAAGGGAAATGTAAGGAAGGGAAGAGAAAAGAAAAAAAATGGAGGGAGAGAGGAAGGGAAGGGAAAGGTAGGGAAGGGAAGGAAAAGAAAATGGAGAAAGGAAAGGAAAAGAAAATGGGAGGAAAGGAAAGGAAGGAAAGGAAAAGAAAATGGGGGGAGGAAAGGAAGGAAAGGAAAAGAAAAGAAAATGGAGGGAGGAAAGGAAAGGAAAAAGGAAAGAAGGGAAGGAAAGGAAGCTGAGATCGAGGCCGTTTGTTGATTGCCCCTCCCGGAGTTCAAAATTGTTCTCCGATTTGTAATTTCGAAAAATTAAAGAATAAAAACTTTCCAGTTAAAATCACTTTTTGAAAAGCAAGGTTACTTTAGGAAACCCTTGCAAAGAGCTCTTGACCTGAAATGATTTCCTCGTTACAAACAGTACATTTGAAATCTCATCCTTCCAGGTATGAAGTCCTGCAGTTCTGCTGGCTGTCTCCAGAAAAGCGAGCCACATCCGAGGAAGTCCATAAGCTTTTGGTCTATCTCTGCATGCAAAGTCAAAGGGATTCTGTCATTGATCCCGAACAGTGGGACGATCTCAAGCCGAACATTTCAAACCGAGAACCGTTGGGGAGTTCCGCTTTTCCCATCCTGGATCATTTCAACGGCAGCCGATTTGGCCGTGAGATGGAAGAGGTTCTCACCGTAACCGAAACAAGCCGAGGACTCAACTTTGAATACATCTGGGAGACAGCCAAACTCGACCACTTTGAATGTAACCAGTCAAACCCCGTCGAAACGAAGACTTACACAAACATCTTCTTCCCGGTGGAGGTATTTGAGAACACGCTGACTGACCAAGGACCTGGAGCTCAGGTTGAAAGTGGGCAGGAAGTTTCCCTCCTGGTGCCTGGAGAACTTCCCGTCTTTAACGCCCGTAAACCTTCGATTGGAAGCGATTATTACATCCAATTAGAAGAAAAAATTGGAGGCCTTAGGAGCATCAACTTCGACCACCAGGTTGCCGAATTGACAACAGAAGTGGACGACAACGCTGAAGTTCTGAAAGACCAAAATTGTCCCTTCGTGGTTCTAGAACACTTTGCGGATGAATCTAGTACAGATGGGGACATTTTCTGTAATAGTACAGATCCCAAGGAAGAGAATTTACACAGAGTTGGTCTGGTTAGCCATTCCCAAAATGGTGGTATCACCAAAAATGAATGGTTGGCAAATCGAATCAATAGACTGGATTTAGCAGATGTAAATGATATCCATCTGGAGCGGGAAGCAATTTCATGCTCGGATCTTGAGGAATCCACCCGTGGCTTGCTCAAGAAGGGAAGCTCCCCGCTCGCTTCTCAAAACGAAGTTGATTACTTGCAAGAAGATACCTCACAGGAATCCGAATTTAGCCAACTGACTTTAGAGGAGCTATCCAATAACTTCCTTTTTCTTCAGGAGAAGAATCTGTTGAAGTGGACAGCAAGGGACGAAAGTGGTGGCAACCTCAGTGGAGCTCACGACCGAACAGATAAACCAGACCCACCAAATACGAACTCTTTGGGAGTTGAATGTAACATGAGTGGGAAAGTTCATGACACTAAAAAGGACCTTCTTGGGCCAATAGGGACGCTTTCTGGTTCCCCTGGGGTTGATAAACTCCTGTTGTCTTTTTCTAGCCCGGAGAAAAATCCTCCTAACAGAGAAGTTGGTGGTAACTCTACCCACAATGTTGCCTCTTCTCTCCTTGAAACGGAACGCGTCTCCGATCTCGGTTCAACGGATATCCATTCCACACATGTCAAAAACCAGACCCATGGCGTTGGCTCCTGCCCTGGTGTCTCACTCAATGCTCAAGAAGAAAGAAAAGAAAAGAAACAGGGACTTCAACACAGCAGTAACTCCTGGGAGTTGACCCCTGATTTAAACCCTGAGAAACCCGAACAAGATAACGCATACGTTCCGAAAGAAAGTGACAGAACCTCTCAAGATGAAAAGTATGATCCGGAAAGTCGTCTTCCCACAGATCGCATTAGCCACGATAGCCTACTAGAAGACAGTTCATCAGGTTCAACCCCGAGCCTGGGACAACTGGTCGATACGCCAGACTCATTTGAGACATTAGATATGAACGAAGTTTTAGAGAGTCCCCGGAAATGTTTACCGCCTGATAAACCTGCCGATAGCGGCTACGAAACGGAAAACCTGGAATCTCCCGAATGGACTTCGCATCTGGTTGGCAGCAGTTCTAGTGAATTGGGTGGAGATCTCGTGCGGGAGAACCCCACAATCATCGTGTCGGCGGATGTCAGTTCTTACGCTGACCCGACGAATGTGGATAATTTTGAAACCACTCCTCGAGCAGCTTTGGAGGGCGTCCATAATTCATACAGAGATTCGGCCTACTTTTCCGATAACGATTCGGAGATAGATAAGAAATCTGAGGTTATGCATCTATCGAAAAAATCAACAGTATTAACCAAGAACCACGCTGATTTCTTTGAAATGGAAAATGCCGGGGATACAAAAAACCCTTCTAGGGGCGGTGAAATAGCTAATTATCAGTTTGTCAATGACTTGACCTCACAGCTGGAGGTGAAAGGAGGAGGAGAAGACGAGTCAGATGAAACAAAGCAGGAGTGGATTCATAAAGCCGAAGGTACAACGACAACACCCCTTGTCCCTGACCTAGAACATACAGATGAAGATGAAATATATGAGGATTTCCCCAAAAGTGTATCTTGCACAGGCACCAGTACGGCGGATTTTTTCCCCGAGGGCGATCTGAAGCTGACGCCCGCCTTGTACGGTGCTCCCGAACTCTTTGAGAAATCCATATTGGGCCAGCTCGAAGGCCATAAATTGAAAGAACCAGACATCGAAGGAAAGTATCTGGGGAAGCTTGATGTTTCTGGGATGCTGGAGCTCTCCTTAGACGAAGAGGATGCCGACGAGGAAGATGGGAACAGCGACGATTCTGAGGACGATATGAAGAGTTTCCACCTCCAAGGGCTTAGCTCGGACAGCGACGAGGACATTATGGTGCACCCCGTGCCGGAGATCATCAGCGATGGAAGTGATGGGAAGCACCTAAGAAGCTTGCTGAAACAGCCAAAGCAACCCCAGGAGAACCACTCAACCGACGCCTTTCAGAAGAATGGAAAAAAAGCCGTAACATTCTTTGACGATGTCACCTTATATCTATTTGATCAGGTATCTTCCCTTTTTTTTTTTTTTTGTTTAATTATTGGATTTCAGAATAGACTCTTCTTTAAAAAAAGGTTGCTTCCTTCCCTGCCTAGGTAAGGAAGAAGGCAGTGTATGTCCTGAGTAAAGAAAGACAGACTAGATTCTACCCTAGCTGGCAGCCACTGTCTGTTCCCAAGGCAGTTGGTTGTGGAGGGGCACACTCAGCATGACAACATTAGCCTGGCTTGAAGGTGTGACACCCAAGTCCAGTCAGTGACGGGGTTCATGTCCCTCTGTTGTGGTCCGCCAGCAGCCTGGGACCTGAGGAGGCTGGGGAGGACCATGGGCCAGTCCTGGAGTCTGGGGAAGGCTCGGATGAGGGCTCTGCGTCGAAGGCAGAGAAAGGGCCATCTGGGAGTTCTGTGCGGACTCCAGAGCCTCCAGAGTTGGACCTCAGCGAGGCAGAGGAACAGGGGGAGCCTGTTCCCAGTGCGCACATGCACAGAGCTGCCAGAAGCCAGCTAAAACAAAAGGGACGACTCGGGAGTAGGGCTGGGAGATGATTGGCCCCTCCCATAAGACTTAAAAGAGGAGCAAAGGCACGTGGGCCTTTGCAGGAAGCAACATTGTTAATCCTGTTCAGTTTAAAGCCTGAAGCTCTGTTTGATTCTGGACTCCGTGTGGCTTTGCCAATGAGGTCTTTGGCAGCTCGTCAAGGGAGATAAAGCTGGATGATTATCAGCCTTATTCCGAAGGACTCTTTACAACTATTGGGGACTCTGTGAATGAACAGAATTCACATCTGTTAAAATAAAACAGGTTTTTGGGACAACTCGTGTGCTTTACTGACTCAGGAGGCCTAGTTCAGAACACCCTCAAAGATGACAGTGAGAAGGAGGGGAGAGGTCAGGGCAGCAACAGAGAGTCGTCTTGAAGAAGGGTTTAAGGATTTAAGATTCCACTGTTTCTACAGAGTCCTGTGTTCAGATTGTCGTTTCTCAGCTTTGTAATTTAAGACGTGTAAGGACTGCAATTCTCAGAATTCCCCATCCAGCAATGGTGGCTGGAGAATTCTGGAAGTTGGAAGTCCACATGTCTTAAAGTTGCTAAGGTTGAGAAGAATACAGACAGATTAATAGAGTTGGAAGGGACCTTGCAGGTCATCTAGTCCAATCCCCCGCCCAAGCAGGAGACCCAACATCATTTCTGACAAATGGCAGTCCAGTCTCTTCTTGAAAGCTTCCACTGATGAAGCTCCCACAACTTCCGAAGGCACTTGGAAAAACCATGTCTTGCTGTGTGGTAGAATTATGCAGGTAGTTCTCGACGTACGACCACAATTAAGCCCAACATTTCCGTTGCTAAGCGAGGCAGTTGTCAAAGGTGAGGTTTGCCCCATTTTACGGCCTTTCTTCCCACCGTTGTTAAGTGAATCACTGCAGTTCTTAAATTAGTAACACGGTTTGTTCAGTGAATCTGGCTTCCCCGTTGACTTTGCCTGTCAGGAGGTCGCAAAAGGTGATCACATGACCGGGGGGGGGGCACTGCAACAGTCATAAGTACATGCCAGTTGCCAAGTGTCTGGATTTTGATCATGTGACCATGGGGATGCTACAACGCAGGGGTGAAATCCAGCAGGTTCTAACAGGTTCTGAAGAACCGGTAGCGGAAATTTTGAGTAGTTTGGAGAACCGGCAAATACCACCTCTGGCTGGCCCCAGAGTGGGGTGGGAATGGGGATTTTGCAATATCCTTCCCCCAGGAGAGGAGGGAATGGAGATTTTGCAATATCCTTCCCCTGCCACGCTCACCAAGCCACACCCACAGAACCGGTAGGGGGAAAAAATTGGATTTCACCCCTGCTACAACAGTTGTGTCACTTTGAACGCTCACTAAACAAACACAACAGTCGAGGATTACCTGTAAGACGCTAGTTTTATTTTTATTATTTTTATTATTATTTATTTTTATATGCCGCCCTTCTCCGAAGACTCAGGGCGGCTTACAATGCGTTAAGCAATAGCCTTCATACTTTTGTATATTTTTATAAAAAGTCAGCTTATTGCTCCCACAATCTGGGTCCTCATTTTACTCACCTTAGAAAGGATGGAAGGCTGAGTCAACCTTGAGCCTGGTGAGAATTTAACTCGCAGTAAGTTCAATTTCTTGTTGCATTTCTTGTGATCCTTTTTTTAGGAAACACCAACCAAAGAACTCGGAAAGCGTATTGCCGAATCAAACTCTAATCACACTCCTGCCCTGCCTGCCGGTTTTGGTTACTTGAATAAATTCACCAGTTCAGAAAGCTCTACGGATGAAGAAGGTATACATTCTGTTTGTTTTTGGACACAAGTAGAAAAATAGGTTCCCCCTACAAGAAAACCTAAGTTTTGGAATTGTCAGCCAATACCGTTCCTCTTAACATCCGCAAAAGCTTTGTTTTCCAGTTGAATTTCTCCAAACGTCAAATTTTCTAGGGCAAGCCGAACTTGCTTTTTATCACATCCACGCTTGCTTCCTTTTATTATTTTTTTTAATAACCATTCTGTTCCCTTATCTGACAATTCCAAAATCCATCAAAATAAGCACCCTCTAGGAAGGTGATACAAATAATGTTAGTGTCAGGTTTCGAGGTCGTCTCAAATAAATTGCATTTCAAACAAAGTCTTTCATGAAAAACTCCCATTTATTAAGCATGACATTCTAACTCTGACTCCATCATAGCCAACACTGACTTCCTGACCCAAAACCCTCCCTTTCCTTTCCCCACTCCTCTGCACTCGTTGGCCATCTTCCAAGTCACTCTACCCCTAATCTACTGCTCCAGCTCAAAGGAATTTCCCCCCTCCCATCCCATCTCCTAGGGGATATTATCTCCAGGGAAAATAAGTAGGTGAAAAGTCAAACGTCCCTTTCCAGACGCCTCCGCTTCTCCTTCTTATGTCAGCACTAGAGTAAATGCAGCTTGAAGTGCTGACAGTTTACTTCGCATGCAGAAGGCTGAATGGTAGTTGGGAAGCTCTTTATTCAGGGCATTTTAAAATCATGTGATCAATAAAGGAGAATATTTGTAGCTCGGGGTTGACCTGAGGAGTCCTTGGTGCTCTCTGAGCTTGGTGGTTTCCTTGGAGATGTTCCATGACCCAACTAGGTAACACCATCAGTGCTAGAAGGGAAGGGGATTTGTGGAGAAGGGGAGGAGGAGGAAGGAGGACTGTGGGGTCCTTGGTGCTCTCTGAGCTTGGTAGTTTTCTTGTAGACATTTCACGACCCAACTAGGTAACATCATCAGTGCTACAGAGGACTTGTAGAGAGGAGGAGGAGGAGGACTGTGGGGTCCTTGGTGCTCTCTGAGCTTGGTAGTTTTCTTGTAGACGTTTCATGACCCAACTAGAGAACATCATCAGGGTTAGAAGGGAATAGGGTTTGGGGAGAGGAGGAGGGAGAGGGGGAAGGTGGAGAAGGAAGAGGAGGAGGATTGTGGGGCCCTTGATGTTCTCTGAGCTTGGCGGGTTTCTTGTAGACCTTTCAGGACCCAACTAGGTAACACCATCAGTGCTAGAACTGTGCGGTTGATTTGAAGCACGATTGATCGAGAAGAACCATTGGTTTCGATAAGTTTTAATGGACCTCAGATGTCCCTCTTCTTTGTCTGAAACGTGCTTGTTCCAGGAGGTTTTGAGTGGGACGATGACTTCCCTTCCCCTGGTCCCTCCGTGATCTTGAAGGCCGCCAGCACACTCATCACTTCCAAGTCGTCTTCTCTTCAGACCTCAAAGTACCTCTCCCCTCCGCCGCCGCCCCGAAGCCCTGAGCAGGACTGGTTCCGCCCTTCCCCTTACTCCAGGTTCTCTATCTCACCGGCAAACATTGCAAGCTTTTCGCTCACCCACCTGACAGACTCCGATATCGAACAGGGAGGTGAGTATTTTCTTCCAGCCCATGGCTTGGCCGCTCTTAACAAGCAGAAATCCCAAAAGTTGCTTTTTAAAGAAGGCAGCTGGACTTTTTGTTTTTCCCCTGAAGACGTTTCCCTTCTCATCCAAGAAGCTTCTTCACTTCTGAAGATGTTCTTCTCAGAGCTGAAGAAGCTTCTCGGATGAGAAGGGAAACATCTTCAAGGAAAAACAAGAATAGAATGGAATGGAATGGAATGGAATGGAATGGAATGGAATGGAATGGAATAGAATAGAATAGAATAGAATAGAATAGAATAGAATAGAATAGACATGATTTTAAAAGCTAGGAGTTTTCTACACATCGGCAAAGCAGACTAAATAAGCAGGCTCTTCATTGGCTCATTTTCATTGTTTTAAAGCATGGAATCGGGACATTTTTTTTTTTCTTCTCCTGTGTAAATGGCCTGGCACTCAGTGTTTGGGTCAGCGCTCCGATTCCCTCAAGAAACACTGTTTGCATTTGGTCGAAACGCCGATTAGATAAGCCGCGTTGCTTGTTTTAGCCGGTAACTCATAGGGCAGCTTTCTTTGATGTCCCCCAGCGGTGACCTTGAAGCGTGCGATGTAGACAGTTGTGCTTGGGAGGCTGGCAGGTGTGTCCACCTTTTTTTGTAATAGGAGGTGGAGAATACTGCCTTGTACATTAGGATGTCCCTTGTAAAGAAAGGGTGGGGGGCAAAAACTGATCCTAACCCTTGGGGAAAACTGTTATAACATCGATATGGAGCAACACACCTTTTGCGCAGGTAATTTGTAAAGATTCTCCCACTTTCATTTCGATTCGGTTAGCCTGCTAGAAATTACCACAACAAATTAGGCCTAAAAAAAAAAAAAAAATCTGCAGAGTTAAGCCAGTGTTTCTCAACCTTGGCCCTGGCTGGGGAATTCTGGGAGTTGAAGTCCGTGCATCTTTAAAGTGGCCAAGGTTGAAAAACACTAATTTAGAGGGTCCTTCAAGCAGACTCTCTCTCTCTCTCTCTCTCTCTCTCTCTCTCTCTCTCTCTCTCTCTCTCTCAAGTTATTCGTAATTGCAATAACTTTGTTTCCTCAACAGGGAGCAGTGAAGATGGAGAAAAAGATTAAGAGGTGAAACTTCTCTCGGTCTGTCCTTGGGATTGCGGGGGAAATACCTCCGCTTTGGACTAAGAGCCATTTAAAAAGGAAAAAAAAAAAGCTGCATCTGAAGACCTACTGAAGTCCTACAATCCAATAACCGGATACAACGATTGAGGGAAACACGCAGTCAGGAGCAGAATTTGGAATGGATGTATTTCACGGTGTACTATTTTGGAAAAGCAGTGCATTTGGCATTTCCTCTTTAAATATATGTATATATATATAAATGATATATATATATATATATATACATATCAAAAACAGACCTCCCTATCCTAGCTCTCTCCCAGTACTTGAAATAATCCTCCAGATGATTTGTACCACAGTGATGTTCTGGTTTATATATAGGATTGTAATATACTTTTTTTGTTTGTTTGTTTTTGGAGGGGGGGGTAGTAGCCATGTATTATCTGTACGAACGTGTAAAATTGTATATAGTCGAGCTGCGGATGTACTACATTCCTTGATCGAGCCGAGAGCTGTTGTGTAGCAAGCCATATTTTGCAGGTTTCGCTCCTTGCTTAGCTGTAGGCATGCTAGTTGTGTCCTTGCCCAGCCCCTTCGCACTGTACAAAGCATTCTGGATCAATGGGAATTGTAGTACCGGCTTATTGTAAATGGGTTTCGTTTTACTCCCGTGTGTCTTTTTCCCACGAATCGAATCGACTCGTCGGAGAATACAGAACTTGAGTTATTGTTTTCTTTTTAAGGATGTCTGCCACTTTTTGTGTTTCTAAAAAGGCCACCCACTTGGAGACAGAAAGGAAGATAATTCTCACTTACAATTAACGGGGGATCGGTTGACTTATTTTTATTTGCGGTTGGCTAAAAATGGTGATGGTGAACTGGTTTTGGGGTTTTCCTTGGTTTTTTTTGTAGGGCAAATTGTCTGGGTTTTTGTTGGATGTTTGTGTGTGTGTGTGTCTGCCCATGTGCAATCCCTGTCTGAACGATCTTCTTTGATTACCAGACAACTTGTACGTTGGCATTGTCCATGTCAACTGTTGACATTGTCCATGTCAACTGTTGACATTGTCCATGTCAACTTTTAAGGATCCGTCCACGGTTCTGGTCGCAGTCTGATAGAAGATGCTTTCACTTCTGCCATCAGTGATCTTCCTTTTTGAAGTCCTGTAAAAAAAAAGAAGCTTGCACAAGTTTGAGCTCTCTGGGTCTTCCTGGGTCTTAAACATGAGCATGGATCACAACAATCTTCAGTAGGTCTTTGGTCCATGACTGATGTTAAAGTTTTCTCTTGCATGAGTTCCGAAACTTAATTGTCCCAAGGTCTTTCAGGATGCAAGTTGCAACGTATGGGCTAATAGGCAGTATTTCATTCAACCCCGAGGTTCTAGCCCTGCTCAGAGGATCTTTTCTGAGCTTCAGTCAACTTTGTGTAAATCTATCCAGAATGTTCCCAAAATAGGAGAAGGCCCTGGTTGTGACAAGCACAGCTTTTAAGTTACACCTTACGTGGGCAAGCAGCTTTGCTTCTCAGTAAAACAGTTCTCGCTTTCTCTCTTTAAAACGTATCCTCGTGCTAAAAACAAGCATTTGTGCTGCTTTGTGTAATTTGCACCCCACAGTTTGGTAGAGGAAGAACATGCTTGCAACCTGTTTGTAAAGCCATTGGGTCGTCGTACAAAACGAGCTGCTGAAGGAATGAATTTTTGAGAATTTCTTGAACAAGATAGAATGAAAAAAAAAAATCTCGTGGAAAGAAACATGGATGTTTTTAAACCCTTCCCCGATCTTAGTTCTTGGAAGCGATGCGAAGGGTAGAAACGGTCATGCGTGAAACATGCCAGGGAGTGGTAGAGCACTGACGTGTAAGCATCTTAAGAACTCCCCAAAACAGTAGCATGTTTATGCTTCTTGAGTTCAGTTTCAGCACCTGCCAACATGCCTTAGAGCAGAGGTCTTCAAACTTGGCAACTTTAAGACTTGTGAATTTCAACTCCCAGAATTCTGGGAGTTGATGTCCACAAGTCTTAAAGTTGCCAAGTTTGAAGACCTCTGCCTTAGAGCATGGGGTCTCCAACCTTGGCAACTTTAAGCCTTGTGGACTTCAACTGCCAGCAAAGCTGGCTGAGGAATTCTGGCAGTTGGAAGTCCACAAGTCTTAAAAGTTGCCAAGATTGAACACCCCATGCCTTAGAGAGCTCTGCTCTTGACGTGGTGGCCCTTGACAGATCCAACTTCTCCAGGCACCGAATTCCTTCTTAACTGACAGCCTTGGATCTGGCCTTCTCCACTCTTGGAGAAACTCGCAGTCTGAAGTGAGACCTCTTCTATAAGATTATGATACGTCGGGAACTCAAAGCTGAGCCTTCTCAACTCTTGCTGTTGGGTCGCAGAGCTGCCTAGGCCCTTGGCCTCGGTGTGGTTGGAACTTGGGACGTTGTTTGTGGCAGCTGTCCTTGCAAACCTGCTCCCTTCAGGGCAGAAGACACCTTAATGGCAAACACCATTTGGTAAGGTTGAGTGAAGTGGATGTTGGCAGTCTTCCCTTCATTTTGGAGTCTTGCAATTGAGTATCAGAATCCGACTTGACCCAACCTGCATTCTACATTACAGAGTTTTCTCCAGATTCTCGGGGCGTCTTCCTGTCGCCTTGCCCCTCACCCCACTCCACTTCCCTTTAATCCCATGTCTAAACTTTGAACACGAATTGCAAACGCCTATTTTTGGATAAACCCGGGGCAACTCTTTGTGTTTTCATTGAGAAGGTATCGTTCCAGGTACACCATGCCCCAGGCTGCGTCAGAAATCCTTTCCTTGAGCTTGAAATCTACATGCATCTCTTGAGGTCTTCAAGCTTTTAAAATTAAAGTTGAAAGTCCCACATTAGCTGAAGGCAGCTGAGCCTCGCCAGATGTTTTCAGCAGCTCCAGCTGTCCTCTGGTCCTAGTTTCTGAGATTCCGCAGGAGAACTGAGGGTTTATGCCGAGAACCGGTGCTGGTGGATGGCCGTTCGCACTAAAATATAGGTGGGATCAGGAGCCTAGAAGCTTTGCAAACCAGGACCTTGGTTGGAGTAACTTGCAAAGAAGATACGTCAAGCTTGGGTTGTCTCGACACAGTTCTCTTACATAGGCGAATGCTTTGTTTACGGTAGAGCTGCTGTTAGAACGATCCCTAAGGACGCAATTTCAGGAGGACTCATAAGCTCCCAAGATAAACCAGTCTGTCAACCTTTCTTTTGTTGGGGGGGGGGGGGAGGGGGTGGGCCCAGTAGTAGCACTAACGGAGGTTCCCGTTCTATGGAAAGCCCCCCCCCCTTGAATATTTGTAGTTAGGCTTTTAATGGCTAAATCCTTTCCGAGTTCCGTCCTTTATAAATAAACGCTGCTGATTTTGGGGAGGGGGGAATGAAAGTTTTCTTTTTTTAAAGAAAATGAAAATGACACTAATGAAAGCTGCCTGTGTATACATTTTAAACACTGTTTTAGATTAATTAGTATGCAGATTTTGTTTTTCCTTTTTTTTTTGAGAGAGAGCGAGAGAGAGAGAGAGACAACTCTGGGGGTTTTGATAGAGAAAAACAATTGTGTAAAATTTTACGGGGGGTGGGTGGGCAAAGGGGCTATTTAGATTGGAAGTAGAACTGTTACTGCTTTGGGAGAAATAGCCTTAATAATAATAAAAAAAAACAGAGGAAACAAATCGCCTCAGCTTTAATTTGTATAAAATACTCACTTCTGAAGAGGAAAAGAAAAAAAAAAAAGAAAATTAAAATGTCTTTCAGGAAATATGCTACAGGAGAAACATTTGATTTATTAGTCGCATTTTTATGCGACTTCATCTTTGATGAAGAGCAGGTAACAAAATGTTCTGTTCCACAGCCTGGTTTTTAATCTTTATTTTATTTTATTATTATTCAGTTAAAACTTGAATGAATTTAAGACGTCCGGTTCTGTTTAGCCATTTGTCTGATCTTGCACAGTGGTGGGTAATGATAAAAACGGTTTCAATTCTGTGTGTATATATATATACGACGTTTTATTCTATTTGTACATCAGGAAATTTATGTAACAAAAATCATAGGGGGAGACATTTTTCCGATTGGGGGTTTAATACAGCGATGAGGTTCGTGGCAATATGCTAGCTAATTAAATTCCAGGTCGAATTTATCTTTAAACTGTGTGTAAATTTTAAAACTGTTAAGATTTCTACTGTATATTGATCATGCATAGTGTGATCTAAGGCTGCTTGTAATTTAAAGAACCTTATTTAATATTCAAAATAAAAATAAAGCTATATATTTATAAGCCTGGAATCTGACGTTCCTTCTGTTTTGATGCGTTCCATGGTGCGTGACATTGATTGATTGATTGATGGCGACCACATAGATTTTCTCCATAAAAGGTGCCATTTAAAGAAGGCAAAATCTTCCCGGGAACTGTATCGTCTTCTTCACTTTGGCTTCTTGGCCTGAGAAGGTCTGTGATTACTTTGTTCTACAATAATGTTTGCCAAAGTTAGAAAAGCATAATGTTTGGAGGTTGAATAAATGAATTCTTAAGTAGATATGAAATCTGATATTGGCCGGAGTGCGTGTGTGTGTGTGCAATTGTGTGTCTGTGTGTGCTGTGGGGGGGAAGGGGATCAGAAAGAAGCAAGCAGGTGAACCAGTTTGTAGCTTGGCCTGCGCCCAAAGAGAACATTAAACTACACTTCTTCCTTTCTCCCTTCCTTTCAATCTCTTTAATTTTTTTTCCCTTGGATCTTTCACAAGTCCTTCTTATTTGAGCCAAATGGCTTTTCCCACCAACAAAAACCTATGGATCGGAACCTCAGCTTTTGAGGATCGAACGTCACGCTCCTGCTTTCGCCTCTGTGTCCTGGGTTGGCACTTGCCCTCCAACCACAGCTGCCCCACCTGAAGAGAGTCCCAGAGTTGTAAACGAATGCATCTAGGAAACTCGGCAACTTAAAAGGAAAGCTGAGGAACTTCCGAAACGATTATGGCGTTTGGTGCCACCTTCCTTTCCATGCTCAAAAAAACAAACCATGTGCAACCAGAGACTTAAAAGCTGCAGTTGACTGAAGGGCTTCAGTCCTCCAACGTTGGCCATCAGCAGCACCCCAACTTTTCTGCCTTGCACCATTCCAGAAGAACACCGTCGCCCCAAATTCTGGGCCTCAATTCTAGAATCCCAAGTTGAGCTGCAGCCAGACGGGGAAAATATTCTGCTCAAAAATCTTGCCGTTCTTGGCTTATTTGCAGTAGACTTGGCCATGCCAGACTCCGCCTCCTTACCTGTTAGTGCATTAAAGTGACGTGTCCTAACTCAGGTGAACAGTCCGTAGCAGATGGGGATGGGCAGACAGCTGGCTTCCTGGGAGATGGGTCACCTTCTCCTGCTGAGGCCCGGTCTGCATTTTTTATGATCCATGCCAGGTTAGAACGGTTGAAGGATGCCATTGGCACCTGTTTCAGGTAAGGAATCTCGAATCATTTCTGGCCTCTTCCATTCAGAGCCATCGTGGGCAAATATTTGGGAATGAAAGAAGGGGGTGATCAAATTGATAAATGGCTCTCGCACGGCGGTCTACAAAAAAAACTCTACTCTGATCTCTCTTGAAATGTCTTTAAAAATCCTCTTCCCCTAAATTGAAGACTTTCTTTGCACGGTTGTCTTAACAATAACAAGAGTTGGAAGGGACCTTGGAGGTCTTCTAGTCCAACCCCCTGCCTAGGCAGGAAACCCTACACCACTTCAGTCAAATAGTTGTCCAACATCTTAAAAACTTCCAATGTTGGAGCATTCACAATTTCTGGAGGCAAGTTGTTCCACCGATTAACTATTCTAACTGCCAGGAAATTTCTCTTTAGTTCTAAGTTGCTTCTCTCCTTGATTAGTTTCCATCCATCGCTTCTCCTCCCTTCAGGTGCTTTGGGGAATAGATTGACCCCCCTCTTCTTTATGGCACCCCCTTAGATTTTGGTACACCGCTATCGTGTGTACCGATAGTCCTTTTCATTCAGCGTTTTTTGGGTCTCGAATACGGGGAAAGCACACCAAGGAACCAAATTTCTGAACCTCTCCAAAAAAAAAAAGGGGGAGGGGATATTATGATTTTTTAATCCAAGATGAGAATGTTACCCCAGTATGAATCTACAGAAGAGTTATTCTTTTTTTTTAAAGTTTTTATTTTTTTAAAACAAACATACAAACAAACAGTACATTTTTTTCTGAATAGAGTATTGACCGAGTCAAAATGTATACAGCTTATAACGTAAGTATAATATTTTAACCATCCTCTTCTGTATAGAGAGAGGATACAGAAGAGTTATTCAAAGACCAGTTCACTTTGCCCCGGCATAGACCTAGGTTGGCAACCCCACCGATCTGCAAGCTAAGAATTGTGGTTTATTACAATGGGCAGGCCCATGTAGAAATCCTGGATCGAACCGAATACATTTTGCACCAACAAATGAGCTGAAAATGGGGGAAAAGATAATAATGCTGGTTTAATTCGATGTCTCTCCCCCACCTGTTCCATCGAAAGGACCGAGGAGTTATATGACGTCCGTATTCTCTTCCCTTCCCTTCCCTTCCTCCTCTTTCTTTTTGGAGGTGAACACCTGATTAACCTTTGTTGCAAGGACAAGCGATTAGATTGTTCTGTGTTGTACATTGTACATTGCTTTACCTTATAACAATTCTTGGCTGGGGGGGGGGGTGTGCGGCTCCGTGAGCACCCATGGGCTGTGGATTTCACTCAAGGTCTTTCATTCAACTTTGTTTCACGATCCGAGATTTTAATTTGGGTGTTTGTACCCAATGCAAACTCTGCAGAGCCCCCCTTTGCATTCCTCTTTGAATCCTGTCCAAAAATTTGCAATTTTGGCTGCCTTGGCCAATACCTTGATGATAAGGTTCTGTATCTAGCTATTTCACCCTTCGAAAGCAAGGCGGTAAGAGCAACGACGCGGTGGCTCAGTGGCTAAGGTGCTGAGCTTGTCGATCGAAAGGTCAGCAGTTCAGCGGTTCGAATCCCTGGTGCCGCATAACGGGGTGAGCTCCTGTGACTTGTCCCAGCTTCTGCCAACCTAGCAGTTCGAAAGCACGTAAAAAAATGCAAGTAGAAAAATAGGGACCACCTTTGGTGGGAAGGGAACAGCGTTCTGTGCGCCTTTGGGGTTGAGTCATGCCGGCCACATGACCACGGAGACGTCTTCGGACAGCGCTGGCTCTTCGGCTTTGAAACGGAGATGAGCACCGCCCCCTAGAGTCGGGAACGACTAGCACCTATGTGTGAGGGGAACCTTTACCTTTTAAGAGCAACGAACGTTTTTAAAGGTATGCCCAACCTTGAAATATATGTGTTTGAAAAGCTTGCAAGAAAGTGGACTTTGATGGACAGCCTGCCACAAAAACATCTTCTCTTCATTTGGGAATAAATAAATTCCGAGTGGCATTTCTTTGCAATGGAGACAAAGCAGAGGTTGGGATTCCCTTTAAAGGGTTTCTCAGCCGCAAAGCTCAAGAGAGTAAAACAATTGTAAAGAAGGGTGATAACAGTTCAGTTCAACCAAATTGGTGGCCCATGCCATTGATCTCATTAACCCATTATTATATAATTATATATAAGGTATTATTGCTAGGTACTCCCTTTTTTTTTAACCACCCGGTAATGCCTTAATTCGGGGTAGAATCGGGGTGACTGGACAGAGCTGAGTATTTACTGGACGGGTGCCCTTCCTGACGCCTATGCGCAGTTAGCAGCAGATAATTATTACTATTAGGGATTACGTGATCGTAAAAAAAAAGGGAGAACACAGACCTTTTGGACCTGTGGATGCTTCTTTCTCCCCTATGCTGGGTTGTGTGTATGTCCATTTAGAAATAACATTGACATTTTGGGTGCAAATGATAAAACATAGAACCAAGAGGGAAATCTTTGGGGTCTTCTACACAACCCTCTGCTCAAGTCAGGAGACCTTATACCAGGGGTCTCCAATCTTGGCAACTTTAAGACTTGTGGACTTCAACTCCCAGAATTCTAGGAGTTAAAGTCCACAAGTTGTCAAGTTTCGGGGTCGTCTCAAATAAATTGCATTTCAAACACAGTCTTTGAAGAAAAACTCCTTATTTATTAAGCACGACATTCTAACCCGACTCAAATCGAAGCCAACACTGACTTCCAGCCCCAAAACCCTCCCTTTCCGTTCCCCACTCCCCTGCACTCATTGGCCATCTTCCAAGTCATTCTACCCCTAATTTACTCCAGCTCAAAAGAATTTCCCCCCTCCCATCTCATCTCCTAGGGGATATTATCTCCAGGGAAAACAAGTAGGTGAAAAGTCAAACGTCCCTTTCCAGATGCCTCCGCTTCTCCTTCTTATGTCAGCACTAGAGTAAATGCAGGTTGAAGTGCTGACATCAGTCTTAAAGTTGCCAAGGTTGGAGACCCCTGCCTTATACCATCCCAATCAAAAAGTTGTCCAACCTATTTTTGAAAACCACCATAACGGAGCACTGACAACTCTGGAGGCCACTCCTTTCTTTTCTTTTCTTTTTTGTAAATATATTATGTTTTCATTCTTATTTAAGTGCCAAGAAACTTGGGGACAGAATTACTGTAGATCAGTGTTTTCTCAATGTTGGCAACTTGTTGGCTGTGGAATTCTGGGAGCTGAAGTCCAGACACTCTTAAAATCAATCAAAGGTTGGGAAATACTGTTGTAGATCTTCCGTAGAAGTTCAAAATATCTCAGAAGTTGATCCTTCTGGGTGATTTTAATACGTGAGAGAAGTAAGGTTTGATGTAAAGGTTTTCACACGATCTATAAGCGCCCCTTAAGAATAAATGGAAATAGGTAGACAAACAAAAGTGGTTGGGTGAATTGCCATTTGTAAACACAAGAAGACAAGGTGTCTTCTTGTGTTTAAACTATCGTAAAACTCTCCCATGCAAGAAAGTCCATGAAAAATCAAAATATAGCTTGAGAGTGGAAATGTTCTATGTGGGCATCATTTCTTTCACCTCTAGAGAATTTTTCATTAAAGAAACCTCTCAAAAGTGACCTAGTGATCTTTTTTTTTATTATCATACACAGGATTCCCCAACTTCTATGGATCCTGGCATGTCTAGACCAAGACTTGGTTGAGCTGACAGCTGAGGAAGATGAAGATGTAACTAGATAAACCCTCAAGTTGAGGTCTTTGTTCAAAAAAGGATCAATCCTTGGGTTCCATCCTTCTGCTAGGAGATGAAAGTCTAGTTTCTGGATCTTTGGTTGCACCAACCATGAAGGCCAAAAGCAAAGGAACCAAGCGTCGGAACGCGGTCAGCGAAGAGACTTTAGGCCAAGAACCCACCCAGAGCAGAGATGATCTTCTGAAATATTCACGGCGTAAAGAAAAGAGGAACAAGGAAAGCCCAAAGGGGACCTCCAAACTTCCTTGGAGCAGCAAGGATCGGCGCTTGCGGAGGCTGGAGAGCAACGAGCGCGAACGCCAACGCATGCACAAACTCAACAACGCCTTCCAAGCGTTGAGAGAAGTCATCCCTCACGTCCGAGCGGAGAACAAGCTCTCCAAAATCGAGACGCTCACGTTGGCCAAGAACTACATTAAGTCCCTCACATCCACCATTCTCAGGATGTCCAACGGACACCACCCGGCGGTTGAAGGCACGGGCTCTGAAGGCAAATCCAAACTCTACGAACACTATCAACAGCAGTATGAGGAAGGAGATGAACCGAAGGAGCAGCTTCAGAAGTACTCCACCCAAATTCATAGCTTCAGACAAGGCAGCTAAAGCTGTTCATCTGCAGTGGTCTTCCAGGGTCCGGGAAGACATCCGACACATCAAATGGACGTGTGTGACTTTTCTCCGTAGTTTTGCAAAATGGAAACCCAGTTTTGAACTTCTGATTTATGAGAGGACCTGGGCATGAATCCAGGGGTGAAATGTAAAATTTGTTACCACCGGTTCTGTGGGCGTGGCTTGGTGGGTGGGCGGGGGTAATGTGACTGGGTGGGCGTGGCCAACTTTTTTTTTCTTTTTTAACTTTTCAAAGCATTTTTTTCTACAACCTCTTCGGCCGAAGAGGTTGCAGAAAAAAATGCTTTGAAAAGCCTCTCTGACAATCAGGCAACTCAGCTGGGATCGTCAGAGAGGCTTTTCAAAGCACTTTTTTTACCACATCTTCAGCCAAGAGGTTGCAGAAAAAAATGCTTTGAAAAGCCTGTGACGATCCCAGCTGAGCCGCGCGATCATCAGAGGCTTTTTTTTTTTAACTTTTAAAAGCATTTTTTTCGGCGGAAGAGGTTGTAGAAAAAATGCTTTGAAAAGTTTTTTAAAAAAAGCCTCTGATGATCGTGCGGCTCAGCTGGGCATGGTGCGGGGGGCGCAGGGATTTTTGCTACCGGTTCTCCGAACCACCCGCTGCCATCGCTACCGGATCGGGCGATCCGGTCTGAACCGGGAGCATTTCACCCCTGCATGAATCCATCTTACGTGCATAAGTATAGAGTCTTATAGGTCCCATAGGGTCTCCAGCTTGTGCAGGGGATTTGAATTAGAAGACCTCCAAGCTCTCTGATATTCTGTTATAATCCATCCAGATTTTTTAATATATTGTTTAGTTTCTTAAAAAGTAAGCATTTTTGAATTTCTTAAAAAAAAAGAAGAAGCCAATATTCCTACAATGACTGTAAATGCTGCAAGCATGTGTGTTATGTAACACAACGTGACTTAATGTTACACTAGGTGGCTCAGTGGTTAAGACACCGAGCTTGTTGATCAGAAAAGGTCGACAGCTCTGCGGTTTGAATCCTTAGTACAGCTCTCCTGTGTGAGCTGGGGGTTGGACTAAATGACCTCCAAGGTCCCTTCCAACTCTGTTACTGATTTTAGCTCCTCAATATCTGGAGATTAATAGACCCCCCCCCACGTTTCTGACTTTACGCTCAAACTAGATAAACTCACGTTAGTTGTTAGAATTTGTATGAATGTTGTATATGCGTTTTTAATTGATAAATCAGCGTGCAGGACTCTAGATGCATTATCAAGTTTTATAAGGCCTTGGTAAGGCCACGCTTGGAATCCTGCATCCAGTTTTGGTCGCCACGATGTAAAAAAAGATGTGGAGACTCTAGAAAGAGTGCAGAGAAGAGCAACAAAGAGGATTAGGGGACTGGAGGCTAAAACATACAAAGAACGGTTGCAGGAACTGAGTATGTCTAGTTTAATGAAAAGAAGGACCAGGGAAGACATGATAGCAGTCTTCCGATATCTCAGGGGCTGCCCCAAAGAAGAGGGAGTCAAGTTATTCTCCAGAGCATCTGAAGGCAGGACAAGAAGCAATGAATGGAAACTAATCAAGGAGAGAAGCAACCTAGAACTAAGGAGGAATTTCCTGACAGTGAGAACAATTAACCAGTGGAACAACTTGCCTCCAGAAGTTGTGAATGCTCCAATACTGGAAATTTTTAAGAAGAGGTTGGATAACCATTTGTCTTAAGTGGTGTAAGGTTTCCTGCCTAAGCAGGGGGTTGGACTAGAAGACCTCCAAGGTCCCTTCTGTTATTCTAAATTCTAAATTCTAGATGACAAGACATTGTACAAAAAAGGGGTTTTAACACCTTTGGGATCAGGACAAAGTAACTTTTTTATTCCAATAGAAATTGGCGCTTCAGGATAGAACGACAGTAATGGATAGAGAATAAATGTTCCCTTGTCCCCGTTTTTAGATTTTTTTGATCTACATAATCTTATGTTTTCTGTTTTAATATTTTTTAATAAACATAAATAGCCTCTCATTTAGCTGTCTGTATTTTGCATGCTGACGGAAGATTTATGTTTGCAATCAATGAATTAAATAGTCAAGAGTGTTTTGGTCTTCATTTCTGTATCCTGGGATTCACGTTCTGCTGTTGGTAAGGAAGATGAGCAGATGTTTCTCCAAGCTATTCATGGAGACTGGATGAGTGTAGCACGCTTGATCCAGTGGTGAAATGTAAAATTTGTTACTACCGGTTCTGTGGGCGTGGCTTGGTGGGGAGGGGGGGTATGTGAATGGGTGGGCGTGGCCAAAGAGGTTGTAGAAAAAATGCTTTTAAAAGCCTCTGATGATCCCAGCTGAGTTGCGTGATCGGCAGAGGCTTTTTTCTCTTTTAAAACACCCTTGATCCAGTGGTGAAATGTAAAATTTATTACTACCGGTTCTGTGGGCGTGGCTTGGTGGGGGGGTATGTGAATGGGTGGGCGTGGCCGAAGAGGTTGTAGAAAAAATGCTTTTAAAAGCCTCTGACGATCCCAGCTGTTTGCGTGATCGGCAGAGGCTTTTTTCTCTTTTAAAAACACCCTTGATCCAGTGGTGAAATGTAAAATTTATTACTACCGGTTCTGTGGGCGTGGCTTGGTGGGGGGGTATGTGAATGGGTGGGCGTGGCCGAAGAGGTTGTAGAAAAAATGCTTTTAAAAGCCTCTGACGATCCCAGCTGAGTTGCGTGATCATCAGAGGCTTTTTTTTAAAAAAATAACTTTTAAAAGCATTTTTTCAGCGGAATTGGTTGTAGAGAAAATGCTTTTAAAAATAATTTTAAAAAGCCTTTGATGATTGCACGGCTCAGCTGGGCATGGAGGGGGGGGGGAGCGCAGAGATTTTTGCTACCAGTTCTCCAAACCACCGCCGCCATCACTACCGCATCGGGCGATCTGGTCCGAACCTGGAGCATTTCACCCCTGCCTTGACCACTTTCTGGAAGTCCTCTAACGTTTTTTTTTTTTGGTTTTTTTTTTTAAAAATTTGATTTATATGCCGCCCTTCTCCGGAGACTCAGGGCGGCTTACAATGCGCTAAGCAATAGCCTTCATACTTTTGTATATATTTATACAAAGTCAGCTTATTGCCTCCACAAACCGGGTCCTCAATTTACCTACTTTAGAAAGGATGGAAGGCTGAGTCAACCTTGAGCCTTGGCGAGATTCGAACCTGCAGTAATTGCAGGCAACTGGTCTTAATAACCAGCTTAATAACAGGGTGCCTTAGACCACTGTACTACCAAGGCTCTTGTGACAGAGTTGTCATGTGACAACTTCCATGTACAGAGTTGACAAAATTGGTTTTTTGTAGAAGTGGGAACTCTGAAGAGTGAAACAAGGTCCAGATCTAACCTTAGCTTTAAACATCCAAGGGAAAACTCAGATTTGTTCTTCTAAAACATTGAGATGGAAATAGAGAGGCCGCCTCTGGCCATATCTCTATCCGCAAGAGCAGTGTTTCTCAAACTTGACCACTTGGACATCAACTCAAATATTATCCCTCCCCATAAACTGGACTACAACTCCCAGCTTCCCCTGCCACCATTGCCCCACACAGCCAAACCATGAAAGAGTATCAGCCACTGTAAAAGGAAGAAAAAATTGTCTTGTGCATCTCATTAATAAGCCATATTCTAGACTCGTGATGGTGAACCTGTGGCACGCGTGGCACGCAGGTGGCACGCAGAACAATATCAGTGGGCACGCAAGCATTGCCCTAGCTCAGCTCCGGCACGCATAGCTGATTTTCGGGCCTTCCGGTCCCACCAGAAGTTGGCAAACGGGCCTTTTCCGGTCTCCAGAGGCCTCTGGGGTGGGTAGGGAAGGCTTTTTTTCTCCCTTGCCGGGCTCCAAGAAAGGCTCTGGTACCTGGGGAGGGTGAAAAACGGGCCTACCGGGCCCACCATGCCATGCCAAGTAGGGGGAGCACGGAGGTGGGCCGCGCACGCATGCATGGGTGGGTGTGGGGGGGGGCGCATTGGATTATGGGTGTGGGCACACGCGTGCGTGACCCCCCCTGTGCTCCCCCCGCTTTTGGCACGCAACGGTAAAAAGGTTAGCCATCACTGTTCTAGATAAATGTTTCTCAAATGGAAGAGATGGCAAATTGAAGAGATGGACTTCAATTCCCAGAATTCCTCAGAATTCCCCAGACGGCAAGAGGAGCCCCATCTTGCTCCATGCGCCCCAAAATAATAAGACCTCCCCGAAAATAAGGCCAAGCATTTATTTTGGGGTTCAAAAAAAATATAAGATAGGGTCTTATATGGTAGCTGTTTAGGAGCCAGTTGTGTGCGTGCGATTTTTTCTTTTTTTTTTAAGAAAAAAAAAAAATTTATTTTAAATCGGGTTTTTTTTTTTCCTGTTTCCTTCTGGGGGTGGGTGGGAACCTAAGAACAATAGCTGCCTTAATTGGATGTCCTGATTCAGCCACCCTCCTAACCCACTCCACATTTTTTTTTTTTAACATTAAAAACATAAATAAATAAATAAAAAATTCTGCAGAACTACCGGTATTATTTTTGGGAGCGAGCGATGCAAGCCAGCACAATTTGTCCAGCTATGGACAGTCACAGCATATCAGAGGATTGTTTCCAACAGCCTGGTGATTGTGCACCTTCTCCGCTTTGCCTTTGGGTGACATTCAAAATGTCCCCGTTTGCAGGAGAACAAAGCCGTGGAAAAGGTGCAACAAAGAATGGTTGGAAAAGGTCACCGTTGTTTACCGCTTTGGCAGAGGCGCCCTTGATCAAAGTCGAATCTTCTGCATCACTTAGGACGAACAGGAGAAAGACTTATTAAACGCAAACAATGCCGTCTTCACCGAGAACAGGTTGATTTTTAAGGGTGGCTGCGGAGAACTTGAATCTCTGCTCCAAGAGTTTGATCACTGCTTCCTACGGGCATTGTTTTAAGTTCACTCATTTACGGAGACCTGGATTGTTCTCAGTTGGCATTTCGGGCGCGGATGTCACGCTGGGTAGGGCCGCGACATCCTGCTGGATGGGGTTCAAGGCAGAGTTGAAGCCTGGGCTGTTGTTTGGAGCCAGCAGAAGGGGCATCAAGTTGAATCTCTAGAAACCCCACCCCCCACCCCTGCTTTGTTGCGTTCTGTGGGACTTAAGGAACACGCTTAAGATGTCCCCTGGAGTCAAATCTCAGATAAGTCCATCTTCCCTGTTCCAAAGTTGGAGGTTGGACACAGAATTGAACATGGAGATTCTGATCCCAGTTCTTCTACTGCTTCCAACACTGATTCTTATATAGAGTCTCCTGGTTGATCAGGGGGCTGGACTAGAAGACCTCCAAGATCCCTTCCAGCTCAATTCTAAAATTCTAAAATTCTAAAATTCTAAAATTCTAAAGATTCTAAAGATTCTAAAATTCTAAAAATTCTATTCTATTCTATTCTATTCTATTCTATTCTATTCTATTCTATTCTATTCTATTCTACTCTATTCTACTCTACTCTACTCTACTCTATATATTCTATTCTACATTTATTAGTCTCTATTCTATATTATATTGTATTGTATTGTATTCTATTCTATTCTATTGCATAGTATTCTACTCTACTCTATTCTATATATTCTATTCTACGTTGTATTAGTCTCTATTCTATTCTATCTTGTATTGTACTATTCTACTGTATTCTGTTGTATTGTATTGTATTGTATTGTATTGTATTCTACTTTATTCTATTCTATTCTATATATTCTATTCTACATTGTATTAGTATTCTATTCTATTCTATTCTATTCTATTCTATTCTATTCTATTCTATTCTATTCTATTCTACTCTACTCTACTCTACTCTATATATTCTATTCTACCTTGTATTAGTCTCCTATTCTATCTTGTATTGTATTGTATTGTACTATTCTACTGTATTCTGTTGTATTCTATTCTATTCTACTCTACTCTACTCTATATATTCTATTCTACATTGTATTAGTCTCCTATTCTATTCTATTCTATTCTATTCTATTCTATTCTATTCTACTCTACTCTACTCTACTCTACTCTACTCTACTCTACTCTACTCTACTCTACTCTACTCTATTCATTAAAATTATTCAGTTCTTCTGACCCTGGAAAATATCAACTTAAGAATGTTCCCAAGAGGGTTGGGCTGTGTCAAAGGGAACATCTGATGGGTCAAAGTTCTACCACATCTCACCAGCCAGCAGCTCTTGTGGCTAACCTTGTAGGAAAAGTTAGCCAAGTAGGAAGCGTAGGAAAGCAGGAAGTAGGAAACGAACCCGGTTGGTCATTGGATGAAAGACGAGCAAGGAAGACCCACATCTTAATAGATGGTGACAAACTGCCTTGCCAAAAATCCCTTCGGTCCATGGAGTCGCCCCGCCCAACTTAAATGGAAGGTGATGTTAACTTTTTAGCAGTTCTATGGTCTTCTAAGTTAGAGAGAAGATTCAACATGTTGGAAGGAAGGAACTCAAGCAACTCCAAATCACCTGAAGGTAGGGGTGGGCTTCAAAAATTTTAGCAAGGGGTTCTCTGCCCGACTGCTGAGTGGGCATGGCTGATGGGCTGCGGTAGTCTCTTGCACCATGGCGGAGTGGTGGTGATTTGCACTCCCTGGGCTCTAGAGGGTTTTCTGGAGCCTCCAGGAGGGGGTGAAAATGGCCTCCCCAGGCTCCAGGGGCCTTCTGGAGGCTGGAAACGAGGCCCAAACGTCCATTTTTTATCCTCCCCGAGCCTCCGCATGAACCCTGCACTTACCTGCATCCAAAATGGGCCGCGTGGGGACTCCTGTGAAGGATGGTGCAGGGTAGGCGGGGCCAGCCAGAAGTGGGATTTGGGGGGGGGGTTCTCCAAACTGCACAGAATCTTAGCTAGAGGTTCTCCTGAACCCGTGTGAACCCCCAGCAGCCCCACCCCTGCCTGAAGGTAGAATAAGAAGCAATAGGGGGGGAAACTAACCAAAGAGAGAACCAACTTAGAACGAAGGAGAAATTTCTTGACATGGAGAACAAGTTGTAGGTGCTTCATCACTGGAGGTTTTTAAGAAGGGATTGGGCCGCCATTTGTCCGAAACGGCCCAGGGTGTCCTGCTTGAGTCAGGGGGTTGGACTAGAAGACCTCCAAGGTCCCTTCCAACTCTGTTATTCACGCCTATCTTCCCAGCTTCAGACCCTCTTCAATGAGCGAGGAGTTTGAAAACTTTTTGACCTGTTGCGCCAACCCAGGAACGATCGAAAACGGCTTTGCGCAAATTAAGCAGGTAAAGATATTACAGTATCCACTTTCCACCTTTGGTGCCAACCCAAACATCGCTCCTCTTAATCTCCGTAGAAGACACTTATAGGACAGAGCAGAAAAGCGAGTTTGGAAGGAAGGGGAAAAAAACCCCACCCCTTTCTCTCGATTCTCTTTGCTGCAATCTGCTCACTTCTCTTCCGGCTTGAAACAGTTTGTTGAGCAACTCAACAAACCCTGCTTATAAAAATCACGGTTTTACACGGTGGTTGACTCTTTGCTCAATTCCAAAGCTAGGAATCCTGGAAGGTGTGTGGAAAGTAACTCTGACAGACACATAGAGCGCCATTTAACTCGGAGAGAAATATTATCCTCTCCCCACCACTTCTGTGTAGAAAATATTGCCATATGATTTATATCCAGTTCCTTCTATTTGGGGCACGGGAGGACAAGTTTATTATTTTAATTTGCATCGCACTTTTATTATTATTTTTTTCAAATAATTCAAGGCAGCCAATATATCCTACACAGCTTCCTCCTATTTTTCCCAACAACAGCCCTATGAGGTGGATTGGAACGAGAAAGAATCATTGGCTCAAAGTCACCCAGCCGTCTTTCATGCCTAAAGTGGGACTAGAATTCACAGTCTCCTGGTGATTGGCTCAAAGTCACCCAGCCACCTTTCATGCCTAAAGTGGGATTCGAACTCACAGTCTCCTGGTGATTGGCCCAAAGTCACCCAGCCACTTTTCATGGCTAAGGCGGGACTAGAACTCACAGTCTCCTGGTGATTGGCTCAGTCACCCAATCACCTTTCATGCCTAAGGCGGGACTAGAACTCACAGTCTCCTGGTGATTGGCCCAAAGTCACCCAGCCACTTTTCATGGCTAAGGCGGGACTAGAACTCACAGTCTCCTGGTGATTGGCTCAAAGCCACCCGGTCACCTTTCACGGCTAAGGCAGAACTAGAACTCAAGAGTCTCCTGGTTTCTACAGTAGTTTGGCGCCTAAACCACTAGTTCAAACTGGCTCTGTCTTCTAGTGAGTCTATATGATGGAAAAAGCAAAACAGGGAAGAAACGGCACAGGATGGCCTGATTGCATTCGATAATAGAATTATCAATAGCCTGGCCTAACTTTCTCCCTCTTTTTAAACATTTTTAATATTTTAAAATATCTTTTAGTATTTTAATATTCAAAGATTAAATTTGTTTTAAATTGATTGGGGTTTTAAATTTGTCTGGGCCAAACTATTTAATTTGATTTTATCTCTGCTTTTTAAATTTTGTATGTATGTATTTTATTGTTGGCTGTTCACCGCCCTGAATCCTTCGGGAGTAGGGCGGTATATAAATCAAATAAAAGTAAAAGTAAAAGAATTACTTACCCAGATTAAAGTGATTCAATAACTTCCTCCGTCTTCTTCGGATTCAGCTTGAACCCATCATTTTTTTTTTGGAAAAACCTGGTTGCATTCTGCATTCAATTTTTTTTAAAAAAATTAAATCCCTAATCTCAACTACATAAGGGACGTGGTGGCTCAGTGGCTAAGACGCTGAGCTTGTCGATCGGAAGGTCGGCAGTTCAGCGGTTCGAATCCCTAGTGCTGCCACGTAACGGGGTGAGCTCCCGTGACTTGTCCCAGCTTCTGCCAACCTAGCAGTTCGAAAGCACGTAAAAAAAAAATGCAAGTAGAAAAATAGGGACCATCTTCGGTGGGAAGGGAACAGCGTTTCCTGCTGTTATATTTCCCCCAAAGTTCAGTGATTTGCAAGAAAAACATATCAGGCCATTTGATTAGATAATGAGAAGTTTGGTTTTTCAGATATTTTTTTTTGGGGGGGAACCCTGAATTATTTTAGGGAACAATCTGCTCCCCGCAGCATCTTTTCCTATTCTGAGATGGACGCATCCTCCTCCCAAAACGGACCGTTGCTGTTTTTTCCAATTCAATTTAAAAGAAAGGAAACGTTCAAATGAAGAAATGAAAATGTGCAGGGTTTACATCCGATTTGATTTTTATTGTCCTCTCTGGGCCATTTCTACATTTCGTTGGGTTTCGATTTTTGGCGTGGGTGAATTATTTATTTAGGTGTACGCGTACATTCTTTACTTCTCGCTCCTCAGCAGAGGAAAAAAAAAACCCCATCTGTGTCCACAGTGGTGGGAAGGCAAAACATGTTCCCCTTTTGCTTGAATATAGAATAAAATGTGAATATTTCATAAACGGGTGTCCACGTATCAAGAGCCACGCGTGCCACAAATTTTTCTTTCTTCTCCCTCCCCTTTCCCCCCCATAGCAATAAATACAAAAATATCACTCTTAAAAACCGGACACCGGTACAAAAGGAAGCTTCCTGCTTTTAAAACAGAACAGCTATTCCCCCCCATCCCCATTTTTGAGAACATGATGCTTAGAAGACATTCGCCCCTCCTGTATTTCTTCCCTCTGTTTACTTGGGTGTCAGAGTTACGTACGCTAAAGGGGAAAGAAATGTAAAAGTTATCGATGATTTCGAATATAAAACGGCTCTGCGACTGGGCCACGGTGCTGCTGTTTCTCTCTCTCGCTCAAGAGGCAGACCAGAGAAGAGACGCAACTGGAGAGGTGCCTCCTTGTTTTGATTAAGGTCAACAGGACCCAGCAAGGAGGCAGGAGTGTCCTTCGCTTAGCTATTTTAGTGCACTTTTGCAGAAAGAAAGAAGGAAAGGAAGGAAGGAAGGAAGGAAGGAAGGAAGAAGAAAGGAAGGAAGAGGGAGGGAAAGAAGGGAGGTAGAAGACAGAAAAAGAAAGAAAGAAAGAAAGAAAAAGAGAAGGAGAGACGGTGCTGCTGTCTCTCTCTCTCTCTCGCTCAAGAGGCAGACCAGAGAAGAGACACAACTGGAGAGGTGCCTCCTTGTTTTGATTAAGGTCAACAGGACCCAGCAAGGAGGCAGGAGTGTCCTTCGCTTAGCTATTTTAGTGCACTTTTGCAGAAAGAAAGAAGGAAAGGAAGGAAGGAAGGAAGGAAGGAAGAAGAAAGGAAGGAAGAGGGAGGGAAAGAAGGGAGGAGGTAGAAGACAGAAAAAGAAAGAAAGAAAGAAAGAAAAGAGAAGGAGAGACGGTGCTGCTGTCTCTCTCTCTCTCGCTCGCTCAAGAGGCAGACCAGAGAAGAGACACAACTGGAGAGGTGCCTCCTTGTTTTGATTAAGGTCAACAGGACCCAGCAAGGAGGCAGGAGTGTCTCCTTCGCTTAGCTATTTTAGTGCACTTTTGCAGAAAGAAAGAAGGAAAGGAAGAAAGGAAGGAAGGAAAGAGAGGGAGGGAAGGAGGGTAGGAGACAGACAGAATAAGAAAGAAAGAAAGAAAGAAAGAAAGAAAGAAGAAAGATGGAGGGAAGTGGAAAGAGAGGGAGAAAGAAAAAAGAAAGAAAAGGGAAAGAGAAAGGAAGGAAGAAAAAGAGAAAGAGAGGGAGGGAAGTGGAAGGAGGGAGGGAGAGAGAAAGAAAGAAAGAAGGAACGGAGGGAGGGAGGAAGAGGGAGGAAGGGAGGGAGGGTAGGAGGGGAAGGAGGGAGACAGAAAAAGGGAAAGAAAGAAAGAAAGAAAGAAAGGGAGGGAGGGAAGTGGAGGAGGAAGGGAGGAAGGAAGGAAGGAAGGAAGGAAAGGAAGGAAAGAAAGGAAGAAAGAAAGAAAGAAAGAAAGAAAGAAAGAAAGAAAGAAAGAAAGGCCAATCTATTCATCTTTGAGTTGCTGAGATTGAGAAACAGCTGTAAATCAACTGGCAGAAGGGAGCCATTGACCATTTTCACAGCTGTATTTCACCCAGGGGTTGCCAGCTGCCAATCTTGGCTTTCAACCCCCAGCTGCTTCTCTGCTAATTCTCATCATTGGGTGATGAAGGTAGGACCCTGGGGACTTCGAAGAAATATATATAGAAGTGCTTGCTATAGAATCAACTAACTGGCTCAGTTTATTCATGTCAACCCTGTGAGGGAGGCTGGCTCATCATAGATCAGGTCCTGCCTGTGGAACATCTAAGAAAGCCAGGGATTGGGGGTCAAAGATACTCCAAGTGGGGGCTTATCATAGAAAGGGTTAATCGACCCTGGTCCCCTACATTGTTGGGTCATACACTGGCCAGCATAAATCAAGGCTTAGTTGATGGGAACGAATCTAGGGCTTCTGGAGAACATCAGATTCCACCAGGCCTAAGAAATACCACAATAAATTAAGGGATTAAAACAACAACACAAGCAGAATTCACACACACATACACACACACATCCAGTTCCCCCACTGAGGTGATGGACATGCAGTCTCTCCGTTCAACGGCCTCCAAATCAGATCTTCTCCATCTTGTATCTTCTCCATTGGGGGCAGGTGAGTTGAATCTTAACTCCCAGAACGCTCATTTGAGAAGTGGGGGATTTCTGGGAAATCACACAACCACATACATCTGGGAGACACCTCACCCCCCCCCCCCAGGTTGGAGCATCCCTTTCGAACGAGGATGGGGGTCGACTCCTGCTCTCTCACGCCAAGGGAACACAAGATGGAAGGGTCGGTAGACTGCATGCTTGGAGTTGACTTGAGTCTCTTTTGCACACTCAAGTGCGAGCGTTCAAAGACAAGCCTAGTCTTCAGTTGTAGCTTCCGTGATCCAGGACAACGCGGTATGAGCAGAAGGTGGAAACTTCAGAGTCAACACTGGACAGCGTTTCGGTCCAAACTTTGGACGCCATCTACAAAAATGGTGGTTTGGGGCTGGTAGCTTCCGTGACCCTCTAAGCTACTAAGGTTACGAGGAGAGCTGCTTGGACCTTCTTGAGCTGCCATCTTGGTTCTTTCGGTCGCGTTTCCTCGTACGGTGATGTGTTCCCATCCTCCCTGCGAATGAGAGGAATGAAAAAATATTGGAAGATTCTGCACATGCGTAGATCACCAAATATGATGTCATATTTTTACTACCGTTTTTACTACTGGTTCTCAAGAACCGGACAGAATCGGGAGCAGTCCACTACTAACGTGGTTGGAAAAGTTGATACAACAACATATTAACTTGAAATATTCCTGTTGGAGATTTTACCAGAAGTTTACAGTAAAGAAAATGTATATTTGATTATTCACGTAATAACCTCAGCTAGAATTGTATTTGCACAAAACTGGAAAAGCAAAGAGATTCCTACAGAGGAGAATATGATAAGGAAAAATATTAGAATGTGCAGAAATGAATAGATTAACACTGGCAATTAAAGAGAAAGAGCGAACGGGTTATTATGCGATATGGGAAACGTTTAATCGACGGTTAAGAGGATAAATATAAAAATTAGAAATATAAGTAGATGAGTAAAATATAGAAAATAGTTGATGTATTTAACAGAGTTTAAGCAAACTAAGAAGAGGGTGTAAAGTATTAGATTGGTTATTAGTATTAGGTTGCTGGGTGGGCGTGGCCATTCAGGCATGGCCTACTCCTGCACCACAGCGGGTGGGGGGAAAGCGTTTTTGCCCTCCCCAGGCTCCGGAGGCTTTACTTGAGCCTCCAGGAGGGTGAAAATGGCCTCCCCCGGGCTCTGGAGGCGGGAAACGGGCTCATTTTCAGACTTCCGGGAGGCCTGTTTTAAGCCCTCCCAGAGCCTCCTCGTGGGCCCTGCACTTACCTCGTATCCAAAACGGGCCGTGTTGAGACTCCTGGGAGGGGCGGGGTGGGCGGGGCCAGCCAGTCCTTGCAACTACCGGTTCAGCGAACCAGATGTAAAATTAGCATCCGGTTTGCATGAACCGGTTCGAACCGGCTGAATCCCAGCCCTGGAACAAATGGTTTGTGTTTTTGATGCTCACCCCAATGCCGTAGTCCCAAGAGACCCCCTTGGGTTCCAGAGGCTGGACTCCGGTCCGATGGCAGACAGTTCCACAGCTCAGGCTGTGACTCCCTTGGACTTTGTCAGCTATCACCCAGATCTAAAAAAACAAAATATAACCAGAGAGGCATTAGAAGCCACCCTTCATTAACATGTAATGCCCACGTCAAAAATGGGCTTTCCTTTTGGAGCCCAAATGGGGAATTTTGAACCAGGAGAAGATGGCGGAGGTGTTCTCACAAAATGGCAGCCTGGAGGGGTATTTTTCATGTCATAAAATATCTACCATGGCAGGTAACCCCGATCAGAAGGGGCCCATTTCCTAGAATTTCCTCCAGTTTCTAGAGAACTGGAAAAGCTTCTTGGATGAGAAGCGAAACCTCAACTCCCAGAATTCCCCAGCCAACACAGAATTCTGGGAGTTGAAGTCCACACGTTTTGAAGTTGCTATGGTTGACCAACACCGAGTTCAACGATTATCCTGAAAGAAAGGATAAGCTGTGCTGGCTGGGGAATTCTGGGAGTTGACGTCTACTCATCTTAAAATGGCTGAGGTTAAGAAAACACTGGCTTAGGTTCTTAAAAGAGATATTTTTCTACTATGGCCACACCTGATCCAAGGGTCCAACAGAAACTTTCCGGACGTTGTTTGAAATGTGATCCCAACTAGATCCTTGAGGGTAACTCGGTGTGATTCCAGCACGAAACCACAGATTACCTATCGAAGACAAAATGGCGTTGAGAAATTTCAGACCAAGCAAGAAATAAACTCATCTATCTATCTATCTATCTATCTATCTATCTATCTATCTATCTATCTATCTATCTATCTATCTATCTATCTATCTATCTATCTATCTATCTGTTGGTTATCTTATTCCTCATATGTCTTTGTAGTCAGAGAAGAGTCGGTTAATCTGGCACAGGTAGTCCTCAATTTATGACGACAATTAATTTTCATGGCTAAGCAAGGCAGTTGTTAAGAGACTCGTGTTATGACCCCTTTTTTTGCCACCGTTAAAAGGAATCACAGCAGTTATTAAGTAAATCATGCGGTCATGAAGCGAATCCACCTTTCTCCGTTGATTTTGCTTGCCGGAAAAATCGGCTAGGAAGATCACAAGTGGGGATTCTGGGGAATGTTGCAACCATCGTAAACACATGCCAATTACAAAGCCCCAGACTTTTGATTGTGTGACTGTGGTATTGGTCATAAGTATGAGGACTGGCCAGGGGTGGGCTTCAAAAATGTTAGCAAGGGGTTCTCTGCCCGTTGCTGGGTGGGCGTGGCCATGGTGGGCGTGGCCTAGTCGGCCTCCTGTACCATGGTTGGGGGGGGACGTTTTTGCCCTCCCCAGGCTCCAAAGGATTTTCTCGAGCCTCTGGGAGGGCGAAAAGAGCCTCCCCAGGCTCCGGAGGCCCTCTGGAGGCCCATTTCCGGCCTTCCTGAACTTCCGGTAGGCCCGTTTTTTGCCCTGCCCGAGCCTCCGTGCGCGCCCTGCACTTACCTGCATCCAAAACGGGCTGCGTGGGGACTCCTGGGGGGCAGGGCAGCAGAGTGGGTGGGGCCAGCCAGGAGTGGGACTTGGGGGTTCTTCGAACTGCACAGAATCTTAGTTACAGGTTCTCTCGAACCCCTGCGAACCCCCAGCAGCCCCACCCCTGGGACTGGCCCATAAATCACATTTTTTTCAGTGCTATTATAACACGTGAACAATTGCTAATGAACGAACGGTTAACAATTCAATTGCTAACCAGAAACGATTACGGATTGTGCAGTGCTTTTAATAATGTCGTTGCACTTCCTTTCCAATGGAGCACTTACACAACTGGCCAGCCATTCAAAGAAACCGGTTTTATTTATTTATTTTCAAAACCACCTTTAAAAAAAAAAAAAACACCAACCAGGAACACAGGATTCTCTCCTTACCGTTTTTATCCACAGCCAGGACTGCCGTTCGTCCCACGGAGGCTTGCTTTAACTTCTGCTTCACGGGGGAAGGAACAGTGGTACCAGCATTCGCCTGGATATAAAAATAAAATATGAAGTAAATATGAAATATAAAGAAAATATGAAGTAAAAATAAACAAGAATAATTTCCTTCCTTGTTATTCATTTGAATTCATCGAATTATTAAGGCAGCCACCGAAATACAAACTTGACTGGTTCGAGGCGGCCAATTTTAGCAATTGGCAGGCTTCTCGGACTACGTTCAACGATCGCCATTTATTTATCAAATTTCTATACCGCCCTACTCCCGGAGGACTCAGGGCGGTGAACAGTCAAGATAAAATACAGATAATGCAAACATTAAAAGTCCATTAAAATTATTAAATATTTTGGCCGAGAAACAAATTTAAAACACCCAATTTATAAAACAAATCAAACGATTTAAAAATTTATGTTGTGTGAAGCCAACGTTTTCTATTTTGTTGGGTGGGATTAACGGGCAAAGGCTGAAAAAAAACCCTGATTTTGGCTTTTAACCCTTTGTGCAAGGGAAAAATGTCATCCTTTCCCCTCTTTTAACTGGTGGGGAACTTAAAAAGCATTTACTTTGTTCCTTGAAAAAAAATATCAACACCACAACTTCCGTCTTCTAACCTAAATGTGACTGGTTCAAAACACAGCAGGAACTGTGGGTTGTGTCAGTTTGGTGTTGTGGTTAAGAGGCTGGATTAAAAAAAAACCAGGAGACGGTGAGTTTTAAGCCTATCTTAGGTATGAAAACCGGCTGGGTGACTTTGGGCCTGGTTGAGCATTAGATGCGCAGGAAACCAGAGTTGGCAAACTGCTTTATCTTTTTGGGATGGGATAGAACAGAACAGAACAGAAAAGAAAAAGAACAGAACAGAACAATAAGAGTAGAGTGGAGTGGAGTGGAGTGGAGTGGAGTGGAGTGGAGTGGAGTGGAGTGGAATGGACTAGAATAGAATAGAATAGAATAGAATAGAATAGAATAGAATAGAATAGAATAGAATAGAATAGAATAAGAGTAGAGTAAAATATAATAGTAGAGTAGAAAAAGAGGACAGTAGAATAGTAGAGTAGAATAGAATGTAATAGAAAAGGATAGGATATAGGAATGAAAAGTAGAGTAGAATAAGAGTAGAGTAGAATAAGGGTAGGGTAGGGTAGGGTAGGGTAGGGTAGAGTAGAGTAGAGTAGAGTAGAGTAGAATAGAATAGAATAGAATAGAATAGGAGTAGAGTAGAGTAGAATATAATAGTAGAGTAGAAAAAGAGGACAATAGAATAGTAGAGTAGAATAGAATGTAATAGAAAAGGATAGGATATAGGAATGAAGAGTAGAGTAGAGTAGAATAAGAGTAGAGTAGAGTAGAGTAGAGTAGAGTAGAGTAGAGTAGAGTAGAGTAGAGTAGAGTAGAGTAGAGTAGAGTAGAGTAGAATAGAATAGAATAGAATAGAATAGAACAGAATAGAATAACAGAGTTGGAAGGGACCTTGGAGGTCTTCTAGTCCAACCCCCTGCTCAGGCAGGAAACCGTATACCATTTCAGACAAATGGTTGTCCTGCCTCTTAAAAACCTCCAGCGTTGGAGCATTCACAACTTCTGGAGGCAACTTGTTCAACTGGTTAATTGTTCCCACTGTCAGGAAATTTCTTCTTAGTTCTGAGTTGCTTCTCTCCTTGATTCGTTTCCATCCCTTCACCCTCGACCGGCTAAAAACTCACCTTCTGGTTTTTTGGAAGACACTGAACCGCGACAGAATGCCGAGCCATCTTGGGCGACGGCCCAGACTTGGTGAAACATTCCTATAGTGACTGAAACGAAGGGTTGGTCTGTCCCCACGTGCAGCCAGGAGGTGCCCTGTTGGGAAGAGAAAACCTTTGTGAGTCTTGGGAGACCTTCAAGAGATGAACTTCTATCTCCATCCCTTCCCATCTCTTCTTTGGGTCTGTTGTGGCCCGCCAGCAGCCAGCGGATCTGGCAGCAGAGTTAAGGAAGGATCCTCGGGAGATTAAAATAACTACTGGTTTGCAATAAAACAATATCAAAGAGGAGGAAAGATTTTAACCGATGGGTTTTGGGGTGTGACTTGAAGCCGGCATAGCACGTCTCCCTTGTCGCTGATGGCCCAAAGAGGAACAAACTCTTCCTTCGACCCAGGAGGTTGTGACATGATAGAAACATCTCGCAAAGCGATTGGAGGCCCTTCCAGCCAGGGTCCACTTGTGACAATTTTACATTTCCTGGAAATAAAAAAAGAAAAAAAAGAAAAAAAGGAGGATGTGAGGCACGTTTTCAGCCCTGAAGATGTTACCTAGTAGGGTTATGAAACTGCAAGAAGATTGCCAAGCTCAGAGAGCAACAAGGGCCCCACAGTTGTTGTCGTCGTCCTCCTCTCTGCAAACCTCATTCCCTTCTAGCACTGATGATGTTACCTAGTTGGGTCAAAGGAGGAGGAGGAGGAAGAGAAGACAGGAGGAGGAGGAAGGTTTTCTTGCAAGAAAACCATCAAGCTGAGGAATCAATAAAGACTCTACAGTCCTCCTCCTCTTCCTCCTCCTGTCTTCTCTTCCTCCTCCTCCTCCTCCTTTCTACTTCTTCCCCTCTTCCTTCTCTTTCTCGCTCCTCCTCTTCCTCCTCCTCCCCACAAACCCCACTCCTCTTCCTCTGGTCCTCTTCCTCCCCTTCTTCTCCTGCCCCTTCCTCTTCCTCTTTTCCTCCTCCATCCACAAAACCACTCCTTTCTAGCACTGATTATGTTACCTAGGTGGGAGAAGGAACATCTGAAAGGGAACCACCAAGCTCAGAGAGTGCCAAGGACCCCCCACCATCCTCTTCTTCTTCCTGAAGTTTGCAAACCCAACTCCCTTCTAACACTGATGGTGTTACCTAATTGGGTCATGAAATGATTACAAGAAAACCACCAAGCTCAGAGAATACCCAAGGACGCCATAGTCCTCTTCCTCTGGTCCTCTTCCTCCCCTTCTCCTCTCCTTTCCTCTTCTCCTTTTCTTCCTCTTCCCTCTCCTCCTCCTCCCCCTTTTCTCTTCCTCTTCTCCTTCTCCATCCACAAAACCACTCCTTTCTAGCACTGATGATGTTACCTAGTTGGGTCATGGAACATCTGCAAGGAAACCACCAAGGTCAGAGAGCACCCAGGACCCCATAGTCCTCTTCCTCCGGTCTTCTTCCTCCCCTTCTCTTCCTTTCCTCCTCCTCCTCCTCCTCCTCCTCTCCTCTCCTCCTTTCCCTCCTCTTCTTCCTCCTCCTTTTCCTTTTCCTCTCTTCTCCTTTTCCTTCCTCTCCTCTCCTTTTCCCTCCTCTTCCTTCTCCTCCTCCTCCCCTTTCTCTTCCTCTTCTCCTCCTCCATCCACAAAACCACTCCTTTCTAGCACTGATTATGTTACCTAGTTGGGTCCTGGAACATCTGCAAGGCAACCACCAAGCTCAGAGAGCGCCAAGGACCCCTCATCAGGTCAACCCCGAGCTACAAATATTCTCTTCTATCGAAACTTAAAGAATGGCCTTCAGCCAATTGCACCCTGGCTGAATCATTAATTGGCTTCTTTCAGAAAAACATTCCACCCAGACTCTCGTATACAGAAAGAAAGAACAAACGAGCTATGATGTATATCTTACTGTCCCCTTGCCATTTAATCAGGAAAGCCCCGATCCAAACAAAACATAACTTGGTGCAAAAATGATTCAACAACGGCTTTAGTTTTAGGGCCTTCCTTCCCTCAACGTGGCACTCACTGAGGTAAAAATTGCTTTCCAACTGAGGCGTAAAAGGCCCAGCGATGTTGGGACTAAATGTTGGAAATGCCATCAGACACCGGGATCGTATTATCATATTTATTTATTTTATTTTATTTATTTGATTTGATTTGTATACCGCCCTTCTCCAGCAGGACTCAGGGCGGTGAACAGCCGAGATAAAACAGAGCATACAAAATTTAAAAAACAATTTAAAAGGTAATTAAATAATTAAATAATTTCGGCCCACAATTTAAAACAACCCAATTAAAACCAATTTAAAATTAAAACCGAAACGGATGGGATCATATGGAGTAGACGTGTGCAGAAGCAAAAAAATAAAATACTAGGCAAGAATTTGTATGTGGTTGGAGAAGATGATGTAACAGCATATTGATTTAAAACCTGAGATATTCCTGTTGGGGATTTTACCAGAAAATTATAGTAAAGAAAATGTATATTTGATTATTTATGTAATAACTGCGGCTAGAATTGTACTTGCACAGAATTGGAAAGGAGAAGGGATTCCAAAGATGAAAATGCGATTAAGAACATATTGGAATGTGCGGAAATGAATAGATTAACGCTTGCAATTAAAGGAAAGGAAGAATCAGATTATTATAGTATATGGGATTTATTTTATCAATGGTTAGAGAGAATAAATACGAAAGTAATGTATAATAAAGTCAAATAAATTAAATTAACTTATGGATAAATTAACGAAAGAAATAAAAGAAAAGGAAGAGACAGAATATTATCAAGTATGGAGTAAGTGGTATGAATGGCTTGAGATTAGGGAAAGTAAAAGTGAATAAATGATGTGACAAATGTGTACAATACTATAAATGAATAAAACTGGAAACAAAGGGACGATAAAGATAAAGATAATAAAGGATGAGAAAAATGGGAAATGTAGAAAATAGAAAGAAGAACGAAACTGATACGTAAAAAGAAACACATATTGTGCGTTTGTGTTTTGTATGTTGTGTTGTGTTGTTGTAAAATTAATTAATTTTTTTTAAAAAAAATAAAGTCCTTGGTGGAGCAGCGGACTAAAGCACTGTTAAATAGCACTTAGCTGCCAGCTGCCTGCAATTACTGCGAGTTCAAATCTCACCAGGCTCAAGTTTGACTCAGCCTTCCATCCTTTCTAAGGTAGGTAAAATGAGGACCCGGATTGTGGGGGCAATAAGCTGACTTTGTATAAAAAAGAACACCGCTTGGGGGGGGCCCAAAAGCCCTACTAAGCAGGTATATACAAAAGTATGAAGGCTGTTGCTTAACGCATTGTAAGCCGCCCTGAGTCTCCGGAGAAGGGCGGCATATAAATCAAACCAATAAACAATAATAATAAATAAGTTAAGAAGAGAAATGTTACAACAATAGATATGTTAAGTATTAAATATTAGCATTAAAATAAGAATAGATATAAACAGTGAATATGGTGGTAACCTTTAACTGTTACGACACATAAAATTTGTACCCGGACGACACACCGTTTAATGAATGATGGAATGTTTGTATTAAAAGAAAATTTAAAAAATTATAAATAAATTTTAAAAAAGGCCCAGCATGCGAGGAAAAGCTGGTTTGGAGGTCTATCTACTTATCTTTTTAGGAGATGCCAACACCCTCATCTACCGGCCAAAGCAAACGTTGTCTTTGGAATGGCGTCCGATGTTTAAAAAAAACCAAGAGAAGAAACAAGGAGTTCCCTGCAAACGAAGAGGGGAAGGAGTGGGAGACAATGGCCTGCTTTAAATGGACCTGCGAAAGGTGACATGAGTTACCTGGACCAGCGTCTCCGGCGCACAAAGTCCTTCATTGTTTTGTAGCCGTGATAAGACCTGTTGGAACAGAGAGGGACAGAATAACAAAAGTCAAAATGTTGTTTCGATGATGAAAGACGCGTAGGCAGGATGACGGTTCACGGGAAGGCCCCTCGGGCGGGAAGGCACCTTGATCAAGGCACCTTGGTGTGAGGTAACTTGGGGAAGCCACCTCACTCCATCCGGAAGGCTTCCTTTTATTGTCTTTTTACAACTATCATGGCAAAACATCAATCTCCCCCCAGAGATACGGAGGATCCCGGATCTGCGCACCTTCCGCCGCGCTTTAAAGACCTTACTATTTCACCAGGCGGGCCTGGCCTAATTTTCTCCCTCTTTTATAAAAGATTTTTAATTTTTAAATATCTTTTAGTATTTTATACATTCAATTCTACATGGGGCTCCCCTTGAGGAGCACTCGGAGGCTCCAACTGGCGCAGAGTGCGGCCGCGCGGGTGGTGATGGGAGCGACATGGCGTTCCCATGTAACACCCCTCCTGCGCGAGCTGCACTGGCTCCCGGTGGTCTTCCGGGTGCGCTTCAAGGTTCTGGTTACCACCTTTAAAGCGCTCCATGGCTTAGGACCCGGGTACTTGCGGGACCGCCTACTACCACCAATAGCCTCCCACCGGCCGGTACGCTCCCATAGAGAGGGGCTCCTCCGGGTGCCGTCGGCCAAACAATGTCGACTGGCGGCCCCCAGGGGGAGAGCATTCTCTGTGGGGGCACCTACTATCTGGAACGAGCTCCCCCCAGAGATACGGAGGATCCCGGATCTGCTCACCTTCCGCCGCGCTTTAAAGACCTTACTATTTCACCAGGCGGGCCTGGCCTAATTTTCTCCCTCTTTTATAAAAGATTTTTAATTTTTAAATATCTTTTAGTATTTTAATACATTCAATTCTAAATTGGTTTTAAAAGTTTGGGGTTTTAAATTTGTCCGGGCCAAAATTATTTAATTTGATTTTATTCTACTTTTAAATTTTGTATGTATGTGTTTTATTGTTTGGCTGTGCACCGCCCGGGAGTAGGGCGGTATAGAAATAAAATAAATAAATAAATAAACGTTTACTTGTCCTGATTGGCTACAGAAAGCTCGTGAATTCCATATGGATCCCTCGTGTTTCCCTCATGTTATTTCCTGTGACAAACAATGCCTACGTGTTGGGCCCCCATGCCTTGTATATCTTGATATAGGGTCTCTGCCAGACATCCTGTTTCTACATTCCTGATAAGATTAGGACTTTGTGTTTTAACGTTGTTTACCCAGTGCGGTTTGCCGACAACTGAGGTCACACCATCCCCACATCAAAAGGGACCTCGGAGGAGGAAACCCTGTAAGCATTTCAGGCAAAAAGGGGGGGGGGGGGCAATCGGTCCCATGATTTAACCCAGTTACTTGGAGTGGGGGGGAAAAGAAAGAAAATCAACATCCTTACGCGGGAAAATCTGACGCGTACTGCCAACCTTCTCGGTCGGTCCCGCCCGAAACGCTGAAATCGACGGCCCAGTCGGACACCTGCGTGGCAGAGACAAAAGGAAAAAAATAATAATAATAACAGAATTAAATTTTATTCCCCCGCCTGGCTCTGGAATCCCTGCCCAAAAAATAATAATAATTACCCTTTGACTTCCCAGAATGCTCCCCGATGATGCTGAGAGAGGGGATTGTGGGAATTTGAATAAGACCAGAGTTCTTTTCCAGGCTCTGAGGCAATTGTCAGGGATACCAAGGGCAAGCCAATAGAACAGTGATGGCGAACCTTTTCGGCACCAAGTGCCCAAACCGGAACATGCCGGAGCCCCGGAAACTTGGAGAGTAACTGGCCGGTGGCACTTACTTAGTTGGGTCATAAAACGTTTGCCTAAATATAACCAAGCTCAGAGAGCACCAAGGACCCCACAGTCTTCCTCCTCCTCCTCTCCACCAGTCCCGCTCCCTTCTAGCACTGACAATGTTATCTAGTTGGGTCATGAAATGTCTGCCTAAATATAACCAAGCTCAGAGAGCACCAAGGATCCCACAGTCTTCCTCCTCCTCCTCTCCACAAGTCCCGCTCCCTTCTAGCACTGATGATGTTAACTAGATGGATCATGAAATGTCTTCCTAAATACAACCAAGCTCAGGGAGCATCAAGTATCCCACAGCCATTCTCCTCCTCCTTCTCCTCCTCCCTTCCTTCCTCTCCACAAGTCCCGCTCCCTTCTAGCACTGATGATGTTACCTAGATGGATCATGAAATGTCTTCCTAAATACAACCAAGCTCAGGGAGCACCAAGGATCCCACAGCCATTCTCCTCCTCCTTCTCCTCCCTTCCCTCCTCTCCACAAGTCCCGCTCCCTTCTAGCACTGACGATGTTATCTAGTTGGGTCATAAAATGAGAGCACCAAGGATCCACAGTCATTGTCCTCCTCCTCGCTGCATACCCCACTTCCTTCTAGCACTGATGATGTTAACTAGATGGATCATGAAACGTCTTCCTAAATATAACCAAGCTCAGGGAGCACCAAGGATCCCACAGCCATTCTCCTCCTCCTTCTCCTTCCTTCCTCCTCTCCACAAGTCCCGCTCCCTTCTAGCACTGACGATGTTATCTAGTTGGGTCATAAAATGAGAGCACCAAGGATCCCACAGTCATTGTCCTCCTCCTCGCCACATACCCCACTTCCTTCTAGCACTGATGATGTTAACTAGATGGATCATGAAACGTCTTCCTAAATATAACCAAGCTCAGGGAGCACCAAGGATCCCACAGCCATTCTCCTCCTCCTTCTCCTTCCTTCCCTCCTCTCCACAAGTCCCGCTCCCTTCTAGCACTGACGATGTTATCTAGTTGGGTCATAAAATGAGAGCACCAAGGATCCCACAGTCATTGTCCTCCTCCTCGCCGCATACCCCACTTCCTTCTAGCACTGATGATGTTACCTAATGGGGTCATGAAACGTCTACAAGGAAAACAACCAAGCTCAGGGAGCACCAAGGACCACTCATTTCAACCCTGAGCTACAAATATTGTCCTTTGTCGGTACCAAGGGCCACAGAGCAAGTCCACTTACCCAAGACCACTGCGGTGATGGGGCCTTGGTGTTAGCTTTGGTACATTCGCGTAAGCCAGAAGCATCGCTCCACATATACCTGTCGGTGGGCAGGCCTCTGTTAAGGCAAACAGACACAAGATTCAGCAAATCTGCCTTGCGGGCAGATTTTTTTTTAAAAAAAGAATGCAAATTGACCAGATGTTCATTTTTTTAGGACATGAAAATGACCAGGTAGAGTAGTGCGGTGGCCTAGAGGTGGAGCTCTCGCCTCACAATCAGGAGGCTGCGAGTTCGATCCTAGGTAGAGGCAGATATTTCTCTCTCTCTCTCTCTGGGCACAATGAGAATATATCTGCTGGGGAAAAAAAAACAACAACTCCGCACTGGTGACAGGAAGGGCATCCGGCCAGTAAACACTCAGCTCCATTCAGTTTCCCAGACTCCACCCCGATGCAAAGGAATATGGGCAGGGTTGAAATCCAGCAGGTTCTGGAGAACCGGTAGCAGAAATTGTGAGTAATTCGGACAACCGGCAAATACCATATCTGGCTGGTCCCAGAATGGAGAGGGAATGGGGATTTTGCAGTATCCTTCCCCTGGAGTGGGTTGGAAATGGAGATTTTGCAATATCCTTCCCCCCGGGGTGTGTGGAGGGAATTGGCATTTTGCAGTATCCTTCCCCTGGAGTGGGGAGGGAATGGGGATTTTGCAGTATCCTTCCCCCAGGAGTAGGGTGGGAATGGAGATTTTGAAGTATCCTTCCCCCAGGAGTGGGGTGGGAATGGAGATTTTGAAGTATCTTTCCCCTGGAGTGAGGTGGGAATGGAGATTTTGCAATATCCTTCCCCCAGGAGTGTGGAAGGAATTGGGATTTTATGGTATCCTTCCCCCAGGAGTGAGGTGGGAATGGGGATTTTGTGGTATCCTTCCCCTGGAGTGGGGAGGGAACGGAGATTTTGCAGTATCCTTCCCCTGCCACGCCCACCAAGCCACGCCCACAGAACTGGTAGTAAAAAAAAAATGAATTTCACCACTGATTATGGGGTCATTAAAAGATGATGAGGAAAATGACCAGGTGCAACAGGCTGTCCAAAACAGATTTTTTTCTGCTTTTCCTACCTGTTACTGTAGCCCGTGACAGGATTCCACCGCTGATTTTCGTAAATATAGATGCTCTTTACATCTGTCTGTGGATGAATATTCTCAGGGCTGCCTGCCAAGCCTGTTTAAGACAAGCCATGAAAATTATCCCTCTATTTCCTTTTCCTTTCTTGTTTTTTTTTTTGACTTACGATTGAATGGTTCTCTTCCACCTAAAAACTCAAAGTATTAATACAATGCCATGAATTATAGCAAATATAGAGGATGGTTGAAGTAAAGGTACAGGTTCCCCTTGCACATATGTGCTAGTTGTTCCCGACTCTAGGGGGCGGTGCTCATCTCCGTTTCAAAGCCGAAGAGCCAGCGCTGTCCGAAGACGTCTCCGTGGTCATGTGGCCGGCATGACTCAACGCCAAAGGCGCACGGAACGCTGTTCCCTTCCCACCAAAGGTGGTCCCTGTTTTTTCTACTTGCATTTTTTACCCGCTTTCGAACTGCTAGGATGGCAGAAGCTGGGACAAGTCATGGGAGCTCACCCCATTACAGGGCACTAGGGATTTGAACTGCTGAACTGCCGACCTTTCGATCGACAAGCTCAGCGTCTTAGCCACCGAGCCACTGTGTCCCTTTGGTTGAAGTACAGCACCCTAATAAATTAATCCAGGCGAATTAATAAATCACACAAAACTCTAGGAGGACTTCAACTCCCAGAATTCCCCAGCCAACATGAATTCTGGGAGTTGAAGTCCACGTTATCTTAAAACGGCTGAGGTTGAAAAACACTGTTCTGGATGAGCGAGCGAGAGAGAGAGAGCCAGATGTTCTTGTAAAATTGGCCGGGACTCCTCCCCATGAAGGAGGATTGACTGGAAGGGATATTTCTTACCTGACAAAAAACTTCCTCCGTAACCACCAGTGTAAATCCAGGCGGTGTGGTCATAACCCACTCCCCACACAACGCCATCGCTGTTGCATTCAATCAGGCGAAGATGTCCCCCAACTTGGCGCCAAAACCTACAAGGAGAACGGCCCACTCATTCTAATCCCTGTTGTCAAACTGCGCGCAGTGTGACTACGTGAGGCAACCCAGGAGCAAATACAGTAAATGGAGGTTTGCATTTCAAATAGTGGTTTTATCTACGAAGAATATATACATACACGTACTTCAGTCAGATCTCAAACAAACAGCAATTGCAGCACGGAAGCACACAAGGAGAGAATGAGATACGCCCCAACAGGTCTCTTCTTATTACAGGCTCTTAAAGTGATATCAGCCCAAAAACCTTGCTGACTCATTCCCAGTATTACATCATCGTAGCAGCTGGTCAGCTCTTAAATCATTACCCTAACACCTGTCCCTTGGTTCATCTCCATCCCATCATACCATGCTAAGAGTTCTCCAAAAGAGAGAGATTATTCTCGGTTCCAAAATCATTTTATTTAGCAAGGGAGATTTGAGGTCAAGGTTACTCACATTTGATCACAAGGCATCGGCTGTGTTAGGGCCTCCAGGTCAGGGATGGGCTCGCTCACAAAGATGTCGCCTTTGCAGGTCAGCGACCAGATGGCTTCAGGAGAAGGAGGGCCCTGGAGCTGCCGGCCCTCACAGCAAGACATGTTCAGTAGGGCCAACTGGGAGACACAAAAGGAATTGGGAAAGAGATAAGACATGGTTCAAACACTTCCTAACCTTAGATGAGGATACTTGTAGCTCAGGATTGAATTGTGGGGTCCTTGGTGCTCTCTGAGCTTGGTGGCTGTCTTGCAGACGTTTCATGACCCAACTAAGTAACATCATCAGTGCTAGTAGGGGTTTGCTCTGTGTTTGTATACAAGCGTCAGTGTTGGTGGGAATTTTCTCGGTGGTTCCTTGACTAGGCTGTTGTTTACTATAAGGTTGCTCTTCTGAGTTGGTGGTTCTTTGATTGGGATATGGATTACTTCTGGATTGCTAATCTAGTGTTAATCCTGGTATTAATCTCTTGCTCATCTGGATGTTGCTTGCTGGAGAGGAGAAATTTTGGTCTCATAAGGTAAGTGTTGTACCTTATGATTCTTGACGAATGTATCTTGTCTTTTTATGTACACTGAGAGCGTATGCACCAAAGACAAATTCCTTGTGTGTCCGAATTGTATTGTATTGTATTGTATTTTGTATTCTATTATGTATTGTATTATGTATTGTATTGTATTGTATTTTGTATTTATTTTGTATTGTACTGTATTGTATTGTGTATTGTATTGTATTTTGTATTGTATTGTACTCTATTCATATTCTTTCTTATTCCTATTCCTGTTCCTGTTCCTACTCCTATTCCTACTCAATTCTATTCTATTCTGTTGTTCTGTTCTGTTGTGTTCTGTTCTATTCTAATTAATTCCTATTCCTATTCTACTCTACTCTACTCTTATTCCTATTCCTATTCCTATTCCTATTCTACTCCTACTCCATTCCATTCCATTCCATTCCAGTCCATTCCATTCTACTTTACTACTACTCTACTCTTATTCTACTCTATTATTCTATTTTACTTTACTACTACTCCACTCCACTCCACTCCACTCCACTCCACTCCACTCCACTCCACCTCCACTCCACTCCACTCCACTTCTATTCTATTCTATTCTATTCTATTCTATTCTATTCTATTCTATTCTATTCTATTCTATTCTATTCTATTCTATTCTATTCTATTCTATTCTATTCTAATTTGACCAGCTTTGGAAAACATCTCTAAACATACCCAGTCGTGCATATCTTGTTCGGTGCTTGCAGCTAGACGGACGGGCCACCGTTGCTTAGTCCTCTCCGGCGTATAGAGAGCGAACGAATGTTTGGCCTCATTCAGAATCTCAACTAGGATGGTGACTTCGTTGAGGAACATGTGGATGTACTGGGGAACGCAGAGAACATGTCAAAATCAGATCTTCAAGTTAAGGAGTACACTTTAAAAAAACGGGAACATGGGAAGCACTGGGCTACAGTTTAGTTAATGCTCGGCTGGGGAATTCTGGGAGTTGAAGTCCATGCATCTTAAAGCTGCCTAGGTTGAGAAATACTGCTTTAGGTCTAAAAGCAGAAAAGTTTCACAGTTCACCAGGTATTGTGGCATGCCGGCAACCAGCAGAGCTGGCAGCAGAGTCGGACAGTGAGGAGGTTGGGGAGGAACATGGGCCAGTCCTGGGGGCTGGGGAAAGCTCGGACGAGGGCTCTGCATCGGAGGCAGAGAGAGAGAGATAGACAGTAGTGAGGCAGAGGAACAGCTGGAGCCCGTTCCCACTGTGTGCATGCTCAGAGCTGCCAGAAGACAAGAACAACTCAGAAAGCAAGGACGACTTGGGAGTAAAGCCACACCTTGAAGGTGATGGGCCCCTCCCATAGGAAACAAAAGAGGAGCAAATGGGGAGGGGGCTTTTGCAGGAAACGATTCGTTCATTCGGTCGTTTCAAGAGTGGGAAGATTTGCCCGTGACTCTAAGAGACTCTGTACCAAGTTTGGCCTTGCCCTGCGTTTGGAAACTATTGACATGGCAGCTTTCCAAGCGAGATAAGGTCTGTGTTGATAAATATCCCTCTGAAAGACTGTTTGCCAGGCCTTGCTGACTGTGAATGAAAGGAATTCACAGTTGTGTAAATAAAAGGGGTTTTGCCGGGACCAAGACTCTGCTTTGTGCTTTTTAAGAAAGCCTAGATCAGAACACAGGGTTCCCAAATTGTCTTTCTCTAGTGGCTAAGTAGAATTTGATTAAAACTCGGGACTATCCAGGCTGTTGTTGGGGTCCGCCAGCAGCCTGCGGAGCTGGCAGCGGAGTCGGACAGTGAGGAGGTTGGGGAGGAACGTGGGCCAGTCCTGGAGTCTGGGGAAGGCCCGGACGAGGGCTCTGCATTGGAGGCAAAGATGGGGCCAGGGCCATCTGGGAGTTATGTGCGGACTCCGGAGCTTCCAGAGGCAGACAGCAGAGAGGCAGAGGAACAGGAGGAGCCTGTTCCTAGTGCATGCATGCGCAGAACTGCCAGAAAGCAAGAGCAGCTAAAGCAAAAGGGACGACTCAGGAGTAAGGCCAGGAGATGATTGGCCCCTCCTATAAGGCTTAACAGAGAAACAAAGGCACTTGGGGCCTTTTGCAGGAAAGCAATGTTGCTAACTCGGTTTCCAGTCGGCATCTCTTGTTTGTTTCCGAACTCCGTGGGGCTTTGCCAAGTAAGGCCTTTGGCAGGATGTCAAAGAAGATAAAGGTTGGTGATTATCCCGAAGGACTTCTTCCGAAGGATTTGTTTTACAACTAATTGGGACTCAGCTGGGAATGAACGCAATTCTCAGCTGTTACAATAAAATAGGGTTTTTTGGGACTAATTGTGCCTTGTAACGAGTCAGTAAGCCGAGGTCACAACAGCTGTAGGCTAGAGTGAGAAAGAAAGATACCTCAGAAAATGCAGGGAGAAACCATTTTCCTATGGTTGGCATAGGAACAACACGGATGTGTCCCCGAATTCAGTTTGGTACCCCATGAAGTAGAAGAATAACGCAAAAGGTGCTAAAATGTGTGTTACACGCTTCATTTTGCACACCGCAAGGTTTCTGCTTGGTAATATTGCTCTCTAGTGGACATTTTTTGAAATCACATTTCAAATGTGCATATTTCAAGGCCACCGGCTGTTCGTTTATTTCTGAGACATTTTTCATGCGTGTTTATTGCGGTTTATCAATAGATAAAATACAAAGAGAAAATTTAAAAAGTACTAGAAAACTAGGCGGGGGAAGGGAAAAAGAAAAAAAGAAAATATGGAGTAAAGAGGGAAGGAAGAAAGAAAAAGGCACTGACTTCCAATTCTCTTTAGCACAGTAAAAGATAACATTACAACCTCCATTTTTTTACTTTGGCACAACCTTTTCTATAGCAAGAAACCTCATCTAATCAGCAAAAAACAGAATCAATATTTCACTGCTTTTTCATTGCAAAATTTCTGAGAGTTTCAATTTGCCGTAATCCCATTGCTTCGGGATCTTCTTCATTCTATCCCTACTTAATTTCTCAGATCAGAAATTGGAAAAATTGACAAGCAACGATAAAAGCTGCGACGATAAAAAAAGAAAAATGTTCTGCTCCTACGACATGAATTTTCAACCGGTGCGGCAGCTTGCAGGGAGGGTCACATGATCACCCTCTGCAACCTTGGGCGGGTGGAAGGTTGGACTAGATGACCTATAAGGTCCCTTCCAACTCGGTTAATCTCTTAAACCTTCCGAGCTAGCTTCCAACAAGCAAAGTCCATGGAAGAAGCTGAAAGACGGCACAATTCGCTTAACAATGGGAAAATAATGGAATGTGCTGAAATGAGCAAATTGACATTTGAAATTAGAGAACAAGAAGATAAACAATACTATGAGATATGAGACCTATTTTATCAATGGTTAAATAAAAACACATGGAAATGAAATATGGTAGAGACTTTCACAATACAAGAATCGTAGAACTGTGTGAAATATAACATACAGATGTATTATTATTATTGGATAGATTCAGGAGGATGAAATGAACGCGATAATAAAAATTAACTCAAATCTTAGAATACTTTGAATGATAATGCGGGAAGAAATAGTCACAGTCAAATAAATGATTAATGAGGATAAAAATATATAGATATACATTAGGTCGATGGTATGAGAATCTAGGGAAATTGTAAATTGTAAGCTATGAATTTGGTAAATGACGCACAAAAGACTTGTAACCAACCGACACACTGTTTGCAATTGAAGATGGTTTTATGTATGTTTGTTTAAAAATAATTTAAAAACAAATAAACAATGGGAGCGATTCGCTTAACAACGATGTCCAAGCAGTCCGTAAAATAGGTGAGGTCGTGTGTTGACTCACTCAACGGCTGCATTGCTTAGCCATGGCAGTTCTGCTCCCAGCTGGGTTCATAAGTCAAGGACGACCTGCATTTTTGTGTCAAATCGGGGGAGTCAAGAACTGGGTGCGAATTCAACCCCCGCGGCTCGGACAAGCCTACCTTCTTTTCCTCGTTGTGCGTGTAGTAGACAAAGAGAATACTGTCCCGGGTCCCGTCGTTCGCAGTGAATTGTTCCAGGGCCACCTGCACGTCAACCCAACGGTACGGCTTCCAACTTCTCCACCATTGCAATGTTCCGGTTTTGACCCAGACGGACTGGAAAGAGGCAAACATCCATCATTCCATCAGAATCAGCTAAGAGCAAAACTCATCGCCTCCCTTCAATCTAGCTAACTTCTTGGATCAATTCTGTATCGAAGGAGGCAGCGTTTGAAAGACCCAAGGCAAAATGATGAAACGTGAGCCACCCGTTTATTGATTTATATTTATTTTGTACCCCGCCTTTCTTATTTTTACAAATAACTCAGAGCGGCGAACGTATTTGACGCGTTTTCCTCCTGTTTTCTCCACAACAATCCTGTAAGGTGGGTCGGGCTGAGAAAGAGAGGGACTGGTCCAAAGTCACCCGGTTGGCTTTCATGCCTTAAGTGGGACTAGAACTCTCAGTCTCCTGGTGATTCGCCCAAAGCCGCCTAGTTGGCTTTCATGCCTAAAGTTAAGATTAGAACTCACCGTCTCCTAGTGATTGGCCCAAAGTCATTGAGCTGGCTTTCATGCCTAAAGCGGGACTAGAACTCACAGTCTCCTGGTGATTGGCCCAAAGTCATTGAGCTGGGCTTTCATGGCTAAGATGGAACTAGAACTCACTGTCTCCTGGTGATTGGCCCAAAGTCACTGAGCTGGCTTTGATGGCTAAGACGGAACTAGAACTCACTGACTCCTAGTGATTGGCCCAAAGTCACTGAGCTGGCTTTCATGGCTAAGACGGAACTAGAACTCACTGTCTCCTGGTGATTGGCCCAAAGTCACTGAGCTGGCTTTGATGGCTAAGACGGAACTAGAACTCACTGACTCCTAGTGATTGGCCCAAAGTCACTGAGCTGGCTTTCATGGCTAAGACGGAACTAGAACTCACTGTCTCCTGGTGATTGGCCCAAAGTCACTGAGCTGGCTTTGATGGCTAAGACGGAACTAGAACTCACTGACTCCTAGTGATTGGCCCAAAGTCACCGAGCTGGCTTTCATGGCTAAGACGACGGAACTAAAACTCACTGACTCCTAGTGATTGGTCCAAAGTCACTGAGCTGGCTTTCATGGCTAAGACGGAACTAGAACTCACTGACTCCTAGTGATTGGTCCAAAGTCACTGAGCCGGGTTTCATGGCTAATACGGGACCAGAACTCAGTGTCTCCTAGTTATTGGCCCAAAACCCTGTTACACCCCCCTCCCCTCTCTCTACTTTACCTGCTCCACCGCCTGTTCGTAATGTCTGAAATTGTCCAACTCTCGGTGGGTCCTTTCCGACAGCTGGCGAAATATTTGCTTCCTCCATTGGGCAGTATGGCTGGGGCTGATGGAAAGTGCCAAGGATTGAGAGCAGGAGGTTAAAGCTATAACAGGGGAGGAAAAAAAAAGAGAATTCCCGATCAAGCAGTGATTGATAGCAGTCTTCCAATATCTTAGGGGCTGCTCCAAAGAAGAGGGAGTCAAGCTATTCTTCAAAGCACCTGAAGGCAGGACAAGAAGCAATGGGTGGAAACTAATCAAGGAGAGAAGCAACCTAGAACTAAGGAGAAGTTTCCTGACAGTTAGAACAATTCATCAGTGGAACAACCTGCCTCCAGAAGTTGTGAATGCTCCAACATTGGAAGTTTTTAAGATGATGTTGGACAACCATTTGTCTGAAGTGGTGTAGGGTTTCCTGCCTAAGCAGAGGGTTGGACTAGAAGACCTCCAAGGTCCCTTCCAACTCTACTCTACTCTCTACTCTACTCTACTCTACTCTACTCTACCCTACCCTACCCTACCCTACCCTACCCTACCCTACTCCACTCCACTCCACTCCACTCCACTCCACTCCACTCCACTCCATTTCATCATTTCATTTCATTTCATTTCATTATTTCATTTCATTTCATTATTTCATTTCATTTCATTTCATTATTTCATTTCATTTCATTTCATTCTTCCCTTAGAAAGTTTTTGGTATTTCTATCCTGCTCCACTCCCAACGACTCTTGAGTGGCAGATGGTAACAAGGATTAAAAACAAGCACCAAAAAAAAAAAAAAAAAATTAGTTCTCAACTTTCAACCATTTACGATGGTCCTGAAAAAAATTGATACAGGACTGCTCCTCCAGGCTGACTCTGTAAACCGCTTAGAGAGGGCTGCAAAAGCACTACGAAGCGGCATATAAGTCTAAGCGCTATCGCTGTCGCTATCACCACCCACCTGACTGAGCTGTGAACCATTTCAGCGGGCTCTGCGAATCTACAAGGCAGCCTCTGCTGGAGACCCAAATCCAGAGGGGAAGATCATCGGTCACAAAATGATCCTCGACCCCAGCCGGTAAGAACGAAGACAAACTGGAGGTCTCGGCAAGCACAGTCGCTTTGGACATCCTGCTGGCCTCTTTTAGGTCGATGTTGGTCCACTGAGGCTTCGGTGGAAGCGAGTCCAGATTGGAGAGAGGTTTATTATCTGGGCCAACTTGATGGTCTCCATCTGATCCGGCGGTGGCTTCATCCAGAACAGTGGCTAATGGGTCAATATTCAGCTCCGGGACCGGATGGGGGCTCTTAGGGGTCTCGGGACCAGGTCCAGGAAGGTGAGCATCGTTCACAAGGGATTCTGCCTCCGCTTGGGACTCTCCATCGCTCTGGAAGACGGAGGGGCTTTGTTCTTTGATGTCGTCCGTAAAGAAGCAGCCGGCGCTGGAGATGCAAGAGGGGAAAAACAGATCTTACTCTCCGTTATCCCTGTTGTGGTGGATGGAAACACTGGTGAGTTTAATAATTTAATTTAAGTTTGTATGTCTTTTCCCCCCCAAAATTATTTTTTTTCTTGCAACATCAAATAAAGCCGTGATGGCAAACTTATGGCATGCGTGCAGAGCCCTCTCTGTGGGCATATGCGCTGTTGCCAGCTGTTCTTCTGGTTTCCGGCGTGCCCATGCACACCAGGGGTGAAATGTAAAATTTGTTACTACCAGTTCTGTGGGCGTGGCTTGGTGGTGGTGGAGGGTAATGGGACTGGGTGGGCGTGGCCAGCTTTTTTTTTTTTTTTTTAACTTTTCAAAGCATTTTTTCTAATGCTTTGAAAAGCCTCTCTGACTATCAGGCAACTCAGCTGGGATCGTCAGAGACTTTTCAAAGCATTTTTTTTAACCACCTCTTCGGCCAAGAGGTTTCGTTGGAAGAGGTTGTAGAAAAAATGCGTTTAAAAGTGAAAAAAAAAAAAAAGCCTCTGATGATCGTGCGGCTCAGCTGGGCATGGTGGGGGGGGGGGGCGCAGGGATTTTTGCTACCGGTTCTCCGAACCACCCGCCGCCATCGCTACCGGATCGGGTGATCCGGTCCGAACCGGGAGCATTTCTCCCCTGATTGTAACATTGGGTGTTCTGTACTCTGCTTCGGATAACGGTTGCTTACCTAAGGAGGCTGGTGGAGCTGCCGGTTTGAGATTGGTCGCTCTCTCGGTTGCAGGCAATGGCTTTCCACATTTTCCCGCTCAGCTCGCTTGGCGTGACGCCTTGACGGAAGTAGATCGCTCGGTCCTCACAGCTGATCCCCCAAACCTGCGTCGGAAGGGAAGGGGAAGGAAATGGATACGAGAGAAAAGAAGGGGAGGGGGGGGGAAAGGGAAAAGGGGGGAAAAGGAAAGGAAGATAAAAGGAGGGGAGGGGAGGAGAGAGAAGGATATATAAAATAAGGAAGGAGGAGAGGAGGAGAGGAGAGGAGAGGAGACAGAAGGAAATATAAAATGAGGAGAGAAGAGGAGAGGAGAGGGAATATAAAATAAGGAGGAGAGGAGAAAAGAGAGGAAATATAAAATAAGGAGGAGAGGGAATATAAAATAAGGAAGGAGAAGAGGAGAGAGAAGGAAATATAAAATAAGGAGGAGAGGAGAAAAGAGAGGAAATATAAAATAAGGAGGAGAGGAGGGGAATATATAAATAAGGAAGGAGAAGAGGAGGAGAGGAGAGGAGAGGAGACAGAAGGAAATATAAAATGAGGAGAGAAGAGGAGAGAGAAGGAAATATAAAATAAGGAGGAGAGGAGAAAAGAGAGGAAATATAAAATAAGGAGGAGAGGGAATATAAAATAAGGAAGGAGAAGAGGAGAGAGAAGGAAATATAAAATAAGGAGGAGAGGAGAAAAGAGAGGAAATATAAAATAAGGAGGAGAGGAGAGGGAATATAAAATAAGGAAGGAGAAGAGGAGAAGAGAGAGAAGGAAATATAAAATAAGGAGAGGAGAAAAGAGAGGAAATATAAAATAAGGAGGAGAAGAGAGGAAGAGAGAGACAGAGGGACAGAGGGAAGGAAGGGGAGGAGAGGAGAGGAAAGGAAGAGAGAGAGAGAGAGAGAGGAAGGGAGGAAGGAAGGGGAGGGGAAGAGAGGGGAGGAGACGAGAGGAGAGATGAACAGGAAGCATCACATCTGCCCTCCAGAAGGAATATCCAACTATGAAACTATCCATCCTTTGACTTTCTCCTGGAGGATGTTGTTGGGAAGCAGACATAACCAGAGATTGAAAACTGCAAAAATGCTTATCTTAACTACGTGCAAATGAAGCAACACGCAGTTGAGTTCTCAGTTACTTCTTTGGAAAATCTACCTCCCCCCCAACACCCCCGTTGAGACTCACCTGGTCATTTAAGCCCACGTCCACCATCTGCATTTCACCAATCATCTCGACCCAGCTGGTGCCACAAGGATTGTAGGAGTTCACCCCACGCCTGAACCAGATCTAGATGAGAAAAATCCTCACGTCAGGGATGGAAGCTTTGGGGTTTCTCTTCCCCCCCCACTTCCCCGACCAAAATGAGCCCCGTAAAATCCTGACACTGGAACAAGTTATGAATAACAGCAACAGTCTCGTCCCAGATTTGCTTGAGGTAAATCCCAGAATGGGCCATCTTTATTCAGGTAAATATTTGTAGTGGATAAAAGATCCGTCTTATATTGCATGTATTATGAGAATAATAGTTGTAATTTTCAATTGTAAATAGATTTTAGTTGGGTGTTTTAAACTTATTGGGCCAAAATTTTGTTTAATTCTTTTTTTAAAATTTTAAATTTTGTATGTGATGTTTTTATTCTTGGCTGTTCACCGCCTTGAGTCCTGTGGGAGAAGGGCGGTATAAAAATCTAATAAAATAATAAAATAAAATAAAATAAAATAATAAAATAAAATAAAAATAAATAAATAAAAAATAATGAAATAAAATAATAAAATAAAATAAAATAAAATAAATAAATAAATTATGGTGTGTATAAAACTATAGAATAGAACTTTTAAAAAAATATTGGCCGTGTGATTGGACACACAAGGAATTTGTCTTTGGTGCACATGCTCTCAGTGTACATAAAAGAGAAGATATATTTGTCAAGAATCATAAGGTACAATACTTAATGATAGTCATAGGGAACAAATAAGCAATCAGGAACAATATCAATATAAATCGTAAGGATACAAGCAACAAGGTCGCAGCCATAAGTGGGAGGAGATGGGTGGTGGGAACGATGAGAAGATTAATAGTAGTGCAGACTTAGTGAATAGTTTGACAGTGTTGAGGGAATTATTTGTTTAGCAGAGTGATGGCGTTTGGGGAAAAACTGTCCTTGTGTCTAGTTGTTCTGGGGTGCAGTGCTCTATAGCGTCGTTTTGAGGGTAGGAGTTGAAACAGTTTATGTCCAGGATGCGAGGGGTCTATAGATATTTTCTCAGCCCTCTTTTTGACTCGTGCACTATATAGGTCCTCAATGGAAGGCAGGTTGGTAGGAATTGTTTTTTCTGCAGTTCTAATTATCCTCTGAAGTCTGTGTCTGTCTTGTTGGGTTGCAGAACCAGACAGTTATAGAGGTGCAGATGACAGACTCAATAATATTCAATACTCAAATAATACGCAATATGTGTATTTAAAAGAGATTTGATACAGACAGTACACTGCCGTTGCAGAAATGGAAACGTTATGTATAACCAAGGAAAATGTATAATACAAATACTTTGCTAAAAAAAGATCAGTCTTTTCAAATTCTCCTACAATCAACAGGACTAGCAACGTAGCCAACCTACACAGCTCCAAAAGCCACTCACTTTTCTGTCTTTCGTGACTGCCCAGACCACGTTCACACCAACAGACACGTGTGAAATCCCATTGTCGGCAACTGGTGGATCCACAATTGTCCATGACGTTCCTGCCCAAAGAAAAGAGGCAGAAATCAATAGAAGGATGATCCCAACTCCTGTTGTAGCCCGCTGGCAGCCAGCGGAGCTGGTAGCAGTCAGACAGTGAGGAGGTTGGGGAGGAACATGGGATGGTCCTGGGGGTGGGGAAAGCTCAGACGAGAGCTCTGCATCGGAGGCAGAGAGGGAGATAGACAGTAGTGAGGCAGAGGAACAGCTGGAGCCTGTTCCCAGTTTGCACATGTGCAGAGCTGCCAAAAGACAAGAACAACTCAGAAAGCAGGGTCAACTCGGGAGTAAAGCCACACCTTGGAGATGATTGGCCCTTCCGATAGGAAACAAAAGGGGAGTGAATGGGGAGGGGGCTTTTGCAGGAAACAATTCGTTCGGTCGGTCGTTTCAAGAGTGGAAAGTTCTGTTCGTGACTCTAAGAGACTCTGTGCCAAGTTTGGCCTTACTCTGTATTTGGAAACAAGTTACGTGGCAGCCTGCCAAGCGAGATAAGGTCTGTGTTGATAAATATTCCTTTGAAAAACTGTTTGGACAGGCCGTGCTGACTGTGAATGAAAGGAATTCGCGGTCGTGTAAATAAAAGAGGTTTTGCCGGGACCCACTCCTGCTTCCCGCTTTTTAAGGGAGCCTAGCTCAGAACAACTCCACAGCAGAGAACCAGCTCCCTTGGGGTCACCCATGGGCCTACCCTGGGGGTTGTTTCGGTCGATCCCTTCTCTCACAATCGCCTGTCCTTCCCAGCAGGTGGCCCAGAGGAGATCGTACGGTCCGCAGCTGATCTGTATGACTTCGGCTGGAGCAGGGATTAAGCTCCAGGAAGATCCTTCTGGATTGTGATGAGTGACATCGTTTCGATACCAGATCTAGGAAGACAAGGTCGTTTTTTCAGGCACAATTAATCAGAAGGAGGCAAACCTTTACCATATTTTTAAAAGTATAAGACGCTCCGGACTATAAGACGCACCTACCTTTTTTGGTGAGGAAAAGAAGAAAAAGAAATCTGCCTCTGCCTCCCAGCAATTTTGCCTCATTGCAGCAAACAGCAAACAGCCTGCTTTACTTTCAGTTTCGTTTTCAGCATAGCTTGATTAGCACAAGGAAAAAAAAATTGCTCCCAGCAATTTACCTCCTTGCAGCAATCAGCAGAGGCCGCAACAAAACAGCTGAGAGTCGGTAGGTAAAATGAGGACCCGGATTGTGGGGGCAATAAACTGACTTTGTGTATATATATATATATATATAAAAGAACACCGCTTAGGGGGAGCCGAAAGCCCTACTAAGTAGGTATATACAAAAGTATGAAGGCTATTGTAAGCCGCCCTGAGTCTCCGGAGAAGGGCGGCATATAAATCGAACCAATCAATCAATCAATCAATCAATCAATAAGAGAAAAGGGGGGGGAAAGGAATTTTCACATAGTGCATAATTAATAAGGGGCGTTACTTTGCCTTGTAGAGTGACAGTCCAGACCGAGAGTCGACCCAGAGGTTCATCGGTGATTTCCCAGCCTCCCACGGAGATGTCATTAAAAGGATCTGGTAACTGCTTCGAATCTTGATGGGGTGGAATCTATCTCAAAATTAAAAAAAAAGAAAAAGAAAAAGGAAAGGAGAAAGACCTAAGAGTTATTGAATGGTTCTTCTGAAGGCCAGAAGAATGCATTCAGAAGTCCTTGCTGAACTCCACGATGGGACATCCTCTACTCTGGAAACCCCGCAGTACCTTCTAAAACGAGAAACAGCAGAGAGGCCTGCCAGAAAAATCGATTGGGAAAAACAAAACATGGTTTCTAATTCTTATTAAAAACCACAAGATCTATATTTTTTCTCCCAAGAGGTATTGTGGGAAAATTGCAAATATCCTTAAACAATCTAGAGAGGGGACAATCCTCACTTTTATCTGCCTTTCAGCACCCAAGAAACTACAGCTACCTGAACAAAGCAGAAGTGCTCGGCCATGCTCTGTTGTGATCTGCCAGAAGGCAAAAACAATTAAGGAAAAAAAAGGGCAACTCAGGAGTAAGGCTTGGAGTTGATTGGCCCCTCCCGTAAGACATAAAAGAGGAGCAAACGGACGTGAGCCTTTGCAGGAAGCAATTAGTTCATATAGTCCGTTCAAGCTCTGAGAAGCTCCGTTTGACTCTGTGCTCCGTTTGGCCTTGCAAAACGAAATTGACAATTAGGTCTCTGGCAACGGTTCAAGGGAGATAAAAGGTGGGTGCTTACCAACATTACCCTGAACGACTGTGGCCACTCGAGCAGACCTCAGTCGGAATCTGCACAGACTGTTTGTGAATCGTTACGGGCTGTGAATGACCGTAATTCACAGCCGTCTCAATAAAAAGAGGTTTTTTGGGGGACTTAAGATTGTGATTTATGCTTTCTCAGGAAGCCACGCTCAACCAACTCTGGACATATCAGACATTGCGAGAAAAAAAGAAGAAAAAGAGAGAGAAAGAAAGGAAAGCAGCACACACCTTTGCCCAGGTGTCCCGCGCTTTGTACCTTCTGTACCGAATCCACTTTCTTCGTCGGACGCAGGAATTCCATCGCTTGTCCTTGGTGTACGTAGCTGGGAAGTCGATGGCGTAGGTCCAGCCCTTCAAAAGAAGAACAAAGTGACCGAGGTAGAACGTGATGAACCCGTGAGAATCAAGGCTGCAAAGAGCTCAAAGTACAAGTAGTCCTTGACTTACGACCCCAACATTCCTGTTGCTAAGTGACACACTTGTTAAGTGAGTTTTGCCCCCATTTTATGACTTAGAGTGCAGTATTGCAGGGCTACTTCTGCTGATCACCGGCTGCCTGCAATTTGGCAGTTCGAATCTCACCAGGCTCAAGGTTGACTCAGCCTTCCATCCTTCCAAGGTTGGTAAAATGAGGACCCAGATTGTTGGGGGCAATAGGCTGACTTTGTAAACCGCTTAGAGAGAGCTGTAAAAGCACTGTGAAGCGGTATATAAGTCTGCTATTGCTTGTGAAGGAAAGGAGAGGAAAGGAAAGGAAAGAGGAAAGGAGAGGAGAGGAGAGGAGAGGAGAGGAGAGGAGAGGAGAGGAGAGGAGAGGAGAGGAGAAGAGAGGAAAGGGAAGGAAGGAAGGAAGGAAGGAAGGAAGGAAGGAAGGAAGGAAGGAAGGAAGGAAGGAAGGAAGGAAGCCAGCCATGGTGGCACAGTGGTTAGAATGCAGAATTTCAAACGGACTGCCCACTGCCAGGAGTTCGATCCTGACCGGCTCAAGGTTGACTCAGCCTTCCATCCTTCTGAGGTGGGTAAAATGAGGACCCAGATTATTGGGGCAATAAACGACTCTGTAACCTGCTTAGAGAGGGCTGTAAAGCAGTATATAACTCTGCTATAGCTTGGGAAGGAAGGAAGGAAGGAAGGAAGGAAGGAAGGAAGGAAGGAAGGAAGGAAGGAAGGAAGGAAGGGAGAGCCAGTGAGTAGTCTTGTTTTTTATAATTCCACTCCGGACAAGGAGAGGACGTGAGATTGCCCACAAGTGCTCCAGACAGCTGCTCCTTGCCAGGAGCAGCAGCCTCCAGCAATTTTTGAGCTCTGAAGAGGAGCGAATGAATAGCCTCTTTGATCAAACCACGGTCAGAAAAAAAAAAAAGGAAAATAAACTGAAGCATGTCTTAAAAGGGATATACAAATAACAAATTAAGACAATAACCCGTGTCATTTTTAAAAAAAATGGATTTACAAAATAGGCTTGTTAAAACTTTGGGTAACTTTGTGAGAAGGGACAGGGCATTTTCCCAGTAATTTATTATGGTAGAGGGAACGGGAAAAAAGAAAATTGCATTTTCCTATTCACATGATCGGTTCTGTGGGCGTGGCTTGGTGGGCGTGGCTTGGTGGGCATGGCAGGAGAAGGCTATTGCAAAATCTCCATTCCCACCCCACTCCAGGGGAAGGAGACTGCAAAATCCCCATTCCCACCCCACTCTGGGACCAGCCAGAGGTGGTATTTGCCGGTTCTCCGAACTACTCAAAATTTCTGCTACCGGTTCTCCAGAACCTATCAGAACCTGCTGGATTTCACCCCTGAACTGAAGTAACTGTCAGCGCCTCAGCGCTGGCATAGAGAGGAGAGATAAGCTCTGAACTTTTGCCTGCTAAATCCCTTTGAAGCCTGGTCGTCGTGGAAATGAGGAGGGGGGGAGACATTCCTGTGAAATGACGAGACAAGAAGTTTGGAAAGTGACTTGGAAGATAGCCAATAAGAAGCAGAGAACTGGGGATCGGAAAGGGAGGGATTAGGGGGCAAAAGGTCAGTCTTGTCCACATTGAGTCATGATCCGGTTGCTGGGCTCGAATAAAGAAAAGACTTCCTTAAAGATTGGCAGTTTGGAAATTCATTTATTTTGAGATAGCATCGAAGTCTGACAGTAACTTTTCCAGGCCCACATTCCCTTTTAAACACGGCTTTTCCCCCAAAGAAGGCAGATCCCATACGGTTCACCTACCCCTTTCTCTGTGGCTTCCCCTCCAAAATTTTCATCCACGTACCAGTCAGACTCCCACTCCCAGTGAGGCGACGGCAGCAAAAAGCTTTCCAGCTGCTGATGCTTCAGCCCACTCACGTCACTCCATTGCCAGCGGTCGCTGGGCAGCAGACTGTCGCAAAAGCCCACCACCGGGTTCCAGCGCTGCCAGAGAAGGGGGGCAAAGGAAGAAACAGTCACACATCCCAATGACCTCATCCAACAGCAGATTTTGTTAGAATTTAGAGGCTGCTTTCTGACTCTACAAAGCCGTCAACCAGTGGAACAGGCTGCCACTTGAAGTGGAAATTCTCCTGGACGGAGAATCTTGAAGCCAGATGGCTCAAAAAATCCTTTAGCGGAGTCTGCACCGAGCACAAAAGAGAGTTGGGTTGGATGACACCCCCCCCCAAGACCATGGGGGAAATCTATTTATCTTCCCTACCGGTTCGGAAGTGCACACATGCATCATGTGCAATTTTCGACTCTCTGCGCATGTGCAAAGCCTTCTGCGCATGTGCAGAGGGTAAAAAAACAGGTTACTTCCTGGTTAAAACCAGGAAGTAATGACCTCCGAGTGGGTGGGTGGAGCCTCGTGCTGCCGCCGCTACCAATTCACCGAACCACCCACCACTGCCGCTACCGGTTCGCTCAAACTGGTATGAACCGGTAGCATTTCACCCCTGCCCAAGATCCCTTCTCTAAGTCTGCGCTCTCTGTACCTGATTCTCATAGGTTTCTTCTTTGAACCGGATGGGGACATCACTGGAGTGGACATAAACGTAGATTTGATGGTCGCAAACGAGTCCCCAACAGCATTGTTTGACGGCCGAAACTCGTTTCACTTCCAGTTCTCCATCTTTACACAGCTCCCAGTACTGGCCGGTAGTGGATAATGTGTACACTCTCCCAAAAATATCCACAGCCCACAGGAGCGATTGGGAGCCGCTCATGGCTGGAAAATACAAGGGGCAGAGATGGGTAAGGGGTTTACTCTTTAATTGCGCAACACTTGGAAAAGACTTCGCCATCGTTTCCATCGGGGAAGCTGTGAGCATCGCCAGTCCAAAAAAAAAAAAAAACACATTAGCAGATTCCTGGAAGCCTCAGACAAATCAGCCATCAACGGGCACAGAGAGATAAATGTCATTTACACACCGTTCAAAAGAAGTAATCAAAAAGTAAATAAGAGACCGAAAGACCTCCTTCCCAGCACTCAACACCCAGATAAATAGAGATTAACATCAAGATTAATATCTGACCCAACAATTAAGACTCCAATCAAGGAACTACCAACTCAGACAATCATATAATAAACACTAGTATTGATGTTACCTACCGTGTTTCCCCGAAAATAAGACCCTGTCTTATATTTTTTTGAACCCCGAAATAAGTGCTTGGCCTTATTATCGGGGAGGTCTTATTATTTTGGGGCGCGTGGAGGAAACCAGAGGAAATGGCGGGGACTGGCCACGCATGTGTTTAAATATTTTCGGGGAGGGCTTATTTTCGGAGAAGGCTTATTTTAGTGCATGCGCTCAAAAGCCCGATTGGGCTTATTATCAGGGGATGTCTTATTTTGTTACAAATATTCTCCTTTATTGAAACAATAAACAACACTATAATCAAGGAACAAGCACGGATACTGACAAGCCACTTGTATGTAAAGAGAGCAACCTCACTTCCTTCTAGCCCTGATGATGTTAGCTAGTTGGTTCATGAAACGTCTGCAGGAAAACCGCCAAACCCAGAAAGCACCAAGGCCCTCAACCACCTCCTCCCTGCACTCCTTTCTAGCACTGATGATGTTACCTAGTTGGGTCACGAAATGTCCACAAGAAAACCACCAAGCCAGTGGTGAAACGGACTTACCTTCGCTACCGGTTCGGGAATGTGAGCGCGAGCGCTCGCTCGCTACGCTCACATGTGCCTCTTCTGCGCATGCGGAGAGAGAGCCTTCTGCACATGCACAGAGGGTCAAAAGCAGGACGTAATAATGTCCCAGCGGGTGGGCGGAGCCTTCTACCGGTTCGCGTGAGCCGGATTTCACTGCCGCACCAAGCCCAGAAATCACCAAGGACCACACAGTCCTCCTCCCACTCCTCCCTGCATCCTGCACTCCTTTCTAGCACTGATGATGTTACCTAGTTGGCTCATCTTCAAGAAAACCACCAAGTTCAGAGAGCACCAAGGACCCCACAGTCCTCCACGTCCTCCTCCTCTTCACAAGTCGCCTCTAGCACTGATGATGTTACCTAGTTTGGTCATGAAACGTCTACAAGAAAACCATCAAGCCCAGAAATCACCAAGGACCACACAGTCCTCCTCCTCCTCCATCCCGCATTCCTTTCTAGCACTGATGATGTTACCTAGTTGGCTCATCTTCAAGAAAACCACCAAATTCAGAGAGCACCAAGGACCTCATAATTCCACCTTATGCTACAAACGCTCTATTTTAAGGGGGTTTACACAGGACTCATTCCTAACCTGGTTACTCCCAAAGGGCAGTTTTACTTTCCGGAGTCAGAACAGGGTCTGGGGGAGGTGGCTGCAATAGGAAAAATGTCCCACAATTCACAGAAATGGGGCAGATCATAGGGGCAGCAAAAAACAATATAAAGGGACGTCATACGGTAGACAAAGCAGGACCAATTACCAAGTCAGTTGGAACGGGAAAACAAGAACACAACTCTGCACTATATCTTAAATAATGCTTTCATTATCCCCCAAAACATTGTTTTAATTTGTCGCCTTGGCAACCCTCTCTCTCTCTCTCTCTCTCTCTCTTCTCTCTCTCTCTCTCTCTCTCTCTTCTCTCTCTCTTCTCTCTCTCTCTCTTTCTCTCTCTATCCGGGAGTTCCAGGCAGCACTCCGGATTAATTAATTTATTTTTTAATCGCATTTACAGGAAAGCCAGCTCTACGCTTATATCCCTTCCCCTTCAATCCAACTGGACTTGCTCCAGAGTTAAACCAAACCCGAGATGCCAGCTGGCTCCTTTCCAATGAAAAGCCAGTCAATTGTAAAGGGATTTTGGGGTTCAGATGACGGAGGGGGGGAAGAAAGAAAGTCTTCAAGAAAAAAAGGGGGGGCATATTATTTGATTTGATTTAACGGTTTCTAGGGCTGCCCATCACAACACCTGCGATTCTACTATTATCAGAAGAGGGGGGGAAATGAAGAAGGATAGTGGGTGGGAGGGGTGCAAATCCACGCCGGGGGTGGGCTAGAAAATAATCAAGGCGGAATAAAAAACGAAATAAAAATAACCTAAAGGTCACCAGTTGTCCCTTAGGTGGCTCAGTGGCTAAGACACTGGGCTTGCCGATCAGAAAGGTTCGGCAGTTCGGCGGTTCGAATCCCTAGGACAGCTCTCCTGCGGTGAGCAGGGGGTTTATTTATTTATTATTTATTTATTAGTCCAATTTATATGCCGCCCTTCTCCGTAGACTCAGGGCGGCTTACAATGCATTATAGCAACAGCCTGCATACTTTTTACGTATATACCTGCTTATTAGGGCTTTCGGCCCTCCCAAGCGGTGTTGTTCTCTACAAAGCTAGCTTAATCCGGGTCCTCAATTTACCTACCTCCAAAGGATGGAAGGCTGAGTCTCACCTTGAACCTGGTGAGATTCCGAACTCGCACTAACCGGCAGGCAGCTAAGCGCTAGCTTAGCTTAACAGCACTTTAGTCCGCTGCACCACCGAGGCGGGTTGGACTGGATGACCTCCAAGGAGCCCTTCCAGCTCTTGTTACTGTTACCCTCCTCTTTTAACACGCCCTGCAAAACCGAAGCAATCTTGGGAGTGGGGGGGGGGGTTTAATGGCAAGGTGCGGATGCTAGCCATGGCAAAAAGCGGTCGAAGAGAGACCCTGGTTTTTGAAAGTTTAATAATATAATATAATATAATATAATATAATATAATATAATATAATATAATATAATATAATATAATATAATATAATATAATATAATTAATATAATATAATATAATATAATAATATAATATAAATAATATAATATAAATAATATATATAATTAATATAATATAATATAATATAATATAATATAAATATAATATAATATAATATAATATAATATAATAATTTAATTAATTTAATTTAATTTAATTTAATTTATTGCTTTGATTTCTATAGTAGCCCATCACAACCAAGGGGTTCTGGGGAGGGAAGGGGGGGGACCTTCTAAACGATCATCACCCGGAAAGGAAGGGGTTGCATCGGATCCCTCTTTCTCCTCCAATGGGAGCCCCCCCGGCCGTCTCTTTTCTACCTGATCCTCCGGTTCGTTTTGGCTTCGCTTCTTCCGCGGCCGGCGAGCAAACGCGCAGCAAAAGCTGCAACACAAGGAAATAGAACGCTCCTCCCCACCACCACCACCACCACTGAAGGGGCGCCTCCTCATTGGCTGGCAGCACGGACGCCTCGGCTCCGATTGGCCGGCGGGAGAATCAGATGGTTACACAGCGTTCCATTCCCCCGCCCCCTGCTTTGCGGGCGGATGGAAGCAGCAGCTGTTCGCTTGGCCGTGTGACGTCACGATCCGGGAGTGGACAAGCTTCTGACAAGACACGTGTCCGGCAGGTCGTGGGGAAAGGATCCCAAGGCAGGATCTTCTGCAATTTGGGGTGTTTTCTCCCCCCCCTCCACTCGCTTCTTTGGAACAGGATGATTTCAAGCCTATGAAACAAGCATTTTTCTGGGGTTTGCTGCTGGCCTAAAAACACACAGGAGGGGTTCAGGAGGGGGGGGGTACCAAACCTTGGTTTGTTCCAGGGTTGGTCTCTTCCATAAGTTAAAACTGCCGGGTTCGCCCAAGTGTGCTAAATCACAAACTAGGAATGGGGATTTTGCAGTATCCTTTCCCCAGGAGTGGGGTGGGAATGGGGATTTTGCAGTATCCTTCCCCTAGAGTGGGGTGGGAATGGGGATTTTGCAGTATCCTTCCCCTGGAATGGGGTGGGAATGGGGATTTTGCAGTATCCTTTCCCCTGGAGTGGGGTGGGAATGGGGATTTTGCAGTATCCTTCCCCTGGAGTGGGGTGGGAATGGGGATTTTGCAGTATCCTTCCCCTGGAGTGGGGTGGGAATGGGGATTTTGCAGTATCCTTCCCCTGGAATGGGGTGGGAATGGGGATTTTGCAATATCCCTTCCCCTGGAGTGGGGGAGGGAATGGGATTTTGCAGTATCCCTTCCCCTAGAGTGGGGTGGGAATGGGGATTTTGCAGTATCCTTCCCTAGAGTGGGGTGGGAATGGGGATTTTGCAGTATCCTTCCCCTGGAATGGGGTGGGAATGGGGATTTAGCAGTATCCTTTCCCCTGGAGTGGGGAGGGAATGGGGATTTAGCAGTATCCTTCCCCCTGGAGTGGGGTGGGAATGGGGATTTTGCACTATCCTTCCCCTGGAGTGGGGTGGGAATGGGGATTTAGCAGTATCCTTCCCCTGCCACACCCACCAAGCCACGCCCAGAGAACCGGTAGTAAAAAAAATGGATTTCACCACTGGATCAAATCTAAAAAAAGCCAAGAACAGGAATCAGTCAATATATTTTTTTTCCCTTGCCCCACTTCAACTCCCAGAATCCCCAGCCAGCCAGTCAGAGCTGGAAAGTGGGGGAAGAAGATGTCTAAAAAACTTACTATGGGTTGGTTTCCTGCTTGGAGCTGGAGCGGGGGGGTTGGACTAGAGGACCTCCCGAGGCCCCCTTCCAACAACTCTTTTTGTTATTCTTTGATGTTGCAACAATGGTTATTATTTCCATTGTCTTTTGTAATCAGGCTCTTGTTAGGCTTGGACTTGAAATAAAACCCTGTTATTGAAAAACTTGAAATCACAGCGCCGAATGAAAGAAAAACAAACATTCGTTTCTTTATTTACACTATTTAAAATGTTATTTATTGTTTCTTTTTCATAGCTATTTGTGAGTATACCCAATAAATATGTTTCCCGGTTTTAATGGTATTTTTGGTGCTATTATATTTAATTACCAAATATTCTGACTGCAGCGAGAATCATCTTTGCACAAAATTGGAAATCGGAAGAAATCCCAACACAAGATAAAATAATATCGAATAATACCGGGCTAGCTTGATCCCACTGTTTTTGGTTAAATTTAATTGATTTTAATTGGGTTGTTTTAAATTGCGGCCAAAATATTTAATTATTTTTAAACTGTTTTTAAATTTTGTATGTTCTGTTTTATTCTGGCTGTTCACCGCCCTGAGTCCTGCTGGAGAAGGGCGCTATACAAATTAAAACAAACAAATCAATAAATAAAAAATAATGGAACGTGCCGAGATGGACAAACTCACTAAAGAAATCCAAGAAAAGGAAGAATCTGAATACTATCTGGTTTGGCAAAAGTGGCATCAACGGCTGGAGAAAAGGAAACCCAAATAAAAAGAAGATGATCCTAAAAGATTTGAACCAAATCGTGTACCAATGAGACACAACAGAGTCACAACAAAACTTCAAAAAGTATCGTTATATAAGGCGAGAGGTGGGGATATATACTGAGAAATACAATTTATTTATTTATTTATTTATTTATTTTGTTTATTTATTACATTTCTATACCGCGTAGGACTCAAGGCGGTGTACAGTCAAAAAAAATATAGGTACACAAACATCATAAAATTGCTAATTCAAATTATTATTATAACATAGTTCGGCCCAATTAAAACAGAACCTCAAATTAGATAACATTTTCAAAAACAAAAAGTTAAAAATTTACCGATGTTATTTTCCTTAAGAAATAAGATATCGCCTTTAAATGTTGGATATGTTGTGTCCTGTTTTACTTGTATTGTATATGTTATATATACATATATGTTGTATATATACAACATATTGTATATGTTGTGTCCTGTTTTGTGTTCTTTTTTTTTTCTGGGTTGTGTGATGTTTTTAATTAAATCAAAAAAGTTTTTTTTTAAAAAAAAGTTTTTTTAAAAAAATGTTTGTTTATAAAACATTTAGAATAATAATAATAATAATAATAATAATAATAATAATAATAATAATAATAATAATAATAATAATAATCCAATACCTTAACAGTTCCTAGGTCCTTGGTTAGGACTCGAGCTGCTGAGCTATTAACCAGCCTCAAAGGCTGTGAATCTCACTAAAGATTAAATAATAATAATAATAATAATAATAATAATAATAATAATAATAATAATAATCCAATACCTTAACAGTTCCTAGGTCCTTGGTTAGGACTCGAGCTGCTGAGCTATTAACCAGCCTCAAAGGCTGTGAATCTCACTAAAGATTAACTAAATAATAATAATAATAATAATAATAATAATAATAATAATAATAGAGCATTTGATTTTATATTCGCCTCCTCCCCTCCCTTTAAGAGGTTTTTCTTTTTTTTCCCCTTCCTTCCCTCCCTTTTCCCCTCCCCTCCCCACTCTCACCGGGCGGGAGGGGAGGGGGAAGAGGAGGAGGAGGAGGAAGAGAAAGAAAAAAAAAAAAAGGGGGGGGGGGAGGAATATGTTGCAATCCGAGGAAATCACGTGACCTCCAGTCTTGTGACCGGGCTGACTTGCCGCCGCCCCGCAGGCACAAAGCAGTTGCATTGCTGCTGCTGCTGCTTCTTCTGCGGCGGGGTGGGAGAGAGACCCTTCCGAGCGGAGCTTCCTCCGGGGTTGCCCCCCCCCTCCCCTCCCTATCCCACCCCATGCCCCGCCGGCTTTGGGTCCAATTGCTGCCTGCAGTCGGGAGCCAGCAGCCTTCCCGGGTCTGAGCCTCGGTCCTACCTAAAAGAAAAAAAAAAAGAGAATTCCAGCTAGCTCCAGTCTTCTCTCAGGTCCCCCCCCCCGGCCCCCCCCGCCCCCCCGATCGCGATGGACAGCAAGCCGCTGCTGCAGGACCGGCCGCCGCCCTACAGCCCTTACGGGCCAGCGGGCAACTATGCAGCAGCCCAGACCTACGGGGCCATCCCGCCGGCGCCTCCCTACCCGTTCCCCGCGGGGACCGGACCAGGTGAGAATGAGAGGGGGAAGGTGGGAAGGAAGGAAGGGAAGAAGGAAGGGAAGGAAGGAAGGAAGGAAGGAAAGAAAGAAGGAAGGAAGGAAGGAAGGAAGGAAGGGTGGGTGGGTGGGTGGGTTGGTTTCCCGCCCCTTGGAAGAAGACAGGGTGCTGCCTCTGGGGAAAGAGTGCCTCTGAGCGCGGGCAGAGTGCCTCTCCGGGCGTGGGAAAGGAAAGGAAAGGATGGGAAGGGGGGGGGAAAGGAGGGAGGAGGAGGGTTACCTGGGGTTTCTTTCTCGCCTGGGGGGATGGGGGAGGGAGGGAGAGTGGCTTTCCGGGCTTGCCAGCTGGAGTAAGGGAAAGCCCAGTTCTTGAGAAAGGGGTGTGTATGGGGTGGGGTGGGGTTGAAGGCCTTCTTCTTCTTCTTCTTCTTCTTCTTCTTCTTCTTCTTCTTCTTCTTCTTCCTCTTCTTCTTCTCCCTCTCCCTCTCCTCCTCCTCCTCCTTCTATTTCTCCTCCTCCTCCTCCTCTTACTCCTCCTCCTCCTTCTCCTTCTTCTCCTACTCTTCCTTCTTCTCCTTCTCCTACTTCTTCTCTTTCTTCTTCTCCTTCCTCCTCCTCCTCCAAGTCTGGACTTGGCTTGCCCAACTTCAGCAGGCCCCGTGGGACTACAGCACCCATCAATCCCGATGGGGTTGGGGATTGCAGTCCGGACATAACTGGAAGGGGGGGGGCGCCCTGTTGGCGAAGAGGGGTGGAGAGGGGGCACGAAAGAAGGAAGGAAGGAAAAAAAATTGGAAGGAATGGATTTGTTAGAAAGGAAGGAAGGAATTTGTTAGAGAGGAAGAAAGGAAGGAAAAAATGGAAAGAGGGAAGGAAAGAAAGAAAAATTGGAAGGAAGGAAGGAAGTTGTTAGAGAGGAAGAAAGGAAGGGAAAAATGGAAGGAAGGAAAGAAAGAAAAATTGGGAGGAAGGAATTTGTTAAGAAGGGAGGAATTAGGTAGGAATTGGGAAGGAAGGAAGGAATTTGTTAGAGAGGAAGGGAAGGAAGGAAGGAAGGACCCAGGTGGAAAACAGCCAGCTGGGTTGGGAGAAGGACTTTTTTTTTTCCTCCCAAAAACTTCTACCAAAGTTTTTTTTTTCTTCCCCACCAAGGAACCCATTGTTATTGTTGTTTTTTAGCTTAAAAATTGGGGAACTTGAGTTCTGCTGACTGGGCATCTGTGATTCAGAGGCCTTTTGGATGTGCACATTTGAAAAGAAAAAAAAACCTTGGGTAACATGGTTGAATCTTGTGATGATTCATTTGAAACTTTCAAGGACTTAAAAAAAAATACTTTGTTTTGTAATCGCTTCCTTTGGTTCAAAACCAGCCTTTGAATTCCACTATCGCTTTCGAAAATGAGAAAAGTCCCTTTTTTTTTTTTTCCATTAGGAGCCATGATGGTGGTTCAGGAGGAGAAAGGGTTGGAATATTTTGTAGTTTGCTCGTGGTTTAGTGTAAGGTGTGAACTCGGCCAGTGTAACCTGCGAGGACTGGTGGATCATCTGTATTTTTTAAACCACCAGGCTGGCAAAGATACACGGAGCCTTAAAAGAGGGGGAAAAAAACCCTGGCCTTTCTATAAAATGCAGAAGTCATTAATAAATCATAATTATTACCAAAGAACGAATATGTAACCATGGTTATGGTTTGGAAACTTGTGCAAGCCAGCCAGGAGGGATTTACGGCGTGTTTCTCAAACTTGGCAACTTTTAAGATGGATCGACTTAACTCCCAGAATTCCCCAGCCAGGCATAATAAGGCATAATAATAATTCATATGAAAAGGGTTTACAAAACTCCTGATTTGGGGCTATTTGTTAACAACACTCCCACTACCATATCCGCTGCAGAAATGTTTGGTCCGTCTACCACGTTGGCTTTGCTTTAATCATGGTTTGTGGATTGAACCCCCAACGGACTGGGTTTGTGCCTCCCTTTAGAGCGGAAACCATGATTGGTACATCTGCAGAGGTGGTCTGTTTGTTGCATTTAAGCCCCACCAAGAAAATTGCATCAGGGCTTATAAAAGATAGATGGATGCAATGAGCTAATCGGTGTTTCTCAACCTTGGAAGCTTGAAGATGGGTGGACTTCAACTCCCAGAAGGCTAAAATGGAAGTCCTCCCCCGCTGCTGGCTAGGGGATTCTGGGAGTTGAAGTCCACCCATCTTCAAGCTTCCAAGGTTGAGAAACAGATGCATTGAAATTTGAGTGTATCTAAAAAGATTTGGCTTTTTCCTTGTCTAGTTTGGAAAAAGTACCAATAAAGGAGAATATTTGAAGCTCAGGGTTGAAATAAGGAGTCCTTGATGTTCTCTGAACTGGATTGTGACTAGCATTGATGATGATAGCTAGTTTGGGGAATGAAACGTCTGTGAGAAAGTAACCAAGCTCAGAGAGCAAAAAGGTTTTGGAAATAGCTGATCTATTCTTTTTCTCCCCGCTCTGGTCCTGCCAACGATCTGTTTGGAGAAGTTAATCATTAACCCCAGAACCATGTCATTAGGCCTTGACACAAAGAAGAGCAGAAGGACCAGGTTACTAAGGGGAGTAACAAAATGATTTATGGGGCATTGAGAAGAATTTCTCCCGGAGCTCCGTTTGAATGAATACCGTTGACACGTGGAGATGGAACCAACCAAGAACATCTCAGAAAAGGGGACTTCAGCTTTAAAAGGGTTGGAGATACTTTGAGGATTCTTTTTGTGGTGTTGAGTAGAGTTGTGGTCTTGGTTAAATTTGGGAGAAGCAATGCTTATAGCTACAACCGAAGAGGACTCGCTTAAGGTCCAAAAGGACTCAATTTTTTGAGGTTGGTGGGAGATCTCGCACATCAGTGGTGACTTTCTCCCAAGCTTTGAACCTCTGCTCTTCTCGATGGCTTTTTCTGGACTTCAGGTGTTCCTCACCTTCTTTGGATCAAGTCCACCTCTGAAATGAAGACTTGCCCATTGAATGACCAGAGGAGGAGATATCTCTAGTTCTAACAGGACAAGGAGCTCACTAGTTACCTAGTATAGATAGTCCTTGACTTACGACAATAGAGTCCAAAATTTATGTTGTTAAGTGAGACATTGCTTAAGTGAGCTCGGCCCCATTTATGACCTTTCTTGCCACCGTCGTTAAGCCGATCCCTGCAGTTGTTAAGTGAGTCATGCGTTTTTTTTGTTTTTTTTAAAATTTGATTTATATGCCGCCCTTCTCCGGAGACTCAGGGCGGCTTACAGTGTGTTAAGCAATAGCCTTCATCCTTTTGTATATTTATACAAAGTCAACTTATTGCCCCCACAAACTGGGTCCTCAATTTACCTACCTTAGAAAGGATGGAAGGCTGAGTCAACCTTGAGCCTTGGAGAGATTCGAACTTACAGTAATTGCAGGCAGCTGAATGTTAATAACAGGCTATTAGTCTGCTGCGCCACCAGGCTCTTAACAACCTAATCAGGTTGTTAAGTGAACATGGCTTCCCCATGGACTTCGCTTGTCAAAAAGTCTCAAAAGGGGATCATGTGACCCCGGGATACAACGACCGTCATAAATAGCGGTCAAGCACCTGCATTTTGATCATGAGACCACGGGGACGCTGCGGTGGTCCTAAGTGTGAAAGTCACTTTTTCCCAGTGCCGTTGTAACGGTCACTAAACGGAACTGTTTCTCTCTCCCATTTTGTTTCCTCCGTCCAGGATATACTGCTCCGGCTAGTTCACAGCCGCACAACTATCCCAATACTACGTATACAATAATCCAGCAGCCCCCTCCCACCACATCTGTCATAGTCGTGGGTGGCTGCCCAGCTTGCAGGTAAGTTTCCTTTTTTGGGGTGGGTGGGTGGGTGCAGCGGTGGGATTCAAATAATTTAACAATCGGCTGAGTGGGTGTGATCGGCTGAGTGGGTGTGGCCAGGGGTGTGTGACAGGCAGCACTCTGCCTCCTGCACCCCCCTGGGAGCATAATTTTGGGCCTAGGAGGCCTCCCTGCACTTACCTGGGAGCCAAAACAGGACAGGTGGGGATTCCTGGAAGTGGCCGGGTGGGAAGGCCCGAACCGGCTGAATCCCATCTGGGTGGGTGGGAGGAAACAAGACTGTTGGGATCAGAATTTCCGTGTCAGGATTCCAAGTAACACCCCCAACGAAACGTCCTCTCCAAGTCTGGACTTGCCTTGGCCGACTTCAGCAGTCCGCGGGACTGCAGCACCCATCAATCCCGACAGGGTTGGGGACATACCTGAGGACACACATATAAACCTCTAAGTGGCCTCAATGACCCTCTAAAAAGGATGCAAATGACCAGCTGTCTCAGTGGTGAAATCCTCCATGGTTTGGTGCCTGCACATGCCCGGTGCACGCCAAATGCACGCCAAATGCACCTGCACAGTCCACCAAACACATGCACATGCATGAATGCGCAATGCACGCCAAATGCACACTTCACGCAGAAAAAGGATGCTTAAGGTAAGTAGAACAGCGACGGGGGGGGGGGGAAACAGCTGTGCCGCGCTATTTAGATTCGCCAGAAAGCAGGATTTCCTGCTTTCTAGCGAATATAAATCATGCGGCACAGCTGATCTTTGGAAATACCGGTTGGGATGAACCAGTAGCTTTTGTCACTGCCGGTTCGCCTGAACCGGTGTGAACCGGAAGGATTTCACTGCTGCTTTGATTATAGATTTCCTGCTTTCTAGCGAATATAAATCGTGTGGCACAGCTGATCGTTGGAAATACCAGTTCAGACCAACTGGTAGCTTTTATCACTGCCGGTTCGCCTGATCCGGTGTGAACCGGAAGGATTTCACTGCTGCTTTGATTATAGATTTCCTGCTTTCTAGCGAATATAAATCGTGTGGCACAGCTGATCGTTGGAAATACCAGTTCAGACCAACCGGTAGCTTTTATCACTACTGGTTCGCACGAACCGGTGCGAGCCGGTAGGATTTCACCACTGAGCTGTCTGCAAGGAATATAAATCCTTCCATTCCCCACCATCCAAGTCAGAGCTGAAGAAGCTTCTTGGAGGAGAAGCGAAACGTCTTCAAAAGAAAAAACAAAACAAAAGGAAGTCCAAGTTGCCTCTTGGTCCTTTGGGACAACCTTGACCTGGATGACGGAAAATCTCTACAGACGTTGGGATTTCTCGGTTTTCCAAAATAACAGTTGGTTCAGAGATTTACATGTGTGTCTCTATGGTGGTTTCCGGGATGTTTTCTACTTCCTGGACTGGTTTGACAGGCCTGGGAGTCTCCAGATTTCCCCCCTCCAAGGAATTAACCAGGCCTGATCCTGTTTAACATCCCAGCTGGGACCAAACATCCTGTTTTATCGTGCTCTGTATTTCCTTTTATGCTCATTTCTTTCCGTGGTGTGCTATTTTTTTCCTTTTTAGTAAAATCGCCGAGTCAAAAAACAAACTCAGTTAAATAAACCATCCTCGGTGCGCGACGAATTAGTTAAAATCCCAAAAGAAGGGATTTTTTTTTTGCAGATTTGAAGTGACTGTGACACTCCGAACAGGGCAAGCCCAGCTTTTAAACGGGAATGTAAACATTCTCCTATTTTTAGACGGCCTCGGGGATCGGCAACTGTAAACCACGGGAAAGTCACTTAGGTTATTCCCCCCCCTCCCCTCCCCTCCCCGGCTAATTCTTACTGTATTAGCTAAGATTAGCCTTTCTCGAATTGGAAAGTTTTATGGCGCTCTGCCTTCTCGCCGAAGCTGTGATCTTCGCCGAGAAAATTTCTGCAACGTTTAAAACTGCAGAGAGATTAACGGCTAGTTCTCCAGAATCTCCGTGGCTAAACAAAGGCCGTTTTTAAGTCACTTGCACCCAATTTTGGGACCTCTTTTGCCATGGTCGCTAAGCAAATCAGTCTTTAAGTGAATCCAGCTTTGCCTGCTGACTGCTTGTTAGAACCATCCCTCCCCCCCTCCCCCCACCGGGAAGGTCACAGAAGGTAAATCCAAGATTCCGGGACATATGCAACCGTCGTAAATGTGTACTGGCTGCCAAGAGTCTGAATTTTGATCCCGCGATGGCAGATCTTCCCAGCTAGCTTCCAACGAGCAAAGATGATATGGGGGGGAAGCCAGATTCGCTTAAGGACCGCAGCCGTACTCACTTAACGACTTGCAGGGATTCGCTTAACAGCTGTGGCAGAAAAGTTGTAAAATGGGGCAAGGCTCACTTCACTGCCTTGCTTAGCGACGAGACATTTTGGGCTCCGTTGTGGTCATAAATCAAGGGAGGAGTCTTGTGCATTGGAATTCTGGGAGTTGAAGTCTGTGCATCTCAAAATGGCCGACGCTGAGGGAAAACCACCCTACAGAATGTGTGTGTGTGTGTGTATTGTTAACACTCTGGGGCGATAGTACAGGTGGTCCTCGACTTACGACCGCAATCGAGCCCAGCATTTCAGTTGCTCAGCGAGGCCGTTCAGTTTTGCCCTACTTTATGACTTCCATTGTCCCAGTTGTTAAGTGAATCACCGCAGTGGATAAGTTAGTAACTTCGGATGTTAAGTGAATCTTTCTTCCCCCCACACCCCCCACATGGACTTTGCTTGTCAGAAAGTCGCAAAAGGGGATTATGTGACCCCGGGGTGGGGAACACAGCGACGGTCGTAACTATGAGCCTGTGGTCAAGAATTTGAATATAAACCATGGGGAGGCTGCAAAAGGTTGCAGGTGTGAAAAACTGTCCCAAACCCGTTTTCAGTGCCATTGTTAACTTTGAACGGCCACTAAAAATGGAACTGTCGTAAGTCGAGGACCACCTGTTATGTGTGCAACACCTGGGTTTCATCGCAGTGCAGTAACTCCTGTTGTGTGGTTTCCTTTCGCAGAGTTGGCGTGCTGGAAGATACCTTTACTTGTCTCGGCATCCTGTGCGCCATCTTTTTTTTCCCCGTCGGGATCATCTTTTGCCTCGCTTTGAGACAACGAACGTGTCCTAACTGTGGGGCGACATTTGGTTAAAGGGATCGGCGCCCCATTCCCGCCCCCCACCCCCCACCCCAAGGCTTTGAGGAGCTGTACCCCATTTTTTCTAATGTAAATGTCATGTACAATCAAGTTTATGCATCGGAGCTGATTTTGTAAAGAAATAATAATTACTACCAAGCATCGGCCGCCTTTTTCTCTTTCTCGTGACGTGTGAAACTGATATTCAGGCACATCTGTTACGAAGCACCCCCCCCTCCCCCATCTTGGTTTTCGTGTTTGAAATGCACCTTTTTTTGGGGGTGGGGAAGTGGGTGGGGACATTTCAATAAAAGCACTTTTTCAAACTTCACAAGGAGGCCCAGCCTTTCCACCCTCTTTACTTCATCCGGCTGTGAATTATTGTCATTCCCAGTCCAAAAGGCTTCTCAAACAGTCTTTCAGGGGAATGTTTACAAACACCCACCTTATCTCCCTTGGAATGCTGCCAGAGAACTAATTGCCACACGCAGGGCAAGGCCAAACTTAGCACAGAGTCAAAATGGAACTTTTCCAGAGCGTTTACCGACCAGATGAACTAAATTGCTTCCTGCAAAAGCTCACATCTATTCGGTCCTCCTTTATGTCTTATGGGAGGGGCCAATCATCTCCAAGCCTTACTCCCAAGTCGACCCTGTTTTCTTAATTGCTACTGTCTTCTGGCAGCTCTGCGCATGCACACATTAGGAACAGGCTCACGCTGTTCTGCCTCGCTGATGTCAGACTCCGGAGTTCGCGCATAGCTCCCAGATGGTCCTGGCACCGTCTCTGCCTCTGACGCAGAGCCCTCGTCCGAGCCTTCCCCAGACTCCAGGACTGGCCCACGTTCCTCCCCAACCTCCTCACTGTCCAACTCTGCTACCAGCTCTGCTGGTCACAACAACCTCCTCTGAATTAAAGAGTAAAATCTCTTGTGATAGAAGCATTAATGTTCAGGGGTGATGGCGGCATAGATTGTGGGTCAGCCTTGAACCCATAGAGAGTGGAATTAAAAAAAAAAAAAGCCTGATCTGAATTGTTTACCAAAAGTTCATGCTTCTTTTGACAATTTATAGACTAAACATCAGTCGTTCTTTTCTCCAACCAGGCTATAATTCAAATGCTCTTTCCAGCAGTTTCAAGAAATACGGGGTGAATATGACAAGTTTATACAATAAAAAAAGCCAGGCTTGGTATCTGGATAACCACCAGGCTAGAAACTGGGAGATGGTGAGTTCTAGTCCCACCTTAGGTATGAAAGCCAGCAGGATGACTGGGCCAATCACCAGGAGACGTTGAGTTCTAGTCCCACCAGTGGTGGGTTCCAACCGGTGTTACCACCTGTTCTCTTTGCGCACGTGCTTTGCGAGCGATTGTCACAAACTTGCGTTCCGCGCAAGCGCATTAGGTTTCTGCCCACCTGAGGTGCGGCAATCCACTCTGCCGTATCTATCAGCTGGGCTATAAAACGAGAAATAAAGGTAAGTTTAACGTGGGGGCAGGTGGGAGGGCCCAGCTCCCAGTCAAAGAGGACCGGTTGAGTGACGTCACATCATCATCGCTACCGGCTCGCCCGAACCGGGAGCAACCCACCACTGAGTCCCACACCTTAGGTATGAAAGCCAGCAGGGTGACTGGGCCAGTCACCAGGAGGCAGTGAGTTCTAGTCCCATCTTTGGCATTGGAAACCAGTTGGGTAATTTTGGGCCAATCACCAGGAGGCAGTGAGTTCTAGTCCCATCTTTGGCATGGAAACCAGTTGGGTAACTTTGGGCCAGTCACCAGGAGGCAGTGAGTTCTAGTCCCATCTTTGGCATGGAAACCAGTTGGGTGACTTTGGGTCAATCACCAGGAGGCAGTGAGTTCTAGTCCCATCTTTGGCATGGAAACCAGTTGGGTGACTTTGGGCCAGTCACCAGGAGGCAGTGAGTTCTAGTCCCATCTTTGGCATGGAAACCAGTTGGGTAATTTTGGGCCAGTCACCAGGAGGCAGTGAGTTCTAGTCCCATCTTTGGCATGGAAACCAGTTGGGTAACTTTGGGCCAGTCACCAGGAGGCAGTGAGTTCTAGTCCCATCTTCAGCATGAAGGCCAGTTGGGTGACTTCGGGCCAATCACCAGGAGGCAGTGAGTTCTAGTCCCATCTTTGGCATGGAAACCAGTTGGGTAACTTTGGGCCAGTCACCAGGAGGCAGTGAGTTCTAGTCCCATCTTTGGCATGGAAACCAGTTGGGTAACTTTGGGCCAGTCACCAGGAGGCAGTGAGTTCTAGTCCCATCTTCAGCATGAAGGCCAGTTGGGTGACTTCGGCCAATCACCAGGAGACGGTGAGTTCTAGTTCCAACTTAGCCACAAAGCCAGCTGGGTGACCTTGGGCCAGTAACTTTCTCAGCCCTAGGAAGGCGGCAACAACACATCACTTCTGAAAAACTTTGCCAAATAAAGGGAAGGGACTTGAAAATGACTCTGAAAAGGAGACCCAATTGAACGGGGGGGAAAAAAACCCCTTTTAACGTTTCCAATGATCCACGATCAAAAAGGCTGGTTTCAGACAATCTTGTTAAACAGCATCTTACAAAGGAGAATATTTGTAGCTCAGGGTTGAAATGAGTTTTTGGGTGCTCTCTGAGCTTGGTAGTTTTCTTGGAAACTGACAAATTTCATAACCCATCAGTGTTGGCACGGATGATGTTACTAATTTGGGTAATGAAACATCTGCAAGAGAATAACCAAGCACCAGGGATCCGTCCAGGGGTGAAATGCTACCGGTTCGGACGAATCTAATGATAAAAGCTACCGGATCAGAACTGGTATTTCCGACAATTGGCTGTGCTGCACGATTTATAATCTACATCGCGCGGCACAGCTGTTTCCTCCCCCCCCTTGCTGTTCTACTTGTTAAGCCTCCTTTTTCTGCACAAAGTGTGTGTTTGGCGCGCACTATGCACGCGCAGTGTGCATTTGGTGTGCACTGCGCAATCCACAGAGCATTTCACCACTGGATCCGTCAATTAAAACGCGACCGAAAGGAAGAGCGAAGAATAGATTCAGCTTTTACATGACTGCAAACCAATGAATGCCCCATTGTACTGATCGGAGTATTTATTATTACTGTATCCCTAAAACATCTTATCTTACACAATGAAAATAATATTTGGCATGATCGTCTGTTGGGTCATCCTTAAACGGCTTGCCTGTTTAGAAAGCAGCTACTCTCGTATCCAGCTCTCTACGTAAATTGTACAAGCAAAAACTAAACGGAAGTGATCCATAGGATTAAACCACACCATTGGCACAAGAGGTCTAAGCAGCGATGCTGGCAACAGCAGACTAAAGGATCAGTTCTGCTGGTTTTTTCCCTATTTGGCCTATTTCTGCTTTCCTAAATATAACTTCTCTCTTCCCTAAACAAGGCACGCTTCTAAAAATCAAAGCAAATCTGCAGGTGTCTTCAGCCATCGATAATTCGCAGAAACCAGAAGCCAAAAAAAAAAAAGAAAAGAAAAGAAAAGAAAAAAAAAAAAAAGAAAGAAAGAAAAAAGCTCATTTTTAAAAAGTCAGAAACTTTGGCAATTTGCAGCTGCTGTACACATTAATTACATTTAAATAAAGGTTTAAAAACAACTTCAGACAGACAGGTATTTGGAAATCATATTGCCGAAGACAGTATGGCCACCATCAACCAGGGAGAGCCTCCAGGTGCCGAGCGGGCAGCGAATTCGGAAACCATCCCAAAGCAACACCTGAAGGGACCGCAGGCTGGGGCAGGCTGTGCAATGTTGACAAGGTAGTAGGGTTTAAAAAAAAAATATCGTTTTTTTCCCCCCGATGCTGCTCATCGAAGGATTGGCGCCGATCTGTCGTTTGTGACTGTCGGTCGGAGTTTGACGGTTGCAAAGGGATTTTCGCCACTGTAATAAAGCAGACACACAAATTGAAGCACAACTACCGTGTTTCCCTGAAAATAAGACCCTGTCTTATACTATTTTTGAACCCTGAAATAAGCGCTTGGCCTTATTTTCGGGGAGGTCTTATTATTTTTGGGGCGCGTGGAGCACAACGGGGGTCCTCTTGCTGTCTTACCTGATTTCCAGCTCTGTCTCCCTAACCCTAACCAGAGGAAATGGCGGGGACTGGCTGCACGTGCTGTTAAATATTTTCGAGGAGGGCTTATTTTCGGGGATGGCTTATTTTAGGGCATGCGCTCAAAAGCCCAATTGAGCTTCTTATCAGGGGATGTCTTATTTTTGGCGAAACAGGGTAGAAGGCTTGTGATGATAAGCTACGTTAATTTTTACAAAGACGATTCCAATCCATTTCCAGGAATGTGATTAAGGCCATCTGAACGGCTCCCCAGGATGACCTCATGGAAAGATCAACCAAGGTGTCGAGCCCGGCGTGCCCGACATACAACCGGGACGGGAAGGCAGATCGGAAAGAGTAACACATCCCCAACAAAACTACAACGTAGAGGGGGCACGGGAAATAAGCGGCACGGGAAATGGTGGAGGAGCGTCGTTAAGAGGGATTGCATTTAGGGCGCGGAGGAACCCGGAATGAGAAAACCGGAAATGTCGCTGCAACTCATCCCAACACTGCTGAGCCACACGTTCATCAAGAGAGGGGTGGGGCACTAGGATATAAAGCGCTGCGAGGCGGATGCTCGTAGCGCCAACTTTGAAAGTTTGTAGCTTGGCGTTGTTCCATAACTGATGAAAAGCATTAAACCAGGATTCACTCTCCAGTTGATGTGTCCAGCTGTGTTTTATTGCTGTCTCCGTGCTGTGCGGGACAAGGAGCTGAGACAAGGCTGGGTTGTTTTTTTATTTTTTTTAGTTTCTTTGCATGTTTTCAATGATATTGCACGATTCCAACTTACCTTAGGAAAGGTGGCTTCATAATGCCGTTCATGTTAGGTTTCTGAGGAAGGAAGAAAAACTCATAATTGCTGAGTATGGAAGAAAAGGAAGGCCATTCAAACAAAAGGAATAAGCAGGAAAGGGACTTCAAAGGTCCGATTAAGCATGTTGGGGAACCTGGAAATGTGTGGACTTCCAACTCCCAGAATTTTCCAGCCAAGAAATTGGGGCACCTGGAGATGTCGACTTCAACTCCAAGAACTCCCCAACCAGAAAGTTGGGGAGCCCGAAGACGTACGGACTTCAACTCCCAGAATTCCCTAGCCAGCACGTCGGGGAGCCTGAAGACGTGTGGACTTCAGCTCCCAGAACTCCCCAGCCAGCACGTCGGGGAGCCTGAAGACGTGTGGACTTCAGCTCCCAGAATTCATGGCTGGTTGGGGAATTCTGGGAGTTGAAGCCCACAGATTTTTGAAGTTCCCAAGGTTGGAAAACCTTGACTGAAAACAGTCACGCTCTCAACCACTCAATTTTCCAGGCCTCTCCTGATTGTAATCCCTGCACTTGGTCCTTCTACGCTAATGACTTTGTAGTGTTACTTTATTTTGGTCTATCAATGCAGTATTTTATTTTTTTTAAATTTGTAGTTTAGACCGGTGGTGAAATTCAATTTTTTTTACTGCCGGTTCTGTGGGCGTGGCTTGGTGGGCATGGTGTGGCTTGGTGGGCGTGGCAGGGGAAGGATATTGCAAAATCTCCATTCCCACCCCACTCGGGGCCCAGCCAGAGGTGGTATTTGCCAGTTCTCCAAACTACTCAAAATTTCCGCTACCGGTTTTTCAGAACCTGTCAGAACCTGCTGGATTTCATCCCTGTTTGAAATCCAGCAGGATTTCAGACTGATTCCAATTTAGACTGATTATTAGTTTTAGGACCAAAAAAAGCAATAAGCCAGGATTGCAGGACAATCCTTTGTCATCATTTCCTACTTTAAAGAGAGGCACCTCCTGCATAATTAATCCTTGTTTTGAATAAGGAGGGTGTGATTCAGGGAATGGCTCAAAGAGAGTCAATTTCCTGTTGCTAATTTCACATATTCCACTTTCACCTAACGCCTAAACTGCAATGGCCCCTCGAGACCAGAAGGTGGCACTCCAGCTTTCCCATAAAACCTAAGCATTATAGCTGAAGTTTTCCCTTTAATCCCTATATTTCAGACCGAAGCGATAATAAATTAAACTCTTATGAATCAAGGCCTAAAATGCTTGTAAAGTACCTTTCACTGCAAAACCACCTCATTATTTGAAAAAGGGGCAAAAACTGCTAAAAGAATCCAGGTGTTTACAAATGCCATTATTTACTGCCTGCTTTCCAGCCTGATTTCCAGCAGTTTCCCTGGCTGGTTGATTTGACGTAACTCTTGAACAAACAGGAATTACAATATCTGAATTTACGAGCCTTCTCTCGGCCTCTGATAGGTCTGTTTTGTTCAAAACCCTAAAACATCATTTTAAACGTTTAAAACTGCATCTGAACCAAATGCCCATCCTTTGCTGCGTGCAACACAAAAGTCTGAAGCAACTTTTTAGCTCTCCACTGTGACGTCTGATTGTGCTAACACTGGGCTGGTATAATTGACACTGCGATGTCGAGCTTGTGAAATGCAACTGAAACAAGGAATGGATTTCTCCACCCCCCCCTCCCTAATTACAAGTACTCCTCAGCTTACAACCACACTTGAGCCCAGAATTTACGTCGTTAAGTGAGAAATTTGTTAAGTGAGTTGTGCCCCGTTTTATGACTTTTTGTTGTTGCATTTGTTAAACTGGAATTCATCATCATCATTTAATGGCCCCATAATCCCTTGCGGGGTGGAGTCTGGGCCGCTAAATGGAACTGGCAGAGTGTTTACTGGCCGGATGCCCTTCCTGTCGCCAATGAGGAGCTTTGTTCAGCAGATATATTCTCATTGTGCTCAGAGAGAGAAATATCTGCCTCAAACTGAATTGCAGTTGTTAAAATTGGGAATATTGGTTGTTAAATAAATCTGGCTTCCCCATGGACTTTGCTTGTCAGTAGGTCACAAAAGGAAATCGCATGATCCCGGGACACTGCAACGGTCATAAATGTGAGTCAGTTGCCAAGCATCTGAATGTAAATCACATGACCCTGGGGATGCTGGAACGGTCATAAGTGTGAAAAGCGGTCCCAAGTCACTTTTTTCCGTGCCGTCGTAACTTCGAACGGCCACTAAACAAACTGTCGTAAGTCAAGGACTCTCTGTAATTTGCTAAAATTTAAAAGAATGCTATAACTAGCAAGTTCAAAAAGTTAAGTTCAGCCTGGCATTAGTCAGATAGCTAGATAAAACCCGTCAACAAAAGTATTTTCAAAAGCTGATTTTTTTTTTTTACATTTGACAAAACTGGTCGGTCTACTTACAGGAGGTACGCTTTCTCCTTGAGCTGCTGTCGTTTTAGAAGTTTCAAGTTTTGGTCCTGGAGCTGGTTTGGTTGGCCCAGTAATCACGTAATCTGGTGGAGGGAGGATGGGGTTTTCTCTGTTTGTCAAGTTGACCGAGCTGACACTTCGGATGGGAGCAGGGCTAAAGAAAAGAAAGCCACTGTTAATAACACAAGCGCTTAGACTTATATACCACTTTATAGTGCTTTACAGCCCTCTCTAAGCTGTTTACAGAAGGTTCTGATTTAGGCTTCCTTAGAAATTAAACAGCACAAACTTAGTCCCGGCAAACCTCTTTAATTCATATGGCTGTAAGTTACTTTCATTTATAGTCAGCAGTCTTTCAGAGGAAGGTTATCAACACTCACCTTATCTCCCGTGGAAGAGCTAATTTCCAGACGCAGAGCAAGGCCAAACTTGGCACAGAGTCACAAACAGAATTTTCAACTCTTGAATCGGCCAAATGAACTAATTGCTTCCTGCAAAAGCTCACGTCCCATTCATTTCTCTTTTATGTCTTATGGGAGGGGACAATCATCTCCAAGCCTTACTCCCAAGTCGACCCTGTTTCCTTCATTGTTCCTGTCTCCTGGCAGCTCTGCGTATGCGCACACTGGGAACAGGCTGACGCTGTTCTTTTGCCTCGCTGATGTCAGACTCCGGAGACTCCGGGGACAGGAAAGAACTACCAGATGGCCTTGGCCCACTCTCTGCCTCCGACTCCGAGCCATTGTCCGAGCCTTCCTCAGACTCCAGGACTGGCCCACGTTCCTCCCCAACCTCCTCACTGCTCTGCTGGCTGCTGGCGGGCCACAACACAGAGTCAGCCTATGGCCCCCAACAATCTGGCTCCTCATTTTACCAACCTCGGAAGGATGGAAGGAAGGCTGAGTCAACCTGGAGCCAGTCAGGGTCGAACTGCTGGCAATCGGCAGAGTCAGCCTGCCATACTGCATTCTAACCACTCCACAGTCCATAGCCCAACAAGAAGCAACAGATCCTTCAGTTCAATTCTTAAGAGCTTTTATGTCAACCCAACATTACCTGGGCACCGGAATGCGTATGGTCTCTTCTGACGGACCTTCGAAGGGCTTCGTGTAAGAGGATGGGAACCAGCCTTTCCTAGAAGGCAATATTGTAATAATTTACCGATTTTGTAGAAACCCTTAAGATGGGCTGTATACAATAAGAGAAGACATTTGTAGGGGTCCTTGGTGCGCTCTGAACTTGGTCCTCCTGCTCCTCCTCCTCCCAATCTCCACCTCACATTGTTTTTATAATATGGGTAGTCCCCGGATTACGAATGGTCATTCAGCGACCATTCAAAGTTACAATGAAGAGACTTATGAGCAGTGATGGGATTCAGACGGTTTGCACCGATTCAAGCGAACCGGTTGTTAAATCTTCCCTGCTATCAAAGTGGATCCTGGGCGCCGCACTGCAATGGGGAAACGGGCAACAGGGCGGCCAGCATGAGTGAAGAAGGAGGCCGCTTTCCCTCTTTCCCTGCTCCTCCTCCTTCCCTCGTGCCAGCCGCTCCATTTCCTGTTTCTCCGTTGCAGCACAGCGGCCAGGATCCACTTTGATAGCGGGGGGGGGGGGGGAGAGGATAATTTAACAACCGGTTCACCCAGGTTGGCTGTCGCGGGAGGCTCGTCCCGCATGTGCGGCGGAGTTGGAGGACAGGGATGGGCCACGCCTCCCACAACGGCCAACCTGACTCTAACCGGTTGTTAAATTATTTGAATTCCCACCACTGTGGAAATTATGAGTGGATAGGATTTGCTGAGAAGTGGTTTGGGGTAATGAATGAAAAAGTTTGGGAAGCCGTGACGTACACTTTGGTGACATCGTGTTCTCCGTACAGCCAGCCGTCCCTTTCCTCTGATACGAGCAGCGTGATAAGGTCGCCCTGGGCGAAACTGAGGAGTGTCTCGTTATTTCCAGCGGTGTGCGGGAAGATGGTCTTCACTTTCTGACGCTTTATTATGTTCAGTCCAGTGGCCATGGAGGTAGATCGCGATAAACTGGAATCATCTGCATGACGTCGCGAGAAAGGCAAACAGACAGAAAGAGACAGGTATAATAATAATAAATCATTAATCATAGAATTGCACAGCAGAGAGCATCAATCTAACAATGTGCTCCTCCAAGCTTAGTGGCCACAAATCAGAGCTCAAGATGGTCAGACTAGCTTGTGTCTGGATTTTGGACCCTTTGGAGAGGGCTCACTCCAAGGCGCTGCTTGTCAATGCAGTCCATGCTCTTCTGGGTGAAAGTCTAGTTTAAATTTCACACTTCTTCCCAAAATCTAATTTCCTTCCTTCCTTCCTTCCTTCCTTCCTTCCTTCCTTCCTTCCTTCCTTCCTTCCTTCCTTCCTTCCTTCCTTCCTTTCCTTCCTTCCTTCCTGTTTCGATATCGTCTCAAATAAAATAAATTGCATTTCCAAACAGATAGTCTTTGAAGAAATCTTTCATTTTATTAAGCACGACAATCTGCCCCCGATCATGGCGTAGCCAACTCTGACTTCTTGACCCCAAACCCTCCCTTTCCGTTCCCCAAATCTCTGCGTCTCATTGGCCTTCTTCCAATCACTCTCCCCATATCTACTACCTAAGCTCCCAGGAATGTCCCCCTCCCTCTCATCTCCTAGGGGATATTATCTTCAAGGAAAATAAGTGAAATGTCAAGCGTCCTCTTGCCAGCTTCCCCCTCTTCTCCTTCTTATGTCAGCACTAGAGTAAATGCAGGTTGAAGTGCTGACACCTTCCTTCCTTCCTTCCTTCCTTCCTTCCTTCCTTCCTTCCTTCCTCTTTCTTTCTTTCTTTCTTTCTTTTTCTTTCTTTCTTTCCTTCCTTCCTTCCTTCCTTCACCCACCCACCCACCCACCCATCTCTCTCTCTGAAATATATAGGTAGTCCTTGACTGAGCCCAAAATTTCCATTGCTAAGTGAGACAGTTGTTAAGTGAGTTTCCCCCCACTTTATCACCATTCTTGTCACAGTTGTTAAGTGAATCTGGCTCCCCTATTGACTTTGCTTACCAGAAGCTCACAAAAAAGGGGATCACGTCCCCCTGAGTCATCGCAACCATCATAAATATGAGTCAGTGGCCAAATGCCTGAATTTTAATCACGTCTGAGCTCAGAGATGCTTCAACGGTTGTAGGTGTGAAAAACGATCATCGATCGTTTGTAACTTCGAACGGTCACTAAATGAATGGTTGTAAATCAAGGATTACCTGTACGCAAAATTACCACCTTGGTAGACTGATAGGTGCTATACTTACCTGCTGCATTGGTTAATTTCTCGGAAGAGGTCTTGGGTGCGACGGGTGGGTTGTTGAACATATCAACTAAAGGGCTGGTATAAGCTCTCCCCGGGGGGGCTGGGGGCACCTTGGGAGAATGCCGTCGGAGGGAATCGTAATTGTTTCCAACCTGCTGAACGAAAGTTGAAGCGTCAACATTGTGAAACAACAGCACAAAGGCATGAGTAAATATTAGCGATTTTATTGGCTTCCTCCAAGCTGAATTCCTTCCTTGGAAAGGTTTTTTTCCCCCTTAATTAGACTCACTCGCAGGTTTTCCAGCTTGATTCTATCCCAGAATATATGGAAGCTCAGCACGGGAATGAATCGCAAAACTAGATTGTTATTTGTAAGGTAAAAATCAGAGGCGCTAGTGCAATTTGAGACATTCATAAAGTAACAGGTGTGTTTCCGTGTGGAATTTAAGATGCCAGAGTAGAAACTAGGAGATGGTGAGTTCTAGTCCCGCTTTAGGCATGAAAGCCAGCTGGGTGACTTTGGGCCAATCACAGGAGACTGTGAGTTCTAGTCCCGCCTTAGCCATGAAAGTCAACTGGGTGACTTTAAGCCAATCACAGGAGACTGTGAGTTCTAGTCCCGCCTTAGCCATGAAAGTCAACTGGGTGACTTTAAGCCAATCACCAGGAGACTGTGAGTTCTAGTCCCGCCTTAGCCATGAAAGTCAACTGGGTGACTTTGGGCCAATTACCAGGAGACTGTGAGTTCTAGTCCCGCCTTAGCCATGAAAGTCAACTGGGTGACTTTAAGCCAATCACCAGGAGACGGTGAGTTCTAGTCCCGCCTTAGCCATGAAAGTCAACTGGGTGACTTTGGGCCAATCACCAGGAGATGGTGAGTTCTAGTCCCGCCTTAGCCATGAAAGTCAACTGGGTGACTTTAAGCCAATCACCAGGAGACGGTGCGTTCTAGTCCCGCCTTAGCCATGAAAGTCAACTGGGTGACTTTAAGCCAATCACCAGGAGACGGTGAGTTCTAGTCCCGCCTTAGCCATGAAAGTCAACTGGGTGACTTTAAGCCAATCACCAGGAGATGGTGAGTTCTAGTCCCGCCTTAGCCATGAAAGTCAACTGGGTGACTTTGGGCCAATCACCAGGAGATGGTGAGTTCTAGTCCCGCCTTAGCCATGAAAGCCATCAGGGTGAGCTTGGACAGTCCCTCTCTCTCAGCCCAACCCACCTCACAGGGCTGTTGTGGAGGAAGAAGATGTATTCTGTATATTTAGCGCATGTAAAGTAATAAAGGTGGGGGATAAAATTCTAATAAATAAATAATAATAATCAATGTGTTTATTAAATAAATAAACGCTTGCATTGTACACTTGGAGCCATCAAATATTGATTCTTCTGCCCATGTCCCTCTCATCCCTACTCGGCTCCTAAGGTGAAATGGAAGCGGAGGAGAGGTTCTCACCAGGTTATTCCTCTCGATCATTGGGGAAGGCAGGGGAGTCCCCGATATCGAAACGGATCCTGGGGTCCTGATCTCTTCGATCATATTCATGACGTTCTCCGGAACTTTGGTGGCATCGCCGCAGGTTTCCAACCACGCCGGCAACTTGGTGGTAAGTATCTCTGAGCACTGCGGAGAAGACGAGGAATATATATATAGATTTCATAAATAAGAGAACGAGAAAACGAAGATGCTTCTCCGAGCAAATCTAGGAATTGACTATGGTTTGGATTACAGTTTTGTTTCACGGAGGCAAATGTTTGGACAGGCCTGTATTAGATGTATACTTGGAACACGGCATCCAGTTTTGGTTATCACACTGCAAAAAAAGATGTTGAGACTTTGGGAAAAAGTGCAGAGAAGATGTTAAAAGGCCTGGAGACAAAACGTTTGAAGAACAGTTGCAGGATTTGGGTTTGGATAGTGTAGAGAAAAGAAGGACCAGGGGAGATACGATAGCAGTCTTCCAGTATTTGAGGGGCTGCCACAAAGAGGAGGTGGGGGGCAGCCTATTCTCCAAAACCAGAAAGGCAGGACAAGAAGCAACGGATGGAAACTAATCGAGGAGAGAAGCAACCTGGAATTAAGGAGAAACTTCCTAACAGTGAGGACAATTAACCAGTGGAAGAACTTGCCTTTAGAAGTTGTGGGTGCTTCATCACTGGAGGTTTTTAAGAAGAGACTGGACAGAGAATGGTGTGGAATGGTATAGGGTCTCCTGCTTGAGAAGCGGGTTGGGCTAGAAGATCTCCAAAGTCCCTTCCAGCTCTATTCTGATTGATAAAAGGGCCTTCTCCCACACTCACCTCCACGTGGTAATGGAACAGGCGTTGAGCAAAACTGCAGTGCTTGTCAACCAGGAAGCAAAACCTTTTCTTCTCTTCAAGTAAGGCCTCTCGGCAACCCTCCGCAATAAATCTTTGGATATCGCTCTGTCGGGAGCTGACGGTTTCCAAATACTACATAAAGCATGAAAAGACCAGATTCAGTCAATCAGACACACACACACAAAACTTGTGCTATTTGTTTAAGATATTACCAGTCCATTTTCTAGGAAATCCAGATAGATAGATAGATAGATAGATAGATAGATAGATAGATAGATAGATAGATAGATAGATAGATATGGATGGTCGGATGGATGGTAGGTAGGTAGCAGACAGACAGATAGTAGGTAGGTAGGTAGATGGTAGATAGATAGATAGATATGGATGGATGGACGGTAGGTAGGTAGCAGACAGACATATAGTAGGTAGGTAGGTAGATGGTAGATAGATAGATAGATAGATAGATAGATAGATAGATAGATAGATAGATAGATAGATAAAGTGTTTTTCTATCGAGACACCTGGTCTACCCCAGCATGTGGGAGGGAGTATACTGCATCCCTTTCGCCTTTCACGACAAACCATTTTATACCAAATTTATATTTGATGATAAAGAAGTTTCTCTTTATTTCTTTATCAGCGAAATATAAATTTGGTATTATATATATATATATATATATATACACAGAGAGAGAGAGAGAGAGAGAGAGAGAATTAGAGTTTCATTATTGGACTGTTGACTTGAGATGGGTTCCCCTCGCACATATGTGTTAGTTGTTCCCGATTCTAGGAGGCGGTGCTCATCTCCGTTTCAAAGCCGAAGAGCCAGCGCAGCTGTCCGAAGATGTCTCTGTAGTCATGTGGCTGGCATGACTCAACGCCAAAGGCACACGGAACGCTGCTCCCTTCCCACCAAAGGTGGTCCCTATTTTTCTACTTGCATTTCTTACGTGCTTTCGAACTGCTAGGTTGGCAGAAGCTGGGACAAGTAATGGGAGCTCACCTCTGTTACACGGCACTAGGGATTCGAACCACCGAACTGCCGACCTTTTGATCGACAAGCCCAGTGTCTTACCCCTGAGCCATAGTAAGGAGAAGCGAAATAAAAACAACACAATATTCCTCCAATATTCAGGCCTGGTAAACAGGAGTTCTTGTACAACTTGAGTTTAACAGCAGCATCAAATTCTCAATTTTTCTCAAAGAGAAGTGCGCAGTCCGGTCCGCATTCTACCACTCTGTATCAACATGCACAAAATATCATTTATGTATTCCCTTGATAAAGCTGCCAATTTACACAATAGCCAATTATTTTTTCCAGGACAGAAAGATTTATCTGTTGACATGGAAAAGGCTATAAATATTCTTGCTACCTCATGTCTAGAGACTAACTTCAGCCCCAAACACGTGTTTGTTTGTTTGTTTTAAATCTTAAGGCACTTTGGGATACTCCAAGTAGAAGGAGACAGGTTTGAATCGGATTATGTGCGAATGGATGTCAAGATTTCACTTCTCGGTCCCACTTTGGTTGAGCTTAGTACAACGGAGGGAGGAACAGGTGAATGTTAATTGTTGGTAGTCTGAGTAAATGAAAGCAGAAGTCAACGTACAGTAGTGGCCAAAATTGTGGAAACCTTTTTGGGAAAGTGTATTTTTGAGGTTTGATGGCTAATAACACCACTTTTTTGGGGGGGAGTTTCAAGATAATCCTATTCCGCTGCTGGAATGGCCTGGGAATAGCCCAGACCTTCACCCAATGGAAAATCTATGGAGCCGACTAAAGAAACTTGTTAGTCAGACGCGACCCAGCAATAAAACCCAGTTAATAGAAGCAATCCTTCAATCTTGGTTTCACATGATAACAGCTGCAGAACTCAAAGACTTGGTTCACTCCATGGGAAGACATTGTAAGGCTGTAATTCATGCTAAAGGTAGTTACCCAACTAAGGATTAACTGACATGGGGATCATTTTTGTATATATCTCGTTTTTTCTATGGGGATAATTTTTGTATATCTTGTTTTTTCTACGTGTTTCACTTTTCTTCTTTATACAGTAACTGCTACTCTAATAGCAAATCCTTCATAAAAGTTATTGCATTAACATTCTTGATTAAATTATCTTTTCATTGATATATAATTTTACGGTACGACTCCCCCCCACAAAAAATAGTGGTGTTATTAGCTAGTTTTAGAAAATACATTTTTCCCAAAAGGTTTTTGCACAATTTTGACCACTGCTGTAATTGTGCTATGCACAAAAACCTTTCTGGAAATAATCTCAATATCAATTGATAGTATTAGAGGTAGTCCTCAACTTAGAACAGTTCGTTCAGTGACCGTTCTAAAGTCACAGCAGCACTGGATAAAGTGACTTATGACCGTTTTTCACACTTACGACCGTTACAGCATTCCCCCTGGTCACGTGATCAAAATTGGGATGCTTGGTAACTGACTCATATTTATGACGGTTGCAGTGTCCCTGGGGTCACGTGATCCCCTTTTTGCGACCTTCTGCCGAGCAAAGTCAATGGGAAAGCCAGATTCGCTTAATGACCATGTTACTAACTTAACTGCAGCGATTCACTTAACAACGGTGGCAAGAAAGGTCGTAAAACGGGGCATAACTCACTTAATTGTCTCGCTTAGCCATCTAAGTTTGGGATTAAATTGTGGTCGTAAATCCAGGACTGCCTGCATTAACGCTAAAGAGGAACATTAATACCTCTTAATACCTAGTGGTAAAGGGAGGAAGGAGGAGACCGGAAAGGTGATTTATTTAAGTAACAGCATAAATAACACTAAATTGTGGTGCGGTGGCCTAGAAGTGGAGCTCTCCCCTCACGATCAGGAGGCCGTGAGTTCGATCCTAGGTAGAGGCAGATATTTCTCTCTCTGGCTACAATGAGAATGTATCTGCTGGAAAAAACTCTGCCCTGGCGACAGGAAAGGCACCCGGCCAGTAAACACTTTGCTAGCTCCATTCAGTTGCCCAGAATCCACCCTGCAAGGGATTATGGGGGACATTAAACGGAGATGATGATAGGTTTGAATTTTAACAAAATATTGAAGTAAGCTTGACTTAACTTTCAAACTAATACGGGAAGGACTCAGGGTGAAGGTACCAACCTCGGATTCTCTATGTTCATATTTGATGGCGTTCCGTCCTCCTTGGCTTTTCCGCCTGATTTTCTTCAGCTCGGCCTGAGATTTTTCCAAAGAATCCAATTTGCTTCGATGTTCGTTCTGGTACCTCTTCAGAGTAGCCTGCAAGGAGAAAATTGACAGAGGTCTTTGTAGGAAGAAGGTCCATCGTGAGGTTGGGAATCTGGTATCCACGGGTTCCCTACTTAGGGGAGGACACTGACAGTGGCATGCTAAAAAAAAAAAAAAGGAGATTGTTCCCTACTGTTCTGAAACTGTAGGGAATAACAATATTATTATAGTTATTATAGTTTATCGGGACATGCTTCAACCCGTTGAAAAATTACGAAAGGAACATATGCATGAGAAAACAGAAAAATAGAAGTCAAGAAGTTGTTCATAGAAAACTGGAGGTTCTTGCTACGTATTTTTCGGAGTATAAGATGCACTTTTTTCCCTCCTAAAAGAGGGTGAAAATTTGGGTGTGTCTTATACTCTGAATGTAGCTTTTTTGAAGCGATCTCCGCTTCCCTGCTTTGCCTGCTCCCTCCGGCTCTCAGCTGTGAAGTGTTTTTTCCAGCCCTAAGGAAGCGCTAGCGAGTGAAGTGATCTCCGTGGTTTGCCTGCTTTTCTCATTGCTTCTCTCTCGAAAGATCAGCTGTGCCTTAGAAGCTGTTTTTTATCCCCAAGCAGGGGATAAAAACCAGCGAACTAATGTGCTGAAGCTGACCAGACTAAAGACGCTAGCCAGATGAATATCTGGTAGGCAGATTTTTTTTTTCTCCTATTTTCCTCCCCAAAAACTAAGCTGCGTCTTATACTCAAGTGCGTCTTATACTCCGAAAAATACGGTAATTTATTTTATGTATGCATTGAGATCTTACTTTGGCCACCTAATGAGAAGGAAGGACTCACTGGACTAATGCAGGGGTTAGCAATCTGCGGCTCTGGAGCCGCATGTGGCTCTTTCATCCCTCTGCTGCGGCTCCATCACCAGTCGGCTCCACAATTGATAGGGCTTTCGGTTAGGACAGGTAGAGGAAAAAGGACGCCACGCTAGGAGGAGACTCTATGGTGGGGGAACTGGACTTCCGGCCAGCTCCAGAATTGAACGGAGGGTTTCTGGTTAGGACCTTTGTGGCTCTTTGCATGTTTAAGGATGCCGACCCCTGACCTAATGCTGGGAAAGATTGTGGGCATGAGAAGAAGGGGACGGCAGAGAACGAGCTGGCTGGCTGGCTGAAGCAGTAGTTGTGAGCTTAAATGGACTCTGGAGATGGTAGAGGACAGGAAGGCCTGGAGGAATGTGGTCCATGGGGTCGCGATGGGTCGGACACATCTTCCCAACTAACAACAACAACACTGAGATCTTATCTCATCTTTACGCATATAGATTTCCAACCTTGCTAACTGAAAAAAGGGATACCCAGATTTGGTTGACATCAAAGCAGGAGAACGTTTGGCAGAAGGAACCAGAGAACGAATCCACAGCTTCTTCCAAGTTAAAACTATATTGGGGGGGGGGTGTCCTTGTTCCTCTCTGAACTTGTTTTCTTGCAGACGTTTCCTGACTCAACTAGGTAACATCAATTCCAGCATAAAACTATGTTACTCACGATAGACTAAATTCTGAAGGTTTTTCAGAGGTTGAGGAAGGTTAGTGATCAACTCGGAGACGTGACTGATTTGTGGCTGCTACCAAGAAAACTAGCAAATTCTTGCATTTAATCTTTAAAAAACTTACATTCATATATTTTACATCTAGTTCGGTTTTCTTCTCCAGCTCCGATATAATTTCTTTATGGAATCTCTTGAACTGTAGTCATGAAAAATTGACAAAGGGCAAGAAGGTTAGTATATCTTCATATGAAAATATGGGTACGATATTTTAAAGCACCGCGGGGAGATTTTACTTACGTTTTCCTCTAGCTTGTCGTTGAGTTTCTTTTGAGCGATAGAAATCTCGATGAGGACATGCCCTGTTGACAAACAAGATTAAATTTTATTTCTGGTTCCTTGGGTCCTTCAAAAAAAAAAAAAAAAAAAAAAAGGAAGAAAGATCAGCACAAGTCAAATATCTTGATTCCTTTTTCAAACTCCTCGCCAAAAACAACACAAGAAGCTTTGTAGGAATCCGGCTTGGGTTATGAGGAACTGGGTTGGTATTTTTTTTTTTTTTTTGACAATACATTTTTACAAAGACAATCGTTCCTTATACACATTTAAAATATACACCAAAACTTCCAACTTAAAAAGACCCTATATATATATCTGCTAACCTTTTAATTGATTTTTATTTTATTCAAAAAAAGCTAAAATGCAAAATCCCCCCAATTTTTTAAAGCAAAGAAAAAGCAACAGATATTAAAAAGTGCATTAAAACCTAATACAGCAGGAACTGGGTATGTCTAGTTTAATGAAGAGAAGGACTAGGGGAGACATGATAGCAGTCTTCCATTAGCTCAGGGACTGCCACAAAGAAGAGGGAGCGAAGCTATTCTCCAAAGCACCTGAAGGCTGGAGAAGAAGCAATGGGTGAAAACTCATCAAGGAGAGAAGCAACTTAGAACTAAGGAGAAATTTCCTGACAGTTAGAACAATTAATCAGTGGAACTACTTGCCTCCAGAAGTTGTGAATGCTCCAACACTGGAAGTTTTTAAGAAGATGTTGGATAACCATTTGTCTGAAGTGGTGTAGGGTTTCCTGCCTGGGCAGGGGGTTGGACTAGAAGACCTCCAAGGTCCCTTCCAACTCTGTTATTCTATTTTATTCTATATATACACATATTGTCCTCCCTAGTTGAATACTGACTAAAATATTACAATAATATTACATTCTCACCCCTTGTAAAACAGGTCCCCCCAAACTGTTACATCTATTTGGAAATTATTAACCTGTCATTTATATATTATACTAATGACAAAACAGTTAACAAGGAGAACAACCATAATAGAAAAAGGCAAGATTGTAGTTTCAAAACCCTCTGTCAGCAAACTGTTAGTGTAGTCAAGGCGTAGAAAATTTACCATGGCATCTCATCTACCGGTATTTCAAATCATCAGAATAATTAACAATGATTCGTCGTGGATCAAATATCCAACTGACATTTTCATGCCTCTTCCAATTTCGGACACAAAATTGTGCTGGGCAACGTTTTTCTCTCCATGAGGCTGCCTTCAACTCAACCCATGAATCAGGACAGAAGTTAAGCTACCCTTAGCTGTAGCACCATTAAACTTGTCCTGATCTGACACCCTCTGATGCCAACTCAGAGAGAAAGCACGTTCTTGGCACACTGAAGACCCTGGCTTCGATCCCCGACAGTCGTGGGAAAGGTCTGGAGCTGCCTAACCCCTTAGTTAGTGGTGGCCACCCAGGGTAGACCATCCAGAGCGAAGGAGGCCATCATCTGATGTTGCTAATTATAAAGGCATTTTCTTCTCGATAAATCTTCCTGCCCTTTGGTAGTATTTCAAGTGACGGTATGCTAGAGTTTCAGTATGTTAGCATTTCAGATGACACTAGACTAGAGCCTACAAAAATACAGAGACTAAAGTCAACACAATCATTTGGTGCTCTCAAAAGCTTGGTTGTTTCTTGCATTACCCTCCTAGATAAGGTTCAAGGTTCAAGGTTCTGGTTACCACCTTTAAAGCGCTCCATGGCTTAGAACCTGGTTACTTATGGGACCGCCTACTACCATCAATAGCCTCCCACCGACCAGTACGCTCCCACAGAGAGGGGCTCCTCCAGGTGCCGTCGGCCAAACAATGTCGGCTGTCGGCCCCTAGGGGGAGAGCCTCCTCTGTGGGGGCACCGACGATCTGGAACGAGCTCCCCCCAGAGATACGGAGGATTCCGGATCTGCGCACCTTCCGCCGCGAGCTGAAGACTCTTTTATTTCATCAAGCTGGCCTCGCCTAAATCTTCTCCCTTTTAAGTGCAAATTTTAAATTTTAATGTATTTTAAAATATGGGTATTTTAAATTATGGGTATCAATTCAGCCAAATTTATTTAATTCATTTTATTCGATTTTAAATTTTGTATATATATGTGTTTTATTTTATGGCTGTTCACCGCCCTGAGTCCTTCGGGAGTAGGGCGGTATAGAAATTCAATAAAATTAAATAAATAAATAAATAAATAAATAAATAAATAAATAATGTCTTCAAGAAAACCACCAAGTTCAGACTCCATAGTCGTCGTCCTCCTCTTTTTGACTTGTGCAGTATACAGGTCCTCAATGGAAGGCAGGTTGGTAGCCCTTGTTTTTTTTGCAGTTCTAATTATCCTCTGAAGTTTGTGTCTGTCTTGTTGGGTTGCAGAACCAAACCAGACAGTTATAGAGGCGCAGGTGACAGACTCAACAATATTTTCAAAAGCGATGGTCTTTTTTTTTAATGAGCAATCTGGTAGGTCTTATTTACAAGAGAAGTGCTAAACGAACTGTCGTAACTCAAGGACTATCTTGTATGTAGTCTCTGCCTTAGCTCTTCGATCTCTTAAAACAGGACTAGCTCTACCCCTCAACTTGCAAATGGAAACAGGAAAGCTACGCAGGCGTGGCCCGGCTTACGGTTATGCATGGATAGGTCCCACCTATTTAAATGGGACTTACACATCGGTTAACTACGGGAAGGCTTAGCGGTGAGGTCATCGCCTCTTTCAGCTTCGGCATACCTATCTGTAGACAGAATGAAGCAATGAGGAAACCCTCCTTTGCCATGGAGAAGCTTAACCCGAAGCCCCAGTTCCATGGAGAGTAAAGTTTGTGGAAAGTGTGTGGGTTTCAAGAGCTTATTTTAACGCTCCGATTACGGTCACACAGTAAGTGCGTTGCAGAATGGGCTGCTAACAGCAACGCAACGGGCCCAGTGGTTCCCTGTTTGCGAAGATTAACATGTCAGAATCGGGGACTTAATGTTCTAGGAGTTTTTTTTTTAAACTTGCTGTCTGTGCCGCTTGAACGCGGATATTGTATACGTTCAGGAAATGAACAATGAACAATGAATTTATCTGGTTGGAAAAACCCTTGCTATATACTTTTTTGCTTCTTGGTAACATACAATAGCAATTACACTTAGACTTATATACTGCTTCACAATGCTTTGCAACCCTCTCTAAGCGGTTTACAGAGTCAGCATTTCGCCCCCGACAATCTGGGTCCTTGGAAGGATGGAAGGCTGAGTCAACCTTGAGCCAGTCAGAATCGAACTCCTGGCAGTGGGCAGAGCCAGCCTGCAATACTGCATTCTAACCACTGCGCCACCACAGCTAATCAGCAGTAGCTCTTAGACTTATATACCATTTTACAGTGCCTTAACAGCCCTCTCTAAGAGGTTTACAGAGTCAGCCTCTTGCACCCAACAATCTGGGTCCTTATTTTACCCACCTCAGAAGGATGGAAGGGTGAGTCAACCTGGAGCCGATCAGGATCGAACTCCTGGCAGTGGGCAGAGTTAACCTGCAACACTGCATTGTAACAACTGCACCACTATGGCCGGCTTCCTTCCTTCCTTCCTTCCTTCCTTCCTTCCTCCTTCCTTCCTTCCTTCCTTCCTTCCTTCCTTCCTTCCTTCCTTCCTTCCTTCCCCATTCACTCACTCATTTTCTTTCCTTCCTTCCCTCCTTCCCAAGCAATAGCACTTAGACTTATATATCGCTTTACAGCCCTCTCTAAGCGGTTTACAGAGACAGCCTTTTGCACCCAACAATCTGGGTCCTCATTTTACCCACCTCAGAAGGATGGAAGGCTGAGTCAACCTGGAGCTGACCAAGATCGAACTCCTGGCAGTGGGCAGAGTTAACCTGCAACACTGCATTGTAACAACTGCACCACTATGGCTGGCTGGCTGGCTGGCTTCCTTCCTTCCTCCCTCCCTCCCTCCCTCATTCACTCACTCATTTTCTTTCCTTCCTTCCCTCCTTCCCAAGCAGTAGCACTTAGACTTATATACCGCTTTACAGTGCCTTTACAGCCCTCTCTAAGCGTGAATTCGGCTTCCCCGTTTGCGATCTTCAGAAGGTCGCAAAAGGGAATCACGTGATCCTGGGTCACTGCAACCGTCATAAGTACATGCCAGTTGCCAAGCTTCTGAATTTTGATCACGTGATCGTGGGAATGCTGCAATGGTCACTAAACGGACTGCTGGCTGGGGGATTCTGGGAGTTGAAGTCCACCCATCTTCAAGCTACCAAGATTGAGAAACACTGTTCTAGACTTTTAATATAAGATGCAAAGCAGGATTAAATCAATCGTGCTAAACGTGTGAAATGGAACTTGAGTATTAGCACTGAAATAAAGAGAACGTTTGATTTTTGACTAACAAATTAATTCGCGTCAAATGAGGAGTTTGAGTGTGGGGAATTCTTTTTCCCCCCGCTGTGATTCAAGCCTTTATCCTTTTTTTCCCCTGTGCTGCAAGCCAAGAGATTCGGATGTTGCTCAAGGCTGCCTCGGATGAGCTGGCCCTGCCTTGAGAAACTGCTGAGTAGGTGAGATCTGTCTTCTCCTACGTGCATCCAAGACGTAAGCTCTTAAGCGCCGTGATTTAAAGCCCATTGCCCTTGAAAAAACAAACTCAGTCAAAAAGCGATTTACTGACTTACTGGCAATACCTATAAACACCAGGAATGGATTGAGCCCCTTGATTGATCAGACTCAAGAGTTGGCTTGTTATCTTAACTTTGCTTTAATATGCCTATAAAATTCCTATAAAAAAACCCTTTGCTTTAATATTCTACACTCAGTAGAAAAATAATAATCTATTTTGTATTGGAACAATCTTCCTACCTAAGTTCTCTCTCCCTTTCTTTCTCTCTCTCTCCCTTTTCTTTCTCTCTCTCCCTCCTTCTTTTCTTTCTCTCCCTTTCTTTCTTTCTCTCTCCCTCCCTCTCTCTCTCTCTTTCTCTGTCTCTCCCTTTCTTTCTCTTTCTCCCCCCCCCCCCCTCTCTCTTTTTTTTTTTCTCCCTTTTTT